TGCTTTAGAAGCAAGTGTTTAGCAAACTGTGCTTTATAAGCAAGTTTTGTACACTTAGGTGCTTAATAAGTTAATGGTGCTTTATAAGCTAGTGTTATACACTATGGTGCTTTATAAGCTACAGTTAGATGCTATGGTGCTTATACGTTAAAGTGAAGCAGAAATGTGCTATATAAGCAAGTGTTGAACACTTAGGTGCTTTATAAGCTAGTGTTGGACACTAATGTGCATTGTAGCTAGTGTTCGACACTAATGTGCATTATAAGCTAGTGTTCGACACTAATGTAGTGTTAACATTACGGTGCTTTGTGAGCAAGTGTTACACACTTCAATGCTCAATCGTTTATACGCAAGTGTGTAAAACACTGAAATGCTTCAAAGAAAGTGCTAGGCACCTTGGGCTGTAAAAGCAAGTGTTCGTGAACACACAAAGGGTATTAATAATACCAAGTGCTAGGCACTTAACGCTTATAAGCAAGTGTCGTAACACTATAAATGCTTTAGCGTGAGTGTAATGCACTGTATGCTCAAGAAGCAAGTGTCGTAACACTAGGATGCTTGGAAAGCGTGTGTGCAAAGCACAGGTGCTAAAGGAGCAAGTATCAGAACATTGACGCTTTGTTCGCAAGTGCAAGAGCGGGCAAGCAAAATGAGTAGAAAATGAAATCGATGACTCCCAATAAGTGCAAAAATTCGTGGGTACGTCGGGTCCCACGGATTGGTGGGGAAGGGTGTAACGGGGTTACACGAAGGTGTTTCTTTTACGTACACACCCGCCACACCAATGTGGTGTGGCTGTACCTTGGGTACAAAAGTAGGTGATGTGACCGTACCTGAACTACGAGGGTTGCTGCTTCATAGGCTTCGAGTTCATTGGAAAGTGCAGTCATTTGGTCGAGTAGCCCGAAAAGCAGGAAAATGAAGTCGTGAGTAGTGCCGTGTAGCTCGTGATTGCAAGTACAGCAATGACATTAGCAAGTTTGTGTAGTATTAGCGGACATTAAGCACGAAAATACATTAGAAAAGAAGCGGATACAATACGTGAAACGAACAGCAAAATTGACTCAATATCTTGTCTGTTCTAGATGTGAGTAACAAGCATTGGAAGACTGACATTGTATGATAGCGAAAAAGTCTAGGATCAAAATGCGTACGGAATGAGTGTCGAAGTAGTTGTTGCGTTTACCGATGCGCCGATTTATAATGGCTGCTAGTTGGTTGCTGCCGGCAGCAGTCAAGTAGAGGGCAACAATCAAGCAGAGGCAGCACTCAGCTTTTAACCGCTATCACAAAAGCCATTCTAACTCCGCTGGCTATTTCAAACAAACTCAATGTCACAAGACACTCAGTTGTGGTACCGTTCCGTATTATTAGAGTCTTGGCATACGGATGTTTTCCGTCCAGATTTCCAAACTAGTGTCACATTTATGATGTTGATGTTTCTGGTCGGACCAGACAAGCTTCGAAAAGCAATCAACCTGAAGATTTGGACAATGCTCTAGAAGCTTAGATGACTGAATAAATGTATAGAAATACATATTGGCAGGTCAGGCGAAGTTTCATCTTATTATGCATAACCGATTCGGCATTTTTCACGCTACCAAACAATTGTCAGCAAGAATGGCTCGAAGACCATTTTGAAAACTGTGCAGGAGCATTTTGATGGTTGCTGTCGGCTTCAGTTTTGCTATGACTTTATGCAACAGTCAATCTTTTCGAAGTGCTAATGCTGCCAACTCGGATTCGTCACAAATGGGATCGGAGCGAATTGCAGGGAACTTGGGGGAAGGATTCGTCGATTTCGCTGGTTTTATGCTTCGACCACTTCGACGATATGAGGAAGTAAGGCGTGTACACCCATATATATTGGACGGTCATCCGGATCTCGCGGGTCGACTACCTCGGAGATTTATGAAACGTCCACATCAATACTATCGGAATCGTCGCTCTAAGAAATCGAGGCCAAAACATGACTCACCTGAAGTAGATGATGATATGGAAGCCATGGGCAATTTGTTTACGAAGCGTTTTGGCGCTGACTTCAGCATGGACGATGTTGCAAAGCAACTTAATTCATGGGTGTGGGACGGACGTACGAAGATATTTCGATTTATGACGACAACTATATGAACCTATCATATTTTGGGCGAAACGTTTTGGAGATGATGGTTTGAGAAAATTGCTTGTAAACCAAGGCATGAATGAAGTACTTTCCGAAAAAATAAAGGGAAACGCAAATGTTATACTTGGCAGAACAACCTTATGTGGAGCCAACTGATGTCCTCAAGCTACTACATGATGACGAAGGAAGATTAGACCAACTGCGAGGATCTTCTTTCAGGGACTGGGATACATACTGCATACATCGACATGTAGATGGATATCAGCTTCTGATCAGGACATGAAAGAGCGCCATAGCGAGGAGGAGATTGCTCGTTTTATTGAAGACCCCGCGAGCAAATTTGCAGAAAGAAAACTCCAGGCGTTTGGGTTGGCGCTGCTAAAGAATACAGTTGAAGATTGAGTCCCTGAAGCCGCATTTTCGTTGATGCAGCTCAATCGCAAGGGTTTCTTGACGAGCCGCTTATTGTCTCCGTGGGTAATGTACTTGAAACGTACGTTAGAGCAGGATGAAGTAACATTTGTGGTTGACAAACTGAAGGAATTGTACAAGTCCAAGGCTGAAGTTTTTACCACGTTAGACGCTGCGGATTCTTATAATAATCATTTGGTGAAATCGTTGCGGGGAGGGTGAAAAAATTTCCGCCAAGCTGGCAAATCTAGGCATTTGATGGTTTTTCGCTGTCTGTTACGAGGCAACTACAAAGAGTAGGCTTTTGAAGATTAGGTATTAGCTCTTGGTCTTGTTTGCTAGCTTCCACTTGTAGTTGCAGTAGCTTAAAAGCGCAATCAAAGTTGTCGCTGTTTGCATTCTATAAGAGCTGTTAATTTACGCAGCAGTGCGACGTAGCGTCTGTCTGACCTTGAAGTTTGTTTGAATTATTAATGAAGGTAAGAAGGCAAAAGTTGTTCATATCGATGTAGTTTGCTACATTACCGCCACTTGTCCGCCATATCCAAGATTACCAAGCATACTTCTATTTACTTCATACTCTACACAAATGTAAAAGGTAGCACTTGCATGTAAGCAGTTTTGCGCTAGTTTCAGCACCTGGTCTACATATCTACAGTGCTCACCCATACACGAAATTGATTTGTTACTGTTCGGCTACATCGGTGGCTTACCTCACAGCTGGGTCTGCGTCCGTTATCACGTTCTTCTATATCAATGATAGCTCACCGCACCAAGTGCCCATGCGCACCAGCTTGAATCATTCGCATCAATTCCTCAAAACGGGCACGCGTTGTGGGGATGAGCAGTGCACACTTCGCAGCAACAGTAAATGTCCAATAGCTTTATGATTTCTGCACCATTGCACTCTTCCTCAGCCAACGCTTTCAAGTCCCGTAAATGAATCACACACGCAGGTTCGTCCACTTGGTCAAGAAACGGACATGTTTGAAAAAAGGTTACCATGCGCTGTAACGCAGACTGCACATTTGAAATAGAAAGTCTTCACGAAGCACATGGTAGCTTCCTTAGTGTTGGGACTGGGCCGATAGCATCATGAAAACCTTGTTGATAGAGACACACAGCATTTGTTCGTTGTGCTTGTGCCTCTGCTGGGTCAGCGATGAGGTCAAAACGCCCTTTCATACCTGCGGCGCACATTGTAGAGATCGCGCAAACGCTTTGCGGCGAAGTGGGCCCATGAGGGGGAAAGGGGTGGGGGGGGAGGGGGCCCAATAAACAGTGATCGAACCATGCCCAGTTGCATCATGCTTGTTAGAACATCTTCCCACAAATCCACTGCTGCGACATCGAAGTCAAGCATGAGTTGACTAGCGCACCGCAATACACACGGTTCCTTTGAAAGATAACGCCGAAGATAACTGCGTGCTAAAACTGCTTTGTTGCTTGCCATGACAAATCCAAGCCATACGCCACCCAGTGTTCCTCAAACGTCACCATAAGTGTGCAATGCAATGTGTAATTCAGTAGTTCCTGAAAGAAAATGCCGGAGTGTTTAATGCCATACTTGGTCGTAACTTATCGCTTGACAGGTGCTTAGTACAGCTGGCCTAACCTTAAGATAACGCATAGCGCCCTCAGTTTTGCTCGAAATGTGACACCAGCTCGAGGCCACGATTCTTTTGCAAACTCGACGAGGACGTAGCTGAAAAGAATGTCGCCAAATGAATTTGCCACCCTTTACGCTAGCACTTACCAAGTACAATATCCTCTTCACAAAGTCTTCGTCAGCTCGATGCAGAATTTCATCTCAAACAAATTTTTCTTGGGATCCAATGTGGCTGACATGCATTCGTGTAGTGCACACGTTCGTCACAATATCACTCTACCGGTCTCTATGAAGAACAGGTTGCAGTCAAACTTCGAATCTGCTTGTTTTTCGGATTAATTTCGTGCCCCCTGCAACTACACAAACTCGCGATTGTCATTGCTGCTGTACCTACAACCACGAGCTATACAGCACTGCTCACGACTTTATTTCTCTGGTTTTCTGGCTACTAGAGCGGTTGCTTCCCGACCAAATTACTGCACTTCCGTATGAACTCGTAGCCTGCATCCTTTAACGCAGCATTGTTAGGTCAAGGTAGGACACGTATGCGGCAGAAACTGGCCTTCTTTGACTTGTCCAGGACAAGAAAAAAAACGAACAGGCTGAGTGCAGATACACCGACCGATACAGTACTGAGCGACAACATAGCTGGTGGACTGCGTAGATTTGGATAGGCGCTGGGTAGCGTCACAATGATCTTCACCACACGTGTCCGCAGCTGGCTATGGGCATATTGTCACAAGTTCCACCCGTTGTCCGTGGTACAAGAGCTGCTGGATACCTCCTGCTTTCTCGATGGCGTGCTGATAACTTTTGCTTAATACAAGAGAGTGTTACAGAGGCAGCAAAACGAGAGGATTACTCGGCTATCTTGGCACCCCATTTAAAATTAGGATTCATCAAGCGCCTTGCTGCCACTGACGACATCGACTACCTCCTGTTTCGTTGTACGTTTGCTAGTTCGCAATCCCTATGATTAGCTGCTAACATTGCTTGTGAATGTGATGATACATAGGTTGGCAAAAAAGCGGATGGATGCAACTTTGAATGCGGTAGAGCTTTACTACGAATACAATCCATTAAAAACCTTTCAAAGCCTGATGATAAAAAGATGCTGAAGACTTCTAAAGATAAACAGTGGAAACGCATTAATGAGAACTTAGCATCTTCAAACTCAGCACACCTTGTACGCTACCGGACGTCAAAGCAATAAAATAGCAAATCATATCAATGTCAAACTATTAAGTCGATTCGAACCCAACCGCAACATCTCGTAAACTCGTATCATGTGGTAATGTCCCTCTTTTCGGTAAAAAATATGCGGAAAAACACGTAGAAGCCAAAGAGCGTGACAATGTAGCCTACCATGAGAAATATTGCAGCCTTTGACATTGGTGCGTCCTCAGAAGCGTGATGAACTCCGGCCTGCACTTGTAGAATGCCACTGGCATTCATGGTAAAAGTGACGGGATGTACAAATTCACCCGCTTTACCAATCTTGTTTCGAGGAATTGCGAAGTTAAAGTAGCAAATGTGATCATTTTCCTTGGCAATCTTCTTTTCACCTTCATAGACCTCAACGGTGAGTCCGCGCTGATTGTCCTCATACGTCTGGAAGTACTTTGTCACCGTCGTTGGGATGCGTGCATTTCGAGGAAGAATCACCTCCATGCTTCCGTCCGCCGTCTCAAGACCAATGGACAATGGAAGGACGTCCATCATAAGCACGTCACGAAATACACGCTTGTCCACGCCACTCAAGATAGCAGCCTGGATAGCAGCTCCCTCACACACCACTTCGTCAGCATTGACGGACATGCAGAGTTCCTGAGGACACATGCATTGGTAAGCTTACCAAAATTTGCTATCAAAACAAGTACAGCCGACTTCAACGCACTTTGCCATCAAAAGCCTCTGAAATCATTGCGCGTAAAATCGGGATTTGGGTGGAACCTCCTACAAGAATCACTTCGTCAATGTCAGCATTTTTCGCTTCTGCTTCCTTGAGCACACTCGATACGATCCGAAGGCACCTGCATCCATCGACGGTTCAAACAAGATTAAAGTGTTTGTTAGTAACCGTCCCACACTTGCAAGAGTTACACAACGCCTCTCACTTCTTCCAGATCGGGTCACACAGCTCTTCAAACTTGCGTCGCATGAGAGTGAATGTAAACTTGGGCACAGCCGCAATGTCATGCACGACAATATTCGCTTGCTCCTTTTCCGAGAGTCTGATCTTTGCCTTCTCGACCTCTCTCTTCAGTCTCACCATTTCTCCATCCCCCACTTGTGCTCGAGTAACATTATGATGCTTGTACAGCACCTCCAGCAAGTGATCTACAAGCATGTTATCGATATCATCTCCCCCCAAATTCGTGTCACCTCCAATACCCAAAACTTCAAATTTGCCATCCTCAATGCTCAGCAACGATACATCTAGTGTCCCTCCACCAAAGTCGAAAACTGTCACTAATTTTTTCCCAGACAAAAACAACCCGTAAGCCATTGCCGCCGCCGTGGGTTCGTTTAACAATCTTACAGCCTTAAACCCAGCCATATACGCACTAGTGAGCGTAGCTTTTCTTTGAAAGTCACTGAAATATGCAGGAACTGTAATGACCACATTGTCAAAACTAACTTGACCGTCAAAATAGCCTTCAGCTGAAGATTTAAGCTCGGTGAGGATACAAGCTGAAATTTCTTCAGGCTGGACATTGACCTTCTTATTTCCTCGAACCGCTTGTACGGTCACATTTCCTTGAGCTGAAGGTACGACGTCATAGGAAGCATACATTCTAGCCACTTCAGTGGCTTTGCTTGCAAATTTTTGACCAAGTAATCTTTTGGCCGAGCGAATAGTATTTTTCACAGGTTCCGTTGTCTCTAAACCAATCGCAGCATTCCCAACATCTACATGTTGACTTAATGGATCAAACCTTACAATAGATGGTGTTGTACGACCTCGATCCAAGCGATTCTTTAAAATTTTGACATGATTACGTTCTACGTGCCAAATCCCAACGCCTGTATGAAAAAATCAAGTCCAAAACACGACATTATATAAGAGCGTAACAATACAATCATACAGCAAAAAGCAATCAATAATGAATAATGTACATGAATTGGTTGTGCCTAGATCAATACCAAGACACATGGAGCCATTAAATTGGTCGACCGAGCATCCCCAAGCATCATAGCTCATATTTGAGTTTTCGTTCCTCAATTTTGACTTTGGGTTCTAAATTTGGGTTAGGAAACGCATTCTGATTGGCTCATGAATGTCTTTGCTTGTCAAAAACTTGTCCTGACACTTTATTGTCTTCCATTCCTTAGTTTTGCAATGCATTTTTGTCCATGTTGTGGGAATATTTTGCTTGTTGAGTCAGATGTGGGTCAAAGAACTCGTCATCTCTCTCTCTCTTTCTCTTGTTTGTATTCTTTCTTACTAATTATATTTGTTGTGGTGTCTTCTTGTTCCATTTGTAGTCTGATGGCATGCGGTTTTTCTGTCAAACCTGTCCGTATTTGTTTCAAATCATGATAAGGTGGAGAAAAAGGTGCCACTTCAACGTAAACAGGTAGACGATGTTTTAGGAGGTGATGAAGCTTGGGACAATGTTGATCAAACAGAGAGTACGTGGAATTACTACATGTGGGCTATGCTATGGAAAGAAGAGTGAGGACTGATCAGATGTTTGTGTGTCTCTCTCTTCTCTCGTGTGCTGCACAAATAGCTCGCTGTCCTCACTGTGAGTTTAACAAGGCTTACTTTATGCAGATTCAGATCCGATCAGCTGATGAACCATCTACGACATTCTACAAGTGTGTACAGTGTAAAAAGCAGTGGAATGACTAAGTGATTGGTAATTCAATTGTTAGAGTGTTATCGTTTTTCTCAACTAGCATGTCAGACGGTTGGAGCCTTGAACACATTGACAATTGTCACACGTTCGCTTGCATTCCGAGCGCTGAAACGTTTGGCCAAAGTACGACATAAGTAGTTGACGACGGCACGTCGTTTTGTCCTCGCAATACTCGGCCATGGATCGGAGTTTTTCCATGTGCACAGCACGCGTTTTCTTAGTCATTCCCTTCTGAGGCATAAAAAGGATGCTGCGCAATTTGGACACGTCGCGTGGACTGTAAAATAAGATACACTGCGACGGTTTGCCGTCTCGCCCGGCGCGACCAGCCTCTTGGTAGTAGCCTTCGATGGACTTGGCTACCGAGAAGTGGATCACGAAGCGAACGTCCGGCTTGTTAATGCCCATCCCGTATGCAATCGTTGCACACACGATACTAAGCTGTCCATTCTGCCACGCTTCTTGCACCATATGTCGGTCCGTCGCGGACTGACCAGCGTGGTAAAAGTCAGCACTCAGTTGACGGTCGAACAGATAATTTGCCACATCTTCACTATCCTGCTTCGTCATGCAGTACACAATCCCTACCTCGTGGGGCGAATACGTTGTTGAAATAAACTCGTAGAGAGCCTCCATGGCCTTCTTGTCGCTAACACGCGGTTTGTCGCGCACTTCAAATGTAAGATTCGGTCTGTTAAAGCTCATTGAAAACACTAGCCCTTTTGAAATACGGAGTGAACGCTGCACACCTTGAATGACCTTAGGTGGCGCAGTAGCCGTCAATGCCATAAGCGGTATGTCTGGAAAAGTCTTTTTCAATAATCCTAGCTGACTGTATTCCGGACGAAAGTCATGTCCCCATTGACTGACACAATGAGCTTCGTCAATCACAAACCTCGCAAGTGCCTTATTGCGATATAAAATCTGTAGCAAGTTCATCATCTCGTCTGACTTAACAATTTTCTCAGGTGTCAAATAGAGTAATTTGACACTAGGTACAGGTCGTCGTAGTTCTGCCGTGATAGCGTTCTTAAGTGTTAACACTGTTTGACTTGTCAAAAATGCAGCTGGAATTCCACAGTGTGGATTTTGAACCAAAGCTGTAACTTGATCTTGAATAAGCGACAGTAGTGGTGAAACTACAATTGTCACGCCTTTTGACAAGATAGCTGGTAATTGATAGCAAAGACTCTTTCCACCTCCTGTAGGCATTAGTACAAAACAATCTTCACCACGCATTGTAGTCTCTATCACTTGTCTTTGATTCTGTCGGAAACAATCATTACCAAACACCTTCTTGTTTGCGTGAATCAATAAATCCTGTGGCTCTTGATCTGAGTCTAAATAGTAACATGGAGCTCCTAATGTCTCTACGGATGGTTTTTTCACCTGAAAAGACTTTGTAGATGCTACGAAACGTTTACGACTCTGTCGAATCAAATCCAACGCCGTCTTCGACGCTCGATTCGCACTATTGTCGTCGTCAGAATCCTCGTAGAACGAGCGGCGACGTTTCGAGTTTTGAGGCACGTCATCGAGTGTCAGATCAATGGCGTTAGCTGATGGATTAATTGCATCTTGAACATGGTCACGTGCTTGAGAGACAAACGTCTGGAAGTGCTTGTCGAGAGGTACGAAGGATGCAGCCGCCTGTGCCCCGCTATTGCGATATTTAACCGTCATATTTTCACGTTGCAACACCAAAATTTGGGCCAAACCGGAACATTTTGACGTTAGTATGTATTTTGAAACAGTTTCAAAGAGGATACCGGTTATTCAAGGTTTGCAACACATATCAAAGTCCTGGAATCAATATCTGACCAATCGATGCTCAGTATGTTCGAGTACTAGCCAATCATATCGTGTTACAGTAAAACGCCAAGGTTTTATTCGAATTTTCAGTTTGAATGGCAGAAATTACTAATACGATTGCAGATGCAGTAGCTGCTGCCTGGATACGGTGGCAGCGGTATCATCAGCTACACAATAAGCAAAAGCAGTTAAGCATAATAGAAATGGAAACGCAATTTGAATTAGTTGCTACAGGTCTCGTCGTAGAACCCGAACAACTAAAAAACCTGTTTCAAACTGATGCTGATCACTTGAGGGCATTTTTAACTCCGGTCCCATCATTTCAAGACAGTATCAATACCGTTAACCGGTATCATTTCACAGTAATATCAGTTTCCATGTTACTTCAGGAATATGTACGAAGAAACATCCAATCAGAAGAGCATATGATACATCTGTTAACTGGTTCAGTAACAACCCACGTCTTGCTGCCACTTTTACAATATAAATATTGCACTTCTTTCCATAATGCAATATTGCAATTATTGCAAATTTTATTGGTCTCGTCGCTGAAGCACCAATACTGCCACGAGACGTTCATACAGCTCTTTCATCAAGTACAGAAGCTATTATCATGTGAAGAAAACAACAAGAAGGAGTTTCCCATTTATTACAATTCATTATGTAAATTATTGGCAATGTTATTGCAATATCAAGTTAAGACATTCGAGGACAAGTGTATGGAAATTTGTATCGACGCAATAACAAAATGGCAAGAAGAAGCACAATTATTACGAGCTCTGGCGTTGCATATTGTGCCAATACTGATGGAAATTCAATGTGATATTGTCACAAGAACGAAGAAATGTGTAAAATTGCTGGAAATGGTCGGAAATGTCTGGAAAAAACCATCGGACCGTGACAATATTGTGTCCTATTATGAATTGCTGTATGTTGTGTGTATTGTCATACCAAAGGCTCCACGTGAACTTATTGGTGATGTAAAGCTACAAACTTTTGTTTGTTTTGCATTGCAGCACAAGGACGCTTTGTTGCGAAAACAGGGGCTACATGTTTTAAAAATGGCTTTTTCACATTGTGCATTGGTGTCGAAGCCGCAAAAGTTACATTTGTTAGAACGAAGACAAGAGGAAGAGTGGCTGGATACGTGGCAAACCTTTCTAACAGCATCTGACGTGATTCAAATGCACCACGAACAACATTTAATAGAACAAGTTTGGCCACATATTGCAGGGCTTTTGACAAAATACTTGATTGTCATTCAAAATGTGTTGGAGCCACAGCTACAGGAAAAAAGTGACCAGTGGCCGGTGCGACTGACTTTTGACTGGATGCAGAGTCTGTTAATGCGGTTGTTTGCACATGACAACCCTGTCGTAAAACGTCTTTTTATTTCAAACTTTATGGAAACCTGCGTTGGAGCTTGGCAGGTCTGGGAAGGACAGATGAGTGTTTGTAAGAATGTTGATCGCGACACTTCCTTCGCATGTACCTCTGCTTTCCAACGCTTTGTGCTCGACTACTTGCTGCGTGCCTGCAATGACCCGGTTCTTTTTAAACACGCGCATCGCACTCGTTTCCAGACTCTGGTGGCTGACTTTTTGGTATCCTTTCTTGTTTTCCAACTTGCAGAGTATGACCAGGTGCACGTGCTGGATGAGTTTGTTGCTGCGGTGAATGAAGCGATTTTTGGCGAAGCATCTAACAGCCATTCACCGGATGCTTTATTGAGCATGCTGCAAGTATTCCAATTCCCGCGTTTGAAATGTGCTGCCTCCTCCGCGCCACCAAAGATGCTGCTTAGTGAGGCAGCAGTTGACCAGCTGCGGTTTTTGGTCGATGTTCATGCAATGCAATCGTTTTCGCAAGCGACGCGAACTAAGATGCTTCGTGCCCTGAGTCACGCTCTTGCCGGAGGCTTTATTAGTGCGTCGACACTTTCGCTGTCAGCACTAGCACGTGTCCATTGTGTCTTTCCTGTTTGTAGTTTGATAGCTGACGATGGCGAGATAATGTTGCAGCTTCTGGCGTGGATGAAAGCTCCCACTGCCATTGGCAAATCGTCTAGCGCTTTGACAGCTCTGACATCTGCACTTCAAGCATACTTAAATTGTGAAGCGAAAGGAAACTCAGAAGGAGCTTTGCTCAGTCCACCTCAACTGTCGAGGCTGCTGCTTTTTACAGCAGAAGTCATACGCGATTCGAATGCTCAACCTACCGACAAACATCTTGGACATCAGAGCAATGTGAAAGTCGTTATCCGTACCCCACTGAGTGCATTGCTGCCCACAAGTCTAGATTTTGAATTGCACAGTACTCTACTTGTGCTTTTTGTTGCCAAGTTTGAAGAGCAAATCCAGGAACTTTTGGATAGTTGCGCCTCACTCTCATCGCAAAGTTTCACATTTGTATTCCAATGCAAAGACTTCTATTCCGGAAAAGTTAATTGCTCATATCTTTTTCGCTCAGCCATGAAAGTAGTCCGGCTTTGGTTGGATAAGGTACCATCACCAACGGACATTGATGTACTGGAATGTGGAGATCACGAAAGAGAAGACGCTATGAAACTCGTGGAGTCCGCTGCGTTTCTTTTATCTCGAATGAGTACACACAAAATGAACACTACAGGCGAGTTGAACGAAATGTCTGCGTTGAATGCTGTCTGTGAAGAGTTGAAACGAATTGTGGCAGCGACTGCAAATCACAGCTTATATGACTTGGCGTTAGCTACAAAGTGTTTGTCCATCATAGGGTCAAATGCTACTGCTGTAGACTCTCTTCCTGCATTTGAAAACGAACGCATTCTCCCGCTTCTACTTGCTCTTGACACGAGTCGGCGGTACAGTGGGAAGCTTGATGCAAAATGTGCTATTGGCTTGGCTACCAACAAGTGGGTTCTGCACTGCAACGTCATGAGATCATCGTCGTTTATTGACACAAAACTTTTGAAAACTACCTACGATGCATGTGTTGAGGCACTTCCTACGGCGGGGATGGACCCTCTAGCTTTGAGTCAAATGGTGAACGTATTGTCGCTTACACTTTCACAATTGGCCAGTCCGCTGGCAAACTGCCCAAATGTCATCGAGCAACTTGATGGTTTGTTTGAGGGCATCTGGATGGCTTATACCGACAGCAAAGCTAAACCTGATTCGCTTACCCGAGCTGTTATCACCTGCGTATTTCAGCCGGCTTTTCTCCTACGTCACGAGCTTAAGGGAACAATGAAGCACTGGATTGCAAAGTTTATTCACTTCGGCTCTCGACATAGGCCTAATGTGATTTTCCACCTGGCTTGTCGCTTGTGCCAGACATGGCGCGCACAGCCAGCATCAGCTTTGTCTTTTGCCGATGAACTTGTCGAACTACTGCTTTACAAAGAACCAGTGATCGACGAAAAAGGCAGCTATCACCGGACACTTGCACTCCGTTTCAGTGGTTCCAAGGATTTATACCAATTAGCTACAGCAACGCCAAGACAGCGGCAATCGAAAGCCATGCTAAGGACCGATTCGTGCGGCTGGTGGTGCTAAACTTTCTGGCTGATGTAGTTGTTGACGGTAGCGCTTTTACTACAGACACCCAGAACCTCATGGATGCGTTGTTCTTTCGACTCATTGAGCTTAACGTGACGCCAGAATGGCAGAAGCAGCATATGCTGAACAGCAATGGGTTTGGTAAGAAGTTGCGATCATGGCAAGCGCTCTGTATTGTCAGCGCGCATGTTACGAAATCGCAGTTGACTACGCTACTTCCCAAGCTTAAAGCTGCGTTTGCAGTGCCTCAACTACCCAGCGTTCGGTACTACATGGAGCTTTTTGGAATGCGAATGGCGATAAAGTATTCACGTGAGATCTGCTCGGGCCTTTTACTTCCGATGCTATGTGATTCTAATTTGATGCCACAAGTGGGTGCTTCCGTGCTGATTGTCTCTGCTTATCTCGTTCACCACAAGCTAGACGACATCGATCTTGATGTTGATTATGGAGAGCTGCTAGAAACGATGTTGCCGTGGCTAAACTCATCACACGGGCACACGCGTGTTTTGACCCAATATTTGCTGGCCAAGGTTCTTCCTCGCCATATTCACCAGCTTCAGTACAGCTCTGGTAATACGCCAGGCCTTCGCTTTCTGGAAGGCACCGTACGTTATCTGAGTAACAATAAGGAGTGCAAACGGATGATGCGTCGGCAAGCGCGCCAACTGGAGGACTTTCGTCCTGACTACGAGAGCTCATTACTTGGGATGCTCTGCTCGGGATTTATTAACGAGTTTGGAGAGCTCTTGCCGCGCGACGAGTCCCTCCGTTTCAGTGAGCAGCTTAAAACTGCAATGAACGAACTCTACGCCCAGTATCAAATTGAAAATTTTGCTCCAGCTCCATCACAAAGTAACACTTCTACCTCTGAGACCGGAACTGCAAGGGGAGCTCACACTGTGCAACGTAAAATTGATACGATGACAATGCTGCTCCAGGACAGTGCCCTGCCTACTGCAATGCGAGCTAATTTTGATGCGGCGCAGCGGGGTGGCACACTTAACGCTCGCCAACGCCTGCGGCAGCCCATCATCATGTGTGCAAGCTTGGTTGACAAAATTCCAAACCTCGCAGGACTTGCAAGAACATGCGAGATTTTTAATGCTCAGAAACTGATCGTGCCCAACCTGCGAGCGACGGAGCAGGACGTTACGTTTGCGACCGTCAGTGCCACGGCTCATAAGTGGATGCCACTGGAAGAAGTTCGACCGCAAGGTGATGATCTGCGTGAGGCGCTGCTACGCTGGAAGAGTGAAGGCTACACCATCGTGGCAGTCGAGCAAACAGGTTCCAGTGTTAGTCTTGCAAAATACATGCTACCACGCAAGATGGTGCTTGTCTTAGGTCGAGAGAAGGAAGGAATTTCCGTGGACATACTGCAACTCGTTGACGTGTGCGTTGAAATTCCGCAGTTTGGGTTGGTGCGCTCACTTAATGTGCATGTAAGTGGTGCGCTGGTGTTGTGGGAGTACACGCAGCAGCAACTCAAGTCTGGAGCTCTTGAGTCAACGCTGTAACAAGGCTGATAACGATGAGATGCTGAAATGTGGTGCTGTGACGAATGCTACGCAAGACAAGCAATTGTGCTTTTGTGGAGCATTATCGAAAAGCGGTGCCCCGCGTCAACGTGTGGCAACCATTATTAGGAAAAAGGCCATTGGACATCTTATGCCTCAAGCATTAGTTTGAATTGCTTCATAACAGTGAGTAGGCCAACACTTTGAGTGTGAAGCTGCTACGTTTGTGGTTTTATATACTGACTGATGCTTGTACATCTCATTCTGTTCGAAATGCAAAGCAATTAAGACAGCACATCTGATCAAATCAGTTGCCTTGCGTACCTTAGTGCGGCTCCGAAGACATTGACGATCGTTGATGGTGAAAGGGATTGTGACATCTCAAGGTTGCACTGCAGCAGCGTTTTTTTGAGCTTGAGAGACCAATATGAGATGTGGCGGGATGCTCTAGCACGCTCTAACTTATGTAACGAGCCTCATTTTGAGTTGCATGCCAAGCTTCCAAAGATCAATTGGCGAACAGGTAGTGGATATGCCGCTGGTAGAGCAAAAAAGCAGAGTATTTGCCTGAAGATGGCATGGACCTTACCACTGTTTGGACGTTCCTATACAAAGCAGCAGCACTTCGTGGTGTCACCCGGAAACGATCAAGCTCATAGTATGAGCATAAGCTTTTGCTGTCCTCGCCTACGTGCTGGCAAACACAAGAATGTAAGCGCTTTCGGTGCTATTGGCTACGAGTAGAATGTCACCTGTGACACGAATATGAGAATTTAAGTTTTGGTACGTGAACGAACTCATTGCGGTTTCCTCAAATTCGACTTTAACAATGCGACTCTCCTTTGACTGAGTTTGAGGATTCGTAGAGTGTAATTGACTGCGTGTTAAATTGCGTTTTTCTTTACGAGAAAGCAATGCAGTGAGGTCTAGTGGAGTGTTATAGGAAGCACTACGTCTGCCATCTAGGCGGTGCATGGAAGGAAGCATGAGGTCAAGAGGTGTTAATGGGTTGAACAATATGTGAACCTTGTACGAATCAATCCGATTATCATTTCGTATTTGTCATGCGTACTTGTGGCACTTCAAATTGCTGTGTACCCATTTGAAATGGCTAGATTCTCTTATGTATTGGAAATGAAGCGCAAGCTAATTCGGCAATACCTATAGCCTGACATGAGTTTAGATTGAGCTGAAAGGGTGGTAAGTGTCAGCTGATTGATTGTCGAGAACAAGTTGACGATGGCCTTTGTAATGGCGTTGGTCGTACCTTGGAAGGTGACCAAACAAACAATATTAGGTATAGCCAAACTATATCTTCTATGGCCAAAAAGTGCAGGTGGTCGTGCATCTGCATGCACATAATCGCTCAAGGGCGCACACTAGTTGCTGGCATAAAGGTTTTTGCGTGATAGCTCTGGCAATTGATTCTTTTTCAAATGCTTTCGTCATTGTTAAAATCAACCGTGATGGTGATGGTGATGGAACTCAGCATTTAGCAAAGATCGAGAATCGATGTCTGACCCCGATGGGAACCTCGCATAAGGTCACTTTGAGATAGGCTAGTCTTGCAATGGGTAGTACATCCTGGTAGACACGATATCCCCAAGTTTAGATTCCACCTTTTCGATGCACGGCATCATGCGCAGGCGTCCATATTGCTCATTGCCTCCAATTCTCTAGGAACTTGCTGATGGCTATGAACCAGTCGTGCGCTAGAGCGCCGTCAACAAAGGATCCGTACGTGTCGGCATGCTGTATATGCTCGGGCCTCGAACAATGCTATACTTGCTAGCATAAAGTCGAGCGTGAAGCTCGTGCAACGCTACATTGTGAGTTCCAAATATGCACAACCAAGAATTTCGCTAACAGAAGTGCAGCGGAGCTGTTGTCGGCAATAAAGCCCAACATCTTGTCAATGCAGACAAGATACGCGATTATATTAACAAATTCATTAGCTCTACGTAGTCGGTCAAATCGCCAGAGACACGACTTTGCTCGACTTATAGATAGCTCCAAAATTACTGTTTTTTTGTATGGAACAGAATCAACTAGATACGCTTTTGCTTTCTCTAAGCCGCTGCACTCGCATATTTCTTCTTTTGCAGCGACATGCAACCTACCTTGACCCTAACGCCGCAGCATGTTGATTGATCTACGCTAGCAGCAGGGCATAGGACCGGGAATCGACTCTTTAGTGTGCACGAACGAAGTGTTGATCTCGCCACCACATAGGTTCAGTGGGTAGGTACATCGCACAACATTCGAGACCAATACTTTCCCGCAATAACCAGCTCATGAACGTATGTATACCCACAAAATCCATCTATGACAGAAGAAAGTTCCTTCTGCAACATTCAATCCACGCAAGTCGACCAAATTTAATTCCTTACTTATTGTTGCCCGCCCATCAATGATCGAGCAAACCAAACCTTGAAGAAGCTACGAAAACTAACAAAATGCAGATTGTTTTGCAGCACGCAAGTCGTTACTTCTTTGTTCTTGTGATGATGTACTTCATATCATTTGATCCTAGTTTCTTATCAAGCCATTGCATACGTTCCGATAAGAACTTTCCATCCATTTTTTGGCTTCATGACGCCAATTTTAGCAAAGTCAAAGTCATCTTCAGTAAATCTTACCAGTGGTACCTTACCTTCGATTGCAGTTGCAAGTCTTGAAAGCATTTCGAGCAGCTGCTTGGATACTTGATCTTAGGTACTTTTTCAATCAAATGCACATCTAATTAGTATTCAAGTGATGGAATTTATTTGTGGTTAGAGCAATGCAAGCCAATACGACCTGGTTATTCGACTGCACTTTCTCCACAACGCTTTGCGAACAACAGCGAAGATTGTTTGTGCTGGTTTAAGTGTAAATGTGCATTCATGCATTGTAGAAAGGGTGGACAATTTCTTACATAATCGATACAATTAATGGTGGCAGGTCCATGGAAGTACTTCCTCGCTCTGAATATCTCCTTTCTATGTAACGTGTAGATCATCTGTAGAGATGGACGACGTTTGTATTATTTACTGATAATGAACTACTTCCTATTAACTCATTTCCCATTTCGCTCGACGACCACAGGATCTATAGTTATTAATCAATATCTTCAGTCGACCTTTTTTTTGTCGTAGCATTAATCAGACAGACACTGCCACTTTTGATCGATTCTATTGATATGGGTGTTTTCTTCCGGCTTCTTGACCACCATGAGGCTATTCAGCAAAAAACCTCGTCTGAACTAGCGCTGGGCAATACGATGCAATGCTGGGGCCACAAACCCCACTCTACTACCATAACAACGTGAGTGCACTTAGAGCACCGAACGATAGTTGTAGACGAAAAAGTATCCAGCAAACTTACTTACCTTGTCATTTGTATATATTCTGGCTTGAAGCAGACATGTAGTGACGACACATGCGTTGTTGTTACAACAAGACTACGTCGACAAGAGGTTGGAGACGTGCTGCCTGTCGGAAAGTAGCAAGTATCAACAGCTCGATGCTTCCGTACTGCAAAGCGCCACGAGCCAACGTCATTCACCCAAACGTTTGGCTAGCTTTATTACCACACCGAGTCGCAGTATAAAGCGTCAGCGGATTTCAATAGATTCCGGTAACCAATCAGTCAGTCACGCAAGCGACAGTCCTTCGATTGGTTTTCCTCAATCGTTGCAGTACGCGTTGCCAGGCCTGTCAAGTCATGACACGCTCTATGTGCTACATGCACTGCGTGTCATACCCAGTGAGCTGCGTCACCTTAACGGTAGTGCCAGCCGTAGCCGTCTTAGACGCCGTTGCAAAGTGCGGCAGGTCTTTGGATGGCGACATTTGCTTTGCCAAGAAAATGACGATGAAAAAGCTGCCCGCCGTGTGGTCTGGAAAAGCGCCAAGGCGCTAGACTCCATGAATATGCGACCTTTGGCTCGCCAAATCTGGAGGGCAAGCACGGAAGCCACTGGTGGATTGAACGAGAGAGAGACGGGGGAAGTGCTGTACACCGTGAACCATATTGCCCGGGTTGTTCATTCGACAAAGCGCCAATATGGTAGCCGTCGTCGTGCTCGTGAACAAGTTTGGATTGAATGTTACCTAGATGACGGAATGCAGGTCTGCGTGGCACGCAAAGAGCTTCGACAGTTTGATGAGTATCGCGCACCTGAGACATCGGCAACTGAATGCCAAGGATTTCTAGTGCGGCCAATGTACACGAGGGCGATTAATGCACAGCTAGTGGGCTGCTCACTGCAATGCCTTCGGGCAGTAGATGCACGTGATTGTGGTGTCCGGTCCGCTACAGCTTTAAAGCAACGAATGCTTGACGATCTCCCGCAGCTGACGCTACAATGCGAAGAGGATTATCTTTACGATTTAGTGCAGGCACCTCAGCTACTCCTAGACAGTGTCTTTGCTTTGGGTACATGTAGTGTAGGTACATGAATTGGTCGGTAAAACTTGGAAACAAATGTTGAAGGATTTTGTTTAAGCGTTGTTTGTTGATGCGAGATATTTACCGGTATCAGAAAGTATTGTCGGACTTACGCTACATTTACTTTATAAACCAATTTATGTTGTTGTAAAGGTAACGTTTAGTGATGAAGTCGCGGAAAAGCAAAGCTCTCGGCTAATCTACTGCAACAATTGCGCCACGAGGATATGGACATTATTGCAAAGCTCGTATCACCATCTAAGGTGCTACAAGACAGTTGTGGTCGAGAGGATATGGCAGAGCTTGATCGTCCCCAGCAAACGTTGTGTGTGGCAGATTCGTTGCAAAGCTTTGCTGGAGAGACCCAGCAACCAGTAAAGGATCTACTGATGCAATGTAACACACTCTACAACAACTTTTTGTTTCTATGGATGAACAACTCGGTGGTTGTCAAAGGCGCGCGCAAGGAGTTGGTATTGGCTCTTGCGCGGCTGGACGTGATAGAAAAAATTGACTTGGAGCAGGTATTGGCGTTTTAAACAGGTGTTTCGTTGTCCCCATGAAGTTGTCTTACGAATCATCGGGATGAAGATTGATTGAATTGCTATGGAAAACAAATGACGGGAAACCAAGTGGCAAATAGATGCTTTGTGAGTTAAAGAAGATGAATTGATAAAGTATCTCTGGAAAAACGTATATCATAAGCATACGCAACCACGAGAAAAGATCCATAGAAATAGTAAAGTGTCCGAGTAAATGATACAAAGGTAACTTAAAGTAAAAGAATGGGTTCCAAACAGTTCGTAAGAGACCGCAAGAAACCCAAGAAATACTGGATATAAATCTATATTCTTCATAACAGGTCGTGAATGAACTCGTTTTCAGCAGGTCAAGTAGCTTGGTTAGACGATGTCTTCAACGGCACAATAACTTTGCGTTTCTATTACACGGCAACCAAGATGACGCATCTAGTGGTGACATGAAGACAATCCTACCATGTGCGAAAGGATAAAAATGACCCGTTAAGGCCATCTTCGACCTATCAAGACGTCTATACACGTGTTGAAGTTCTTGCCTATACATCTCTCTTGCAATGACACAAGAGGTGGTATCGCCACAGCTGGCGTGCAAGAATTTGCCGTACGGGAAGCTTGAAAATACCGCCGGTTAAACCAAACTCAACTACAAGCACAGAGTTTGATGTGTGGAACAAAGTAGGGCATGAACTGGTTCTCTATGATGCCGCAAAAGTGGACGCCGTCGTTTCTAACAGCCTTTTTTGACTCGTTACAAAGACCGACTGTTCCAACACTAGCGCGTATTGTTGACGTGAATGCCGCAAGATTCTAGTCTGGCCAGTGTGCTCACAGTAATAATGGAAGTACCGGTATAACAGTGTCTAGTTGGCGTTTGGTATCGTCAACTCCCGCTCATGCACCCACATGCTTTTTCTTATACAGCGCGACGTTTCGACCAAGTTATTTGAAAGTTGCGGAAACGATCATATGGAATGTACAGTAGCTCTAGTTCTTGGTAATTCAATTCGACCGGTCAATACAAATAACTGCAATCTTTACGTGATTGATTGTCAGTATTAATAAAGCCTACAGTGGTACATGTTCCAATGAAATTTCGCATCCAAGGCCCTGCGCAATTTGGCAGCTGGAGCAAGCTTAGTATACTCAAATCACAGAACCGTAGTACTCGAAAATTGAGAGACTTGTGGATGCACGGCTGCAAAGTGGCTTCAATGACTTTATATCTGCTTCATATTACAAAACTGTTTAAATGTAGAAAACTACCTTTTTGCAGTTGTATGCTTACCGGTTACATGGGAGCGTACCGGTGCGTAGCCACCAGACGGCGGTAGGTGTGCAACGAGCCAACAGCAATTCTTCCTGCTGGTGGTGTTTTTTTATGCATCGTAGTGAGGGTTGTGCAGTGTTTATAATGCATACAAAAGGCCTGACGTCAGATTATGGGACGTACGTTACGCATAGGGATCTGCAGGATATTTTTGGATGTTTCTGCTAGCCGCAGTCGTACGTGTCGCAGAATCATAAGCCAATGTGGAAGGTGGTCACATTCAGTCTTGCTCTTGCATAATATTACCTTTTTTTCTTTGGAACATTCCGTGTTTTCGTGTTATTTTAATAGCAGCAGCGCTTGTTTCATCTACGTGCAAGTTTTGGCGCCGAATTTTCTAGATGTCTTACCTGCACTGGCTTTATTGCGCCCTTCTCTTGTGATTTGTCCAATTGGAAACAGAATTCCTGTATCGTCTCTTGCTCTTTCCCACGTGATATACAATCAGTATACATCACACGGTATTTTCCATACAAATACAAAGGTATAGATTGTATAATTTATCCGAAAAGTATTCGCCCACATCTCTCTCACCATTCGTCAAGTAACGCGATCAGTTCATTACGGAATTTGCCAGCAACCAAACACTCGCTTCTTTATTTGAATCTTGAAGTGATCCTTACTGGTTACTTTGTTGTCCGACATCAAGTGTCCTTTTCTTCCATCCGTCCATTTAACGTCCACTTTGGATGTCTGTGAAGAGTTCGTGGACTTTTAATAAAAAGTACCCCGTGTACTTCGCTAGCCACTAGGTTCCTCTCTCTCTCTCTCGCTCTCTCTACAGCTTTTCTTTCTCTCTCTTTTATCAAGACAAGAGCGCTAGTATCTCTATAGTATGATGACTCAATTAGAGTTACTTGCTCGCGCTACTCTACCTCCTACACCTTTTCGTGCATTGGAATCATATGTAAAAGCTGATTCCACTCTTTCCCATCGTCATCTTCATGGCAATACATTATTATGTCGTCCACCAGTCGTCACTTGTGCTGCGTATGATACAATTGAATGCAAAGCGCTTATTCTTGGGTGTGGAATTGCTGGCAGTGCAACAGCATTACGTTTAGCTAATCAAGGTATTCAAGTGACCATGGTTGCAGCTGCAGAAGATCCGAATAATTGTGCCACTTATTATGCTCAAGGTGGTATTATATACAAGAGTGAGGATGATACACCGGCTTTATTATCATTGGATGTTCATCGAGCGGGTGCAGGCATTTGTGATGATGTTGCAGTTCAAAAGTTGGCATGTGAAGGACCAAAGCGTGTGGAAGAGATGCTATTGGAAGTGGCCCAAGTCCCCTTTACTCGTAAAGATGATGGAGAACTTGCATTGACATTGGAAGCATCACATAATCGTGCACGTATTTTGTATAAAGCTGACCATACGGGTCGTGCGATTTCTACGAGCATGGTACAAGCAGTGCGTGAGCATCCAAATGTGGTGCTACTGACTGGTCGTACTGCTTTTGAGCTCGTCGTTAATAGCGCTGGTGATTGTGTTGGTGCACTTACAGTCTCGACAAAGAATAAAGTGGAGTTTTATCGCTCTCATTTTACACTACTTGCTACTGGCGGTATTGGTGATGTGTACAAGAATACGTCAAATCCGGAAGGTGCTCGTGGTGAGGGCATTGCTCTTGCTGCACGTGCTGGTGCAAAGCTCAAGAATATGCAGTATGTGCAGTTCCACCCTACTACGCTGTATATTCCAGGCGAGCGTCGTTTTTTGCTGACCGAAGCACTGCGTGGCGAAGGTGCTATATTGCGAAACAGGAGCGGTTGTGCCTTTGCCAAGGACTATCATCCTGATGGTGAATTAGCTCCACGTGATGTGGTTGCCCGACTTATCTTAGCGGAGATGGAGAAGCATAAAGAGGTGTGCATGTACTTGGACATTTCGCACAAAGACGCGAACTGGATTAAGAACCGCTTCCCGACCATTTATCAACACTGTCTTGACCATGGTATTGATATGACGAAGGAACCAATGCCAGTCGTTCCGGCTGCTCATTACCATTGCGGTGGTGTTGAGGTTGATTTGCAGGGTCGTACATCGGTTTCTGGTTTATATGCTGCTGGCGAGGTGAGCTGCACTGGTCTTCATGGTGCGAACCGTTTGGCTTCGACTTCTTTGTTGGAAGGTTTAGTTTGGGGCTGCAGTTCTGCTGACGATTATATGAAGCGTCGTAAATTTTTGAAGTCTGAGAGTTTTAAGAAAGAGGATAATCCGTTTGCCAATCTGAACGGCTTTCGAGATCCGTACCCGAACGAGGTGGAGGAGGTGATGCTGGCAACTCAGCGCATCATGTGGGAGTCAGTGGGCCCCATTCGCACAAAAGCTGGCATGAGTAGCGCAGTGGATAAGCTAGCACTCCTTGAGGTCAAGGCAGACAAGCTGCATCAAGAGTGTCGTGTTACCCGCGAGACCGCGGGGTTGCGCAATGCTGTTCGCACCGCCAAGGAGATAGCTTTAGCGGCGCTTAACAGCCACGTGTCGGTGGGAACTCACTATATCGTGCAGGCGTAAATTTTCATTTCTTTTACGATCACGTATTCATTTACTGCATTAGTCGACTGATAATACAAAAAAACGCTGGCAACTTTCACACTACACTTGCGCTTGCATGGTCTGAAGATTTGATTTGGAATAATGTTACAGTCAACAGTTCTAGCGTATGAGCAATATGCGTCAAGTTTTAGAATTCTGGACTTGTACGATTGACGATGAAGAGGCCCGCCCATTTTGCACATTGTAGCATGATGCTTGTCCACGTGAAGCTTCATTTGTAAAGATAAGCGCCATTTTATACTCCTCGATTTAATTCGACACCGCTTTCTTGCGCTTATAAATTGCATACTCCGCATAATGAACGTATCGTGGCGTGAGCAGAGGGATGTAAAATGATCGATAAGGTGACTTGGATCGCTCTGCGTCGAGAAACTGTTCCGAATACACAAGCTCCCACGTTGCAGGCTCCTCCCAGAATTTGATCTCTTTTTGACTCGGCAGGTTCAAATCCACTACAAAGTCGCAAGCGTCAATGGACACATATCGGCTAGGTTCTTCGCGGTTTTGGTTATTCATAGCGCTGGGAATAATTGAGGTACCGTTCATATGCTCCTCAAAAGGCTTTGGTAGTAAACCTGAGAACGATGACTTGACAAACTGCACCTTGGTATTGTTGGACGGAATAAAAAAGCTGGTCGGAAAACGATACCATTCCTTCGTAAGACACAAGTTCACTGTCGTTGTCGATGCAGTTACACCGTCATAAAACATGTCAGTCTGAGGATTTGGGAGCAACTTTGCATACAAATGTTGGTACACGCGAAGCGGAGCGCTGAAGTTGACGACATTGCTGACAACTCGAGAAACAGATAGCAGCGAATAGACACCGAGCGTACCTAGTACAAACAACTGCGAGAGTCTGTTGTTCAGAACACGGATGTGACTGAAATATTGCCCAATACGATACACCATTGCGCTCAACGTAGTTGCAGAAGCCAAACAAAATAGTGGGTAGACTGGGGACAGAAATCGTTCCTCCTTGTGTGCCTGAGAAAACATAATCACTACCCAAATGTACATGGGAGACAAATACATCACCAATTGCATTTTTCTAGTCTTGTAGTGACTAGGAAGTACAAATACAAAGATAACGGCTGGTGCGGCCAATATCGCCACAACATTAAAGTTGAGAGCAAGATTCAACAAGTAATAACTCATTGGTTCCGTTCCGTAAAGCGTTGAGTCCGTCTCGTTACTCAGTACATTGTACACAAAAATATTCCATGCTGGTAATACCCAGCGTTGATAGTAGTTAAAGTTGACAAGTAACTCAAGTACTAGAACGATTCCACCCATAGCTGCACCGACTAGAATGCTCTTGATCAATCCACGCGTATAGAGTGTTTCAACTGTGAATGGAATGAAAAGAACACCAACGTATGGCCAGCCACAAAGCACGGCCACAACTCCGTAAAAGAGAGCTAGATAATGACTCTTGTTCATCCACGCACTAGTAAACAGCATGACGAGCATCATTGAGAAACTGCTGGGTAAGAAAGCGGTGCTCGCATGAAAAATACCAGTATTAAACAATAAAATAAACAATAGATAGCAGGCAGTGCGTTGTCCAAAGTGTCTACTAGTAGCATAGTAGAATAAAGCCTCAGCGTACGCACAGATGAGACCCAAGACTGTACGTAGACCGTAGAACAGCAGCAATTTTTGGTCGACCACAAGTCCTAGTATAGGGAAAAAAACGAGAAGTTTCATGACAACATAGTGAAGTAACAGATACAAGTAGGAACGTAATGCATACGTTGGAGAATATTCCCACGTTTGAAGACCAAAGCGATAGAGTAAATAATGCAGCGGTTCCCAGTAATTAAACGTCTCGTCACAATCGACAATGGGATTTAATAATGCAGAAACAATACGAAGAAAAGAAAGTATTGAGAATGCGTCATTTATCGATGGAAGCCATAGTAAACATTCATCCAATTCCTCATTATGTGTCGCTTTAATGCTACTATCAAATGCCTTTGATTTTGACTTGATGACGCATTGACGCATGATGACGAAGATGATGATGAATTGTAAATACTTTACCAAATATAGTGTGAAGCACGCTATTTACGAACTAATGGTCTAATGCAGATTAACAAGTACCTTGATTGAGCAATAGCGATGAGCAGGACATTGTATTCATACATGAACAATCAGTGACACTTCTTTAATCTTGATCTTGATTGAATAATCCATACTAATGCTATATTCGCTTGTCCTTTCTTCATGATCTATATGTACATCCACATACCACATGCTTTACATTTGCCAAAACTCGTTAAATGACTGCGCATCGTCAATAGCAGCCTCTGTTGCTGCTCGGTCAATTCTGTCCCGAATCGTTCTATATCTTTCACTCCTCGTTGTATTGTTGTCTGTTGTGGATGTAAACTTCATTTCGCGTAGATTCGTGCGCTCAACAACACTTGAGTCACTTGGTACTAGACCACCTCGACTCTTCCTGTTGGACACACAGTTTGTCGCTGCATGTTCCTTGTCTTGGAGCTCGTTGTGATATATTTGTGAATCAAAAAAGGTCTGCCATCCTCGTGCATCTACAGAACACAACAGTATTGTCAGAGCAAGTTGTAAGACGCTACCAGTACAGCGTTCTCTCACCATTGAAATCGGGAAGTTTGACCTGCAGCAGCTCAGATACAGCATCTGACACGGCGTTTCCATTCACGGCTTCCGAATGTCGATCATTTCGTTTCCTATGTCCGTCGCGATACGCTCGTACAGGCTCAATCTTATCACCATCAAAGGTTTCCCACGTTCGTAAATTAGCTCCATTCGCTATCGTTGGCGTGGTAGGTGTATCTGACTGGTCACTCAACCAGCTCAGTCTGTCCTCGCTCGTCGTTCTCGAACGACTGCAGTGTCTCTTCCTGTTTCTTGCTCTGACGTAAGGAAGTAACGAATATACCAACAAAGCTGCTACTAGAGTTCCACCAAACAAAGCACTAGCTTGACCAGCGCTCGTCGAGTCACAAGTTTGCTGTCGTTCTTCCTTTTCACATTGCAACTGCTCAACAAGTGAAAACGCTCCGATTTCTGGTGGGCACATTTCTAATTCTTTGTTGGGATTACTAGAACCGGGTGCAGGAAGCTCTAAATAGAGTGGAAAAGTCGTATTTAATTGCGTATATGAAGGTGCTGGTCGTAGTGTAAGACGATAAACTAAACAAAGACCAAAATGCAAGAGAGCATAGAGTAAATTTCTTCTAATAATCCAAACAAAACGCTTCAATAGACGAAAAAACTGTACCATAATGTGCGCAACTGAGTTGCATGATAATGTCGACGTCTTTTAGTGTTACTCTTTCTTCTCGTATGTGTTGCCAATGTCCATTGAAATTTAAGTTTAATTGATGCATATTTTGCTCTGTTATTTTCATGTCAGACAAGTAAAAATTCGTCATTTACACATTTACCCCGCAATATGGTTTTTTTCAAGCCGGAGATTACATAAAACAACGTCGTCTTGTGGCATGAATCGGTTGATGGTAAACGCCGCGGCGGTGCTAACCATTAGAAAAGGACAATTAACTGGCTCTGCACGACGTAAGGTCTGAATATATATATACCCAGCTTTACAATGTCGCGACAGTATAAAGTCCAGCTTAATAAAAAACAAACAGGTGCTACTGAATAGAGGATGTGAGCGACAATTGACGCTGTCACACATGCAAAATCAATGTTATATACAAAAACCAAGACATTTACTTGTCAGCAAGTCTTTCCTGATACATGGCGTTGCAGAGACATGGCACGTAATAGATGTTCCGACGTCGTCTGACGCGTGCATTGTAATGCCAATGTGATGTGTACAAGCGTTTTTTTTCGCTCTTGATGTGCAAAAAGGTTCAATTTCTTACGGTAAGGGGCAAGTAGATTGCTACCTCACCACGAGTCTAGTCGTTACGATGATAATGAATTCTCCATCATGCCATATGCTCGGTCCAGCTGGTCAGTACTTTTGAAGCCTACTGCATTCACTGTAACGCCCTGTTTCATTCGTTTTGCAAAGTAATTAGTTTCCTAAGGGCAATGACATATTACATTGAGTCAAGCCTGGTTTTTGTAAATATACTATTATACAGGTTCTTGCAAACCGGTCACAATCTGATGTTCCTTCCGCCATTTTTTTTCGAACAATCTTGACCTAGAAACTCATTAAAAAGCTCCATCCAATGCTCTACTACTCATTCAACAACCAGCAACGTCTAGCGCAAGTCACCTATAATTACAATCACCATGCAAACCTCTTGCCAATTGGACTATACTGTCTCTGATCGAGCACGCGCCTACGCCCATGAGGATATTAAACTCAACAGTATCAGCATTCTCAACGATTCAACAAGTAGCAACTCATGTACTGTCAAGGATGAACCCATCATACCAGTAAAACAGCCCGTCGTGTACGAGTCATCATGGTACAGCATAGGACACAGTTCCATGGCCGCCGACGTTCGTATCCCAAGTTTCCTTATTCCATGTTCAGCTAGTCAGCTAATGGATGCACGTTACAAGTCCCGGAAGTTTTCAAGTGTGATTGCTGATGATAGAAATTCCGTCAGTCCTGCTGCTTAGAACGCAGTTGAAGCATGTCGTATAGTGTCTTTAATATATATTTTTTAAAAAAAAAAAAAAAAAAAAAAAAAAAAAAAAAAAAAAATTTTTTTTTTTTTTTTTTTTTTTTTTTTTTTTTTTTTTTTTTTTTTTTTTTTTTTTTTTATTAATAATTTGTTTTTTGGTTGTTTGTTTTTTTTTTTTTTTCCAAAAAAAAAAAATAGTCCATAATAAAACTCATCAGCTCATGTGACTTGCTTCCTATTACTTCGAAGGATCAAACTGTAGCAGCATTGCACGCTACTCACTCTTTCTTTCTTCGATCCAATTGATCAATATTGAATCTATACTTCATTGTGAAATCTGGCCAACTATCCTCACCTATAACCTGCTATTTCTAGCCTTCTCACACAGATCCCCAACGTAAAGAGATATCACGTGTGTTCATTAGCTGATATTTATAACATCTCATTAGCTCTAATCACACAAGTTTGTGCATTCTTAACCGTACAAAATACAGGGTTCTTTGTCGATAGCTGCAGGATAGTATGGACGAGCTTCACGATGCCATTCAGGACGCGCAGTACATTGGTGCAGTTACAAACTCTCAACGAGGCCCGAGTGCAGCGTTTTACAACCCGTCACGTAATGAACTTACGCAGTTTATGAAGATTCAGAAACGTGAGCTAGGAGAAGACTGGCTTGACCTTGAGAATTTGCTGGATATGCCACTCGGCTTCTACTTTTTCGGTGGTTTTGTAAAGTAGAGCAGCACAGAAGTTGCAAAAAGCTCAATTTTTTGATCGAGGTGACAAAGTTTCGCTTGCTGCAAACTGCTGAGCAACGTGCTGTCAAGGGAAGAGAAATCTGGGATTTATTTATTGGAAATGCCACGACAGAAGGTGACTCAAACACGACACCACGACAACATGGATTCACGATATGGTCGCCAGACAGAAGGAGAGATGCGGGTCGTCTGGTGTCGCCACCCTCTTCGTTATCAACATCAGCAGAGACTGATTATTTATCTACTTGTACCGTTTTACATAGTCCACCGGTGAGTCGACCATGTTCTTCGCAAACGTCGGTAGGTTTTCTCGACGATTTAAGCGTCGCCTCGAAGACGACGAATGGGATTGTATTTTGGCGCAAGAATGAGTCTTCGGTAACTCGAGAAAATGCACGGAGTATGTTCAGTGTTGTGGCGACGGATGCACATGCACTTGGCGTTGGCGGTGAAGTAGTGCACCGGTTGAGCGCGGTGTTTAAGTGCAAACAGTCTGTGTTAGAACCTGATGTGGATCGTAGAGACTTGCTAGATTGCGTTCGAGATGTCAGTTTGCCAGCTTGCCCTACTGCTAGCACTGTGTCTTTAAGCGAACCGAACGATCTTGGCTTGAAGAATAGCATGGAGAACTTGGCATTTAAAACTCGAAGCCACAAGCGCTTGAACGTGGATTTTTCGGTTTTTGCGGTGACGCTGTTTGATGAGTTGGAAGCTTGTGTGCTGTGCAGTCTGGAGCAATATGATCTAAATGCCTTTCGTGCGTCTGCATTTTACACTCGATTGATCACATTTCTTTTCGTGCAAAAGCGGCGAGTGAGCAAGGACGATTTTTCACTGCTTCGTGTTCTTGGACGCGGCGGCTTTGGTATGGTAAATGGATGCATCAAACGTACGTCGGCTTCACTATACGCTATGAAAGTGATGAATAAGAAGATGATCAAGAAAAGACACGCAGAAAAAATGTGCCTTGCAGAGCGAAAGATTTTGACTATGATTTCATCACCGTTTGTTGTATGTCTGAAATACTCTTTCCAGACGCCAGAGGAGTTGTTTCTAGTTTTAGACTTGCGTACTGGTGGAGATCTTTCTTTTCACCTCAACCGTGCAAGGTTCTCGGAGACTCAAGTGCGTTTCTGGGCCGCTCAAATTCTGCTGGGTATTCAACACTTGCACGAGAAAAATATTGTGTATCGAGATTTGAAGCCCGAAAATATTTTGCTGGACGAGAAGGGAAATTGCAGCCTTTCTGATCTCGGTCTTGCCGTGGAAAAAACAGCGACGTTAACAGGAAGGTGTGGCACTCGTGGATATTGGGCCCCAGAAATGCTGCTTCGTGACGAAGATGGAAATCGTTTGGTATACAATCAGATGGTAGACTGGTGGAGTTATGGGTGTTTGGTCTATGAACTTCTATATGGCAAATGCCCTTTCCGGACGTCTAAGGCCAAAGCTCTTCACGAAGACAAGCAACAAGCATATGATAAAGCTACATTGGAGCTCATTCCTTCATACGACTCGAGATACTTTTCTGCTGACGCAGTTGATCTCATTCAGCGTAAGTTTGTAATGATGGTGAAAAGTTGAATATGGATGGGGTGCTCACGCTTTTGCTTGATTTTGTGTAGAACTGCTGGTACGTGACCCGAATCAACGATTAGGAGCAAAGGGAGCAGAAGAAATCAAGAGCATGCGATTCTTTTCATCAATTGATTGGCCACAGATGGAGTTGATGCAAGTGCCACCACCGTTTGTGCCCAACAATGAGATCAACGCTGCGTCTCAATCCGACATTGGCTCGTTTGATATTTCTGCTGTCAAGGGAATCAAATTATCAGAACAGGAGCAAGCTGCATACAGCGATTGGGATTATGTCTGCCACGAGACATTTCAGCGTGAGGCGGTGGAATATCTTGTGTGGGAAGCTAAGAACGGCCCATGCACCATTGGAATCCATAACCACGATTCATGCTGCTTAATATTATAAAAATGTAGTAAGTTATCCTTTTTGTTATATTGTAAGCAATAAGTAGTACTTATGTAAAATGCAGTACACACTCATACTTTTGTATACGATGAGCTATTGGCTATCAGCTTCAATGTGGATATCCAATCAAAACGTAGTATCTCAACTCACGTCGGCATATTCCGGTTGACCCGACGTTGTGTCAATTTCCCTTTGTACTTTTGTACTATCTTCAAACAACATTGTAATATTGCAGTGTGCACATTACAATACTAAAACGAAGTAGCTGTTCATAACCTTGATCTTTTTATAGAAATAACTTACCCAATCTAAATCAAATCGTCAAGGTTCCGTGTTTCTATAATTGATCACAGACTGACGTCGATTCAACCTCATTACAGTATTTGCACAACATCTAAAAAGACGTTTTAACACTCAAGACCTCTTTATCATGTTCATTGGACCTATACAGCGCACTCTGACGGCATTTCCTACACTCTTCAAGCCTGCGTACGTTTACCTCTTCTTTACTTACGTAATTTCTGACCCTAAGACGTGAAATTGCGTCCTCAGCACTTATTTTAACGGTTTTGTTGGGTTCCTAATAGACAAACACGTTCTATCGGCTTCCTGTCAACGCTACCGGAGGAACATTTGATGCTACGTGACATGTGCGTGCAATACGCGGCCAAAAACCTTACACCAATTGCTGGGAAGCTGGATAAGGAGCACAAATTTCCGGCGAAGCAAGTGAAGGAGCTGGGGGAGATGGGGCTTATGGGCGTTGCCATTGACGACCAGTATGGAGGAGCAGGGTTGGACTATTTGGCCTACGCTATTGCAATTGAGGAGATAAGCCGCGGTTGTGCAAGCACGGGTGTCATCATGTCTGTCAATAATGTACGTTTATCATTTGTTCTTACATGTACAATGAGAGTTTGAAACGCTGACTGGATTGTATGTATTGCAGTCGTTGTATTGTGCACCGCTGGAGAAATTTGGCACTTTAGAACAAAAGGAAACACACTTGACACCATATGCTAGTGGAGAGAAACTTGGTTGTTTTGGACTGAGTGAGCCGGGCAATGGCAGTGATGCTGGTGCTGCGTCGACCACAGCACGTGTTACTGACAAGGGCTATGTGCTAAACGGCACGAAAGCATGGATTACAAATGCTCATGATGCAGATCAGGCTATTGTGTTTGCTACGACGGACAAGTCGCTGAAACACAGGGGTATTAGTGCATTTATTGTGCCGACAGACGCTGAAGGCTTTTCGCTGGGGAAGAAGGAGGAAAAGCTAGGGATTTGCGCATCTAGCACAGGCAATCTCATTTTCGAAGACGTCGAGATTCCAAAGGAAAATCTTCTTGGCAAAGAAGGAGATGGATTCAAGATTGCTATGATTACCCTGGACTCGGGCCGAATTGGCATTGCGTCGCAGGCGCTGGGTATTGCTCAAGCTTCGTACGACTGTGCTATTGCATATGCCCAGACCCGTAAGGCATTTGATGTGCCTTTGGCGAAGAATCCCATCATCCAGACCAAGCTGTCAACAATGGCTACAGAGATTGAGGCTGCACGTTTGTTGACGTGGAAAGCTGCTGTCGAGAAAGATGCCGGTCGACCATTTACAAAATTGGCGGCCATGGCAAAGCTCAAGGCATCAGAAGCTGCCACAATGTGCTCTCACCAGGCCATCCAAATACTTGGTGGTATGGGCTACGTAACTGAAATGCCAGCTGAACGTCATTACCGTGACGCACGTATTACGGAAATCTACGAAGGCACGTCTGAAATTATGCATTTGGTCATTGGTGGAGCACTTAACAAGGAATTTAGTGCGACTAGTTAGTCACAATGTTAGTGCAAGCAAGTGTCTTTTTGTGACGAAAACAAGGAATGTCAAAAGTGGCTTAATGTTGAAGTTGGCATAGAAAACATCGTTAAATATCATAACTCTTATCACATAATGTGATGTAAACGACTAGTATTAGCTCTTTTAAAAGCATATACCCTTCTTTATCTGTCATACCAGCTTGCTATCGGTTTTAGCAAGTAAATATCAAGTATCTTGTATTCCGTCATGACCGTACAAGACGTTCGTCAGGCGTTAGACGCGTTTGCATTAGTCAACTACATTCATACACACTTGGGTACTTCACACGGTGCTATTGAGTCAATTTGTCAATTTCAACATGGTCAGTCGAATCCTACATACCTCGTGACAATGGTTAATTCAAAAGCTCAATGGGTATTACGTAAGAAACCACACGGTCAGATTCTACCCTCAGCACACGCTGTAGAACGTGAGTATCAAGTATTAAAGGCTTTAGAACATACACAAGTGCCAGTACCACGTGCTATTCTCTTGTGTGAAGACCCTCAAGTGATTGGCACGGTCTTTTACCTTATGGAATACGTGCATGGTCGTATATTTCAAAATTCATTATTGCCTGGTATCAAACCAATGTATCGTTATGCCATGTACAGCTCCGTGTTGGATGTATTAGTAAAGTTACACGAACTTGACTACACACAAATTGGATTAGTGGACTTTGGTAAACCAGACAAATATTGTCATCGAGTCGTGGCGCGATGGAGTCGACAAGTGCAAATGGGACAAAATGTCTTTGTAGAAGAAGGAGCGAAGGTTAACCCAAAGATGTTACAGTTGCAACACTGGCTTGAGAAAAATGCGCATGATGCAGAAAAGGCGACGACAGCGACAGATGGAATACCTTGCATTGTTCACGGAGATTTTCGGATCGACAATATGATCTTTCACCCGACCGAGCCAAGGGTAATTGCGATTCTTGACTGGGAGTTGTGTACAATTGGGAACCCATTTGCTGATTTGGCGACGCTAGCACTGGCGTATAGAGTTCCAAATGACAACTCAAGTACGATCATGCCCCCTGGACTCTCGAACGCTCCGTTAAAGAAGCTCGGCATTCCACTGGAAAGCGACTTGGTGATAGGATATTGCAGTCGTGCAAGGCGCTTCCCGGTTAGTAACCAGACATGGAACTTTTTCATGGGTATGGTTGTGTACCGCTTTGCTGCAATCTGCCACGGAGTGTACGCACGTGCGTTACTGAGCAATGCGTCGTCTGCAAACGCTGTGTGTGCAAAATTGACGATGGATCGTCTACTGGCGATGAGTGAAGACGTCATGAATGCTTCAGCAGATATCTACCCTGATCCGGTGCTAGAGCACATACTGCCGTTCCCAATTCGTCCGCACGCATTGCAGATCTACAAGAAATTGCTGAAGTTTTGTCAGAATCGCGTATACCCCGCGGAGTATGTATATCTCGACCAAATTGCTAAGGCACGGAATGAAGGTCGTGTTTGGAATGTCGCACCATCAATCGTTGAGAAGCTCAAGGCCGAAGCAAAAGCGTTGGGGCTCTGGAACCTTTTCCTATCTGAGTGCGTGGTGCCCGCAGTCGATGGCAAGGGACCCGACGTCAAATACGGCGGAGACCTGACGAATCTTGAGTACGGACTGATGTGCGAGGTAATGGGTCGCTCGATCATGCTGGCGCCTGAGGTCTTCAACTGCTCGGCTCCTGACAGTGGCAATATGGAGATCCTCTCGCGTTTCTGTACTGTGACGCAGAAGCATCAGTGGCTTGTACCTCTACTCAAAGGCAACATCCGGTCATGCTTTGCTATGACGGAAAAGCGTGTTGCTTCGTCTGATGCCACAAATATCGAAACAAGTATTGTGCGCGATGAAGAGTGTCAAGAGTACGTGATCAACGGACACAAGTTTTATATCTCCGGAGCCGGCGACCCGCGTTGCAAAATCATTGTGTTGATGGGCAAGCATCCAGAGAGATCAAATGAGAGCGTGTTTAAGCAGCAGTCAATGATCCTGGTGCCGATGGAAACGCCCGGTGTGCACATTGTGAAGCCCATGCACGTTTTTGGCTACGATGACGCACCGCACGGACACATGGAGATGGTATTTAGGGATGTGCGCGTTCCATTCAGCAACATTTTGCTCGGTGAAGGTCGTGGTTTTGAGATTGCACAGGCAAGACTTGGACCGGGTCGTATCCATCACTGCATGCGTACGATCGGTGCAGCAGAGCGTTGCCTTGAGATGATGGTGCATCGTGCCAAGACGCGCACAGCATTTAAGCAGCTGCTGGCCGAAAATTCGCTTGTGTGTTCTCAGATTGCCAAGTCACGCTACGAACTGGACAGTGCGCGGCTTCTTACCTTACAAGCCGCACACCAGATGGACGAGCGAGGCAACAAGGTCGCGCAGCAGGCTATTGCCATGATCAAGATTGTCGCGCCTAATATGGCGCTAGGTGTCTGCGACCGAGCCATTCAGCTTCACGGCGCTGCCGGAGTGGGCCAGGACTTTATTCTGTCGTATTTGTATGCAATGCTCCGCACGCTCCGCATTGCCGATGGACCCGACGAGGTGCACATGCGCACTATCGCAAAGCTTGAGCTGAGCCACTCGAAACTGTAGACTGCCACGACCGGTGCGATAATAAGTTTGAAGGTCCTCGAATGAGACGGTAATCATACGAGATGACGTCATTGATTCTACATTGAGAATGTAGCTAGCTAGTCTTGTTAAGGCCATCTACTCTTCAGGTGCGCTGTTGCGACATTGAATCGATATATAAGGCTTTAGACTAAGATGCTGACCGTAATGCTAGGCAGTAAGGTTCATAATTTGCAAACTGCAGCTCCGCAGCAGCGCTTGATGCAAGTGGACAATTGTGAAGCGCTTCGTTGTGTATCTTTCGCCAAACAACCTGGCTCATAGAAGCGTGATCTGCAATCTCACGAAGACTTCAAGCAAATGCAAAATTTCATGGTTAACTGCTTCAAATATAATTTAGTGCAAGCACCGTCGCGACAGCACTGTTTCTTCTTCTAGCATTGGTATAATGACGTTTTTGGCACATACATACGCTGCGACATCATGGCACCGTCAAGGCGTGACGGATAAAGCTACAGCAGTTATACGCAATGTGCTGGCTGCGTCACCATTTAATCCCAGCACCCAAATCATTTCCGATTTTGTACGTGACTGGAAGTTGAAGTTGTGACCATCACTCATCCCGCAAAAGTTGCAGTTCGGCATCATTCCGCATTTTGTAGTTTGATAAGCAAGTGACCATCAAAAGACATGAGCAAGAAGCGATGCAGTGTCAATAAATGGTCGATTGAGGTCTACGATTATGAGCGAAAAGCAATTACCGACGAAGCCGTGGGCGGCATTGATCTTCGAAGAGGCTATTGGATCCACTGCAAATGGTGCATCATAATACACTTCAAATAGGATAATTATAGGTAACCAATACAATGTTTTGTCATGTGATACTTTTACTATCTACGCAGGTGTAACACGACATTGAAGACGACATCGTTTTCACTTGTAAGCTGGAAGTGTCATACGAAGACAAAGACGCACTTGGTCCGCGAGCAAAAGACTGGAGACGGAAGCTCGCAGCCTCAGGTTATCAGCTGCTCGTCTCAGTCCTCGGTGCACAGCTTAACAACCAGCTTGCAAGAGAGTGGAAAGGTTTCGCTCGGAGGTCAATCGATCGAAGATCACGAGTCATTGATGCTAGTTCGTCGTGATCTTTACAAGAACAAGCAAGACCAGGCTCGGCATGAGAAGGACGTGAACAATGTAATTAACGCGATGACTAATCTAATCACCGAGCAACAAAGTGACTTGAACTCGTTGCAAGACAAAGTGTACGACATGAAACACGAAATACAAGAACTAAAAAAGGAATTGCATATCTTTCATTGCAAAAAAACTGAGCAAAAGAACATGCGAGCGCCGCAGAAAAAGATAGCTGCATTAACTTCGTTTACTACTCGACATATACCCGAGAGTCGTGGGTTTCCAAAAAAGACTGAAGGCGGTCACAACAACGGAGCGTGGTTCAGAAGTTCCGGGAAGAATTCCAGTAGCAACAACAACAAAATGAAGAGGAACACGTCAGATATGGATAATTTCGAAAAACGCTTCCGACTCACGGGACGCGGGTAATCAAAAAGAATATTGAAAACGTACGAGAACATCACGACAGGTAACCAACCCTCCTCAGGCAAAACAAAACAAAATGGTCGGCGTTTAAAAAAACAGCTGACGTGTTTCACTCTCTGTTTGTTCAACCGGGCAGGTAGGGCACTTGAATTGCCTGTAGGTTTGACAGGATTTCGAGTACAAACACGCAAATGAGTGTCAGGCCAGACCAAAGCATCAAAATGAGATCCTGGGGACAACAAACCGAGTCATGTTGTAAGAAAATCGACTGACACAGCTGCGGCAAATCACATGGCCACATTTTAGCAAAATTGGTGGATTCTCTGGGGTGCTTTCTTCTTTCGACACTGGACAGGAAAACACATTGTGAAATCGAAGCTCCTTTGCAATTGGTATCTCCACCTGTACGGCAACAAAAATACGTCTTGTTTCAGCTCCACATCAGATTACGAGGCTTCTTCACTACGTACAGGCAGTTCCTCCATGCTGGCCCAGTCAGCCAGCTTTGTATCCATAACCGACGCAAGCTTCCGCATTGCAGGCAGCGCTGGTACACCTGCTGCCAAGCTACATATTTTACGTTGGGATCTGTAGTAAGCGTTCATCTCAACGCAAAAAACGTACCATGTATCGAGATATGACCGAGATGGAACACAACGAAGGCGGCAGCATGCCCGGATCACGGCTTCGTGAATATCTTCCCAACGATTGACATTAAAGAGCGTTTTGTACGGTGATTCTTCCAGCTTCCCTTTAAACAGTACGCAGCTCATCAACACCCCAACCTCTGCAAAACGAACGAGCAACTAATTTAGCACACGCATTTTTCAGATAGACCACGTGCTAATTTACGTACCTTCTGCGTGTGTCTGATGAAAATAAGGAAGTTCCTTGTTTGCAAAACTGACTGCATCCATCATATCTGACGAGGACTCAAGGATGTCCACGTACTTGTGCCGAACCAATTCAAACTCAATGTCAATCTCCAGTGATTCTAGTTCTTTGCGGTGTTTCCGTGCCCAGCTGAAGTGCATCAAAAACAATAACATTAATCATTGGCCTTCAAATCAAAATATGCACGTTTGCGACGGAATAAGACAGTTACTAGGCAACGTACTCAAGTGCAGGCTGTACATCATGCTTTTCTATTGCTTTCAAGATCTTGTGCAGTTCAATAAAGCAGTTTCTTATTGTCGAGGGTAGCTCGAGTCCCGCTTCCTTAAATACATGTACATGTGACTCGACACTATAATGCTCACTGCACAATCAATATATGCCTACCTTGCACATTGCATCTGCCGCCTCAATCTGTCCTTCCTGGTAAAGATACTCAACCACGAGACGGCACACAATCTTTTGGTCGATTTCATTTGTCCGACACACCTTTGTTATATCTGTACAAAGATTCTAGAGCCACAATAGACAGGAATCAGATTGCTTCATACCCACACAACTACTTTGAAAAGAACCATTCACCTTATCAATATACTTTGAAAATCTCGACAGCAATATGTGGATAGACTTGAGTTCACTGGCAACATTCTTTTCAATATTCAACTGCTTCACTCGATTGATAAAGTCCTTTACAATATACTCGGTCTCATTGTCCTGCTCCTCGACTCCCATATCCTTTTGCTTTGCCTCCAATCCCTCAGCATTGCACGTCAATCCAGCTGCCTCTAACAGTGTTTTGTCACGATAATCTAAAGCTTTTATTTCTTCATTATTATTGCTACTTTCTTGACTATCGATTGTTATTTCGCTTTTCTCCGCCAAGATACTTGATGACTCGTTCAAGTGACGGTTCTTTTTACGATAGAGCTCCTTCTGTCGATCTTCGAGCTGTTGTTTCGTTGTCTCCACTTGCGCCAGTAGCTCATCAAGCTGGCGATCAATCTGTGCCACACACACTCGTTGTTTCTTCAACACACGTGTGCTTTCTTCTCGTAATGTCTGCTGCATCTTGAGCTATTAGATGCTTTGTATAAAGGGTACCTAAATAGACTATTTTTTGGTAATTTTGAGAGCAAATTAGAGTAGAAGAACAAAAGGACAAAATGGGTACATTTATTTGAGATGCACCAAATTGCAGCTTATTGATTACAAATCAACGAGAGAAAGTTGGAAAAAAACCTTATGAAACAATATTTTCCGACATTTGTATTTAATGAAAGTAGAATGTCAAACGCATTGTTAAGCGCAGGCGCACATGATATCTTAGGTGAAAGTCTTTATCTTGTAACGGAAATACATGTTTAAACAGAGTCAGTCGTTAGTAGAAACGCTGCAGCTGAAATCGTTCGTTTCTATAAAATAATATGTTTTCATGTTGAATAGAGTGTTTTTACTTTATTCCTTTAAAATATCGTCTTCTTTTTCTATCGATTCATTTGCACAACTTGTTTTATATTCATTCAAATCAAGTCACTGATTTCTTTTTTTTATTTACAATTTTTTTAAAAAAAAAACCTCTCTCAGACCCTTTCTGACCAGTTGTTAGTCACTTTTTCTCTTTTCTCTAAACGTTCACACGAAATTCCTATCAAAAAAAAATTTTTTACCTTGAAAAAGACTTTGTTGCCGTCTTATGTTTTTACTTAAACCAACGTCAGCTTCACCAACAGCAGCATCTACTCATCATCGTTTGTACGTAAATCTTGTCGCTTCTGAATGGAAATATGTAGCAGAAGGAGGTGCAAATGTTTTATTTCGTCATCGACCGAATGGAGAAGCTGCATTTAGTCAAATTGCAAACGAATTCAAGGGAAAATTATTACGTATAAAGAAACGTGATGTGGTCCAAAACTCAATTCGAACTGAAAAGGAGCAGCGAAAGAAAAAACATCGAGCTATTGTAGGTGAGAAACCATATGTACCACACTATCCACACCCGAAAAAAGTGCTGGCTTATGCTACAAATGAGATTATGCCATTTCTAAAGCAGCAATTGAATGGGAATGTTGAGGATCGTCACGTGACTTGTTATAGTAGAGAGAATACGTATTTACAGGTCGCAGAACTTGCAGATGTTGAAATTGAGTTTTTAGAGGCATTAAATACCCAACTCTTGACACTTGAGTGTCGACCAGATCATCGAAGACAGAGTGAGATTGATGTCTCATTGCAATGTGTGATGGTATTACCGGATGTGACATTACCACCACCAGATGAAGATCGAAATGCATTTAACTTTTTTCATTCGAAAAGGATGTTACAAGAAGTAGAAGCTGCAGATAGAGAAGAGAAGAAGGAATTGATCATGCGCTTGGAACGATGGGAGTTGATTCCACATGAGACAAAGAAAGAGGAGGAGGATGATGATGGAGAAGAGGGAGAGAGTGGTATGGGTGAGATAAAAGCCAATAGCATAGCTGATGTCGTTTGTAGCAGCACAAGTGTCAGTAGCACTTCAGACAAGGAAGACGACGATGAGGAAGAAAGTATACTGAAGGAGAAAGGGTTGAATACGATATTGAATCGGTCTGGTAGACTGCATTGTGGAAATATGCCACATACCCTCATGACTGCACACACCTCTTCATTTCATGCTGAAAATGTGTTTGACTGCTGTTTCCGCAATATTTGCGTGGAACTAAAGCCGAAGATTGGATTTAAACCAAAGGGGCCATTGGTTAGCCCTACGAAGGCACGTGTGTGCCGATTTTGCATGCACCAACACTACAAGAAACGGACTGGTAAGGTGGAAGAAATTAGTCAATATTGTCCGTTAGATTTATTCTCAAAGGACTCAGGTAGGAAGCGACGGGCTCTTCGAGCATTGCAGCGAACACCTCAGAACAATTTCAAGGTATTCGTGCGCTCGGCAGAGGATGAGGTGGTAAATGTCATTACGGGTCTCAATGCTGACGCGTTGCCGAAGGGTGCGGCTCAGTCACGGTACTCTTATTGTCGACGGAAGCGAATGGGCTTGCGGCACTCTTGCCAGTCAATGGGTGCTGAGCACGAGAGTGTGCTCGATGAAAACGCAGAGCACGAGCGCGATCATGCGCAACTGATGCCCGAAGTAGTTGAGCTGATCACACAGGTTTTACAGGACCTTGCTATTCTAGACGACTTGAAGCAGATGCAATTGCTAGACCACATATCAGTGGATGGTGTGTGGCATCTTCAATTGCTGTTGAAGCGACTTGATGAAGAGAATAAGAAAGCAACGTCATTGCAATCAGATACAACAGTGGGTCAATTAGTAGCAGCAATACGGCAGCACTCTACTTCCTCGAGTGACGAAGATGTTGATCAAGAAGAAAGTCTAGCACGTGGATTGGCTTTTCTCCGTATTGCGCTGAACCATCTGCCCGAGTTAGATGTGCTACAAGAAGTGAAGTCGTGGGAGACTATGCGTCTCGAGCAATTTCATGATTTGTACACGGAGCTCGAGAAACGATTTCAGGTAGCCACGACGTTGAAAGATTGTTCACTGCTTTTGTGCTTGCGCCGCTCGCCCGGTGACGATGCAGCTCGAGGCGACGATTGTCGAAACAAGACGTTGGAAACACCACGGCCTCGTTTCGAGCATCTCGCAGAATTTGAGCACCACGTGCGGTTTCGCGACCTAGCTTTTGATTGTGTCGTGGCAATCGTAGATTTGGATGTCAAATCGCACAAGTCGGTGGAGGATTACTACCGTCTGGATGAGAAGATAGCAACGAATTTTCACCGCGAGTTTGGCGATCGCGGTGTGGCACAGACTGTATGCCACGAAGACTGAGAGTGTTTGGTCTCTTGTTTTTTCAGAACCCTTCCGTCGTTTGCAGTCTACGCGTGTGAGGAAATAAATACCTGGATAACGTTGACTCACTGAGAGATTACACACATTGTCACCAGGAAAAAGATCTCTCGCCTTAAATTTGAATCAACTGATTGCAATCACGGGTTTGTGCACTGAATGTTGAAGAAATGCTCAGCTGCAGGAGGTTGATAGATACCGATACGTTGTCTCGTAATGGAACGATTGGAGCGTTAGTCAATCGCACGACGAATGCAATAGATGTCTTGTCTGTAAAAGCGATGCGTCCAGTTCCATGTTTGATACATCCAATTGACCATGTTACGCTCTTTTCTTTGTCTTTGTCAACAATTTTGTCTCAAGTTCTTGCTGCTGTTTGTGACGCACGCGTGCCGTTTCTCGTTGAAAAAGAGCCACCCGATCTGGATCTAGAGATAGAAATAAATAAATATCGCATGCACGTAACAAGTCAGTAGGTGTAAAGTGCATATATATTAGTACTGAAACGAGAACGAAACGCTGTCACGTTTGTGTTTGAATGAAAATCATCCTACGTATGTTGAAAAGGGTCAATGGCACCAAGTGATTAGACTGGACCCAATTGATTCATTTATTCCTTTACTTCTGATAATAATTTAACACCAAGATAAAAATTATTTTAACGTACCATTAGCTGCTAATAGAGTGTGTTGATAGTGACGATAGAGAGAAAACTTTTGATATTGTTGATAAATTACATAAAGTAAGAGTGTGATTCCCATAAATTTCCATCCATAAGTTTCAAGTATCTTTTGGATGTCGTCTATCCAAAGGTTTATGGACATGATTCTCCCTTCAGACCTCTGTGTAGGTTTTTTTTTTGTTTCAAGTCACACACTGACGTTTTCTTTTCTTTTTTACTGAAAAGTATAGTGAAATCAAATGGAAGAAATTATTAATCTTTCGAAAACAGACCATGTTGATTTGATGATGATGATGATGTTTTGTTCCGGTCCATTTTGTCGGCCGTTAGAGAATTCCCTGGGTTAGAGAAAAAAAATAAGATCCGACGACGTTTAAGTACTTGTCGTCTTTTATTTTCTCGAAACGTCACTGCTACGTCGTTGTTAGCTCCAGTGCAACTGTTTAATACAGTGTTTGTATTGTATGAAGGAACTAAGAGGGACATTGTACAATTAGACAAAGAGTGTGCTAAAGGTTTTTGCAATATTGTAAGGAAAGAAGAAGTCACGTAAACGCATTCTTGAACCACGACTGTTTGTAGAAAAGGTCTAGCTAGCTTGTAAGCTAACTTACAAAGTAGAAAATTCTGTGGACAGTGAGATCTGTCGTCACTAGCAAATCCTCCACTGAACGGCCGCCGCAGGTCATTCTGCAATTTGTGCTCGACAACACCTTGTATCGTTTTCTAACGGACTTGTTAGTATCAATTGCTCATGGTAATGAACCGATTCGACGATAACCACTTGCTCTGTTTGAATCGAGTTCATGTTATGGAGACTCAATTACGAGCAGATCAGAAAAATGCCGAGCTACAGAGCAGATACAAAACTACTTTTGCACACCTCTCACCATGGAGTGATGACGAAGCACCTGAAGAAGAAGACAGTGACATGTCGGATGAAGATTATAGTGATGATAAAGAAGACAATGTGGAACTGGAGGAAACACCATGTAGCTCTTCACAACGTCCATTCTTTTTTGACGGACTAGAGTTTTACCTTGCAATGAGTCAAGTACGCGAACATACAGTCAGGTCCGTGCTAGCGCTTGGGATAGCAAAGACACTGTCAACATTGCGAGATGAGAAACAAAACGAGTCCATTGCTACAATTGAGCAGCATTATCCTGATATTACGTGTCTCTCAACAAACATGATGACGACAATTACGACTACTACTACCGTCCAACAGCACAGCGAGATTGAAACAACAACGTCTGCTCCAAAAATGACCTTATTAGCGGCGTTACGACTTTCATCGTCAGTGTCTGCTATGATACAAGATGAATCGTTGATAAAACATTCTGTAACAACATCTTGTGGTGCAGTAGAGTGCAAAGAATGCCGTGTAAGTATGTGTTGTCATTGCAATCACGACGCTGCAACATTTACAAAGTAGAAAAGTCGTTTAGTATGGTAGAAATAACGTACATGGCGATGATATAAACTATGATAATAGAACCTTTAGACAAGAGAGTGATAAGGCGGGCGATGCATGATCGTACTTACCGCATGACTTTGAATACGTAAATATGTTAAGGTCTGACGATAATTTATATTATTACAAGTTTGTATGCAATGACAAATTATTGACAGAACAGGCATATGTCGTTGATATATAATTATTATCTTATATTTGCAATACCACAAACTAAATGGTAGTGTTGCTGACTCTATTTTGTCTAACTGCCGCAAAACAAGTGATTAGCCAAATTCCTCCAAGTAGGAATAATCAAGTTATACTGTAAATTTAGTCGTAATCAAAACGAATACAAATATTCTCAACAATATCACGAAACAATTCACTGGTCGGACAGGAAAAGTCTTCACAATTTCATCAAAATACCAGAAAAAGGTGAATATTCCATCACATTTGTGTCTCTCCTGATGCATCAGATACAAAAATGTCCAAACAAGTGAAAATATCTCATAATGCCGTACATGAGTCAAAACATACGACGAGTAGTCTAAAGTCAGTACCACGTAGTGGACGTCCACGGAAAACAAATGAACGGATTGATCAGCTTATTCTTGAGATTCTTCAGTTCCATACGAAATGCAGTGCAAAATGTATCCAAGAGAAATTGGTACAATGTTATTATGTGAAATTATCATGCGAAACAATCCGTCGACGTGTTTTAGAGCATACAAAAGCACAACTCATACAACCAAGTTTTGTACGTTGAAATGTTATATTTGAAAAGCAAAAAATGACGGAATGTCATACCGTCAAAAAGCAGAAAATGACAATAGATGATAAAGTCACATTAGGCACACAAAAACAACAAAAGTGAAAAAAACCAATTGGACACATGGAATGATGGTCATACGGCCATTATAACGGAAAGTATACCGATTATAATAGAAGGTATACACATACAGTTAAAAGTCATTTCTTGGATACTAAATGTCATATTGTTATTGTTATTGTAGCTCATACTGTATCTGATGCACAAGGTGCGTCTCTATCGGAGCATAATGCTGCATGTTTGACCCAACAACACCAGCAGAAACGTGTCGAATATAGCATGAAAATACGTGAACAATGTGTTGAATTGTATGCTCAAGGCCAAGGATATCGACAGCTTGGGAAAGCATTGAATATGCCACATACAAGTGTGCGTGCTATTGTGGACAAAGCTCAACGCACAGGCACAGTAACGTCTGGAAAACGCACAGGACGACCACGAAAGACCAATGGGATTGTGGATCAAGTGATTCAACAAGCAGTCAAGACGAATGAAAAGAGCTCAGCATGTATGATTCAGAACGAGCTAGTGACAGGCTATGGACTGCGTGTCTCGTGTGAGACGATTCGTCGTCGTGTGAAGGACCAGAGTCGTCAATATGTATCAGGAACACGTTCCGGAGGAGCAATTGTTGAGGAAGAGAGATTGCGTGCAATGGCAAGGATGATGATGCTAGACGGAGAGTCACTAGCAGCTACAAATTTGATGACATTTGAGAATGAGGTCGAGGAACAAACTTCCATCTAATGGATTATCATGAACTTTTCGCATTATTGAAAAGTTAAATGGTGCTACAATGCTTTTGTTTCGTCGTGCACTTCTACGGGTATTGGACTACTGCCTGCAAGCGAAGGGTATCAAAATGAACTAGAGTTGCAAATCCTTTTGCGTTTTTTCACATGCTCATAGACTCTGTGGCATGGCATTTGGGCTGGGATTAAAGTCGTCAACAAAATTGTTTGCTATGTCTTTGACTGCCTCCTTGGCACGAGCTGCAAACGACGGCGACATTGCGTTTTCCGTATCTGCGATTTGCTGCTTCAAGGCCGAGAATCCACCAAAGGTTTCATGCAAAGTTGCTAGCACTACTGCTCCCACTGTGTCAGAACTTTTAGGTATCCCACCACCAGTGTGCTTGTGCCCGAAGAAACGTCGCTTGGTCGTGAATTTATCATCGCCATTTTGAGGAAACGCTTCTTCATTCTCCTTTTGATTGTTAACATTGGTACCGAGGATATTGTTAATGATGCTAGTCACACCTCCCGATACGCCGTTGTTTGAGTTTTGGTCATAGATTCGACCTGATTGTATGAGATCGTTCATGGCGTCTGCGGTTGCATTCATGCTCATGCGAGCAGCATTAATCTCGGACCTGGTTGGTTGCTTGTTTCTGCAGATCCGTTTTGCTGCATACCGCAAGTCCGTTGCTAATTCTTTCGCAACTTGGATATCGTTTCGCATAAAGTGTTTGGATGTACCATGAAAGTAAAGTCCATGACGTCTATCGTACTTGCCAAGATTGTCTTTCAATTTCTTGAGACAAATAGTGACGTGGCTCGCTGTCTCGATAAGCAAAACTTCGAGTTTAGCAAACTCTTGTTTTGTCGTGCTATTGACATTGTCAGTCTTCTCCATGCTGCAAAATGGTACTGATGGCAAGTTTGTCGTTATGATCACGTTTCAAAATGGAGTCATTCGGTAGCAGTAGACTTGATCGCGATGGTGCGTTGTTGGATGCGTTTTTTCTGCGAAATGATAGCTGAAAGAACATTTTGAAAGGCTGTAAGTGACAACTACGCGACAATCAGAATGAACGGCTTTCTCGCGACAAGAAAGCCTTTGAAACTTGCAACAGTCAACGCCAATTTCGCTAACAATAACGACTGTAACGTACGAAACTCGTCTGCATTTTCACTTCATGACGTCGTTTCGAGCGTACCGAATGATTGTTAAGACCATAGCGCCGAGGATGTTGAAGAATTGACCACTTCAACTTCAAGTATGTTAAGGTATCGCAATAAAAGTCGGTTGGAAGCCGCGGTACATCGATTATTAAGTTGAAGGTTTCCAAGCTACTGTGAGTACTTGCTCTCAATCATGAGCTAGGGGTGAAACGTATGACGCAAAGCAGATAAAAGCTGAACATTGAAGAGACATCTGATCAGTAATGTACATGACGCTAGACGCTACTATTTGGCTGCATTGCTGAGGGAGACAGTATGCAGCCTTTCCTAACTTATCATTTATTCTAATGTCGCTTGCTCCTTATGCCGCGTTACCTGACGCAACCGAAGATGACTTATCTGCTAGAGAGGGCGATTCACGTAATATGCGCACAGCTTGTTCCAACGAAATTGTTGGGTCATTTGCTACAAGTCGCTGAAGCAGATTCGTGCCCGCCAACATATCGTACAGACGGCTCTTGGCGTTTGCCATGGCAAAGCGCACCTTGCGCACCGCCAACTTTTCTTGCATATCAGACAGCACCTGAATCGACGTAGCGTCCATGTCGTTCATGTAAATTGTGTCCAACACAACACCTCGAGTGGTGACACCCAGTGTCTGTAGACGTACCATCTCACGGTCAATAAACTGCGTTACACGCTCACAATTGGCAAAGTAAAGCGAGCTTTCTACACGGACGGCAATAATGTTGCCCAAGCTCTTTGCCTCTGGGAAACTCTCACGGTCGACGTATCTGCTGTTGTCCAGTTCACCCAAAATAACAATTGGCTGTACCTTGGACTTCCACATGAGAGCGAGGACGGAGCAAACGATCGAGGCAATCAAACCATTCAGCACACCCAGACACAAAGTCGAAGCAAATGACGCCACCCACACGAAAAACTCGTCGCGCTTCACTCGAAACAGCCATTTGGCCTCACGAAACTCGACCAAACTCCAACCAGCCACGATAATGATCGATGCCAAAGACGCACTCGGCAGGTAGTAGAGCGTACCCGTCAATGTGTACAAAGCTAGCACCACGAGAAGGCATGTTACGATCGACGCCAACTGCGTGTGAGCGTTTTGAAGGTTCACAGCTGTACGAGACATACCGCCTGTAGGGGGCATGGCTTGAAAAAAGCCGCACACGATACTGGCAATACCAATACCAGTCAGTTCCTGCTCCGTGTTAATTTCTTCACCACGTTGAATAGCCAAGCGCTTGGCCATAGCAATACTCGACAGGAACACAACGATTGACACCGTAGCCGCATGGTAGAAGATTGTGCCGAAACGGTCACCACTGATCAAATGAGAGGTAAAGCCATACCATGGTACCTTCGGCTCCGGAAAGCCACCAGGAATATCACCCGTCAACTTCAAATGCGAGGGACCCAGCACATAGCCGACAATGCCTCCAACGATACAAACCACCAACGGGCCAAGGTTGCATACCATGCGCAACAAGAACATAGCCAGCGGATATCTTTTGGACTTGGATTGCGCCACATTGAGCTCATTTTTTCCAGCATCGACCATCGACTCATTTCGTTCCTCTTGAGGAGTTTGCTGAGCCTGGTACACGGAGCACGGCTGATCGATGAGTGAAACTCCGTAACTCGATTTGATCAACGATAGCACATGACGTTCGGCATCTTGAACTCCATTGCCTTGTTTCTTTGTCTCTAGCGTCTCATTTTCAAAAAGACGCATGAGCACTGGGGAAGGGAAAAAGTGTCTCTTGATCATCTTTACAATAATGAGGTAAGTACATGATACAACGGCAACTGCGAAGGCGTTAACGTTGGTGTTATGAATGTTCCTAATAACTTCGTATACCTTCAGAGGTGGATACTCGATCGATTTGATCTTGATACCAAGCGCATTCGGTACTTGTGAAAGCATAATGAGCAGTCCACCAGCGGAAATGAAGCCACCCATAACTGGACGTGAGAAAAAGTCAGCGATCTGACTGAGGTTTAAAATACGAACAAGTAGTAAGATACTTCCAGTAAGGAAGGCCATGAAGATACCAGTAGCTACACGTTCATCCTGATCTTCAATTGCTTCAAGTGTCGAACCTACTAGAAGTGACACTTCGGACCCACTGGATACGGATAGGACTGTACTTGAACCAAACATAGCATAGATGAATGGAGAAGTAGCAGCAGTATAAAGTCCGTGATGAGGTGGTATATGCATAATCGTAGAAAGTGATACTTCTTGAGGAATGAGCATCATCGCCACAGTCATGCCAGCCACTAGATCAAATTTCAGGTCACGCTTGATCCTGTAGTTAGGTAACCATTGAAAAATTGGCATATAATGCTGCAACTTTTGCTTCCATGTTGATTTAAAGTGTATATTAGTCACTACATGACGCCATGACATGGCAAAAGAGGTAGATTTGATTGAGATCGAACTTTCAATGCAAGTTAATGGAGAGTCTAGTACGTGTTCAGGACCATTCATGTTTTTGTTCTTGACTAAGTATCCATTGTTCTAGTATATACTGTAAGAACTTATAAATAGAAGATAGATACATCCAAATAAAAAATCATACCAAATCTGTCGTGAAAGTAGAAATGGTCCTCCAAGATTTAGAAACCATCTCCATAAACGAATCATTTCAACAATTAGGACCCATTCTGAATTCTAAAATTCATGTTTGAGACCCAAAATAATCACAATCATAATTACAAGAGCTTTTGAAAATGGCGGGAACACTACGTCGCTTCTTTACGTCCGTGTCTACGTCTGGAGCATTTGCATTTATTCGTAGTGATACGGAATTATTACGTACTTGTCAGACTTTATATGATGAGATTTTACCATGTTCTACAGGTTGTAATTGTATGAATGAAAGCAATGCACATAGTGGAGAGAATGAACCTGATCAGATTTGGGCTTTAGTCGCTATTGTAGCGACTAAAATGACACAAGAGATTGCGAATGAAGCACATTGGAAAGATACTCACGTTATGGAGTCGAGAGATACAAAAGGAAGGAGAATCGAGTGGCATTTAGTGCAATTATTAGCTGAAGCAGGTGTTGGATTACAGGAATTTTTACTCTATTTTACCAGTCTATTTAATCGATTGCTATTGAAACCAGAGCTATTACGAGCTACGACGTTGATAAAGGAAGAATTTACGATTGGGACATTGTTATTTGAAAAGTATTGGATGTTATTCAAGAGATTTACAGATGAAAATGAAGAGAGAAAGAGGAGAAAGAGGAAGAAGAAGAAGGACGAGGAGGTACCGACAGTAGGTACTGTAGATCCAGAACCTGAAGTCTCAATTGCAATGATTCAAGAAGAAGAGAAGAAGAAGATGATGGAGGAGAAGGAGGAAGGAATCTCGACACGTGATTGGAAAGTATTGAAAGGTGGTTGGTTGATCTTCTTACTGGCAAAAAGAAGATTGGGAAATGACTATTCCGGACTTGGACAATTGTATCATTTATTGCTAGCAACCCTGCATTTCGTACTTGTTCATGATCAAGTATCACATGTGACAGTTGAGGCAGAAGTAGCTGCAGCATTAAGTGCAATGGGAGCTCTCGAACAAGGAAAAGCGTTACCAGTTGAGGATCGAGTGGAAGTGAGAAGCAGTGCAGAAATTCTAGAAGCTCTTTGTGCCGTGCCAAAAGTCGATATAGCGGATGTCTTGCGTGCTTTAAAACACTTGGAACTTGTACTACAACAACTGAGAGAAGAGAATGTTTTGCGGAACGAGGGAGGCAAACACATGATGTGGAGTAAGACACTGTTTACGGACGCTGTGCTTGACGTGAACGTTGCACGGTTGTCAGAAAAATACAAGGAAGACTACCTTGATGGTTGTGGCAAATTAGATGAGCGCTTTTTTCTTGATGCTCGCACCCGACGTGTTATTATGGGACTACATCGAGCTGTACAAACGGATAATGGTGTTGGTGACTCCAATCCGACCACAGCATTGAGTGGCAGATTGACCACTAGCCAAGATACTACCACGCATGCTATGCTCTCTCCAGTGCGACGCAACATAATGGCTCGGCGACGAGATAATGTTTCTACCCCAGTGACGAGAGGAATGATAACACCACCTCGACATCAACGGCAACCGTTTCATGGTCGTGGAACAAACTCTCCGTTAATGCATTCGTGGCAATGGCAAGGTTCACCAGGAAATACGCGCTTTTTAGCGGCTAATGCAAGTCCTCGCGCATCGCCTAGCTTTATGCGTACGCCAGTCACTTCGGCAGTGGAGACAAACAACTGGGTGCGTGAAACGTTGTCAAGCACAATTTTGACGCCCGTGACACCGCAGCTTCGTCGGTTCTTCTCTAATTGTGCTGTGGACCCAACAGAGCGAATTGCGCGTGTTTTGCGTGACAACTCAGAATTACTACTTGCAGCCCGGAATACAGGCCGAGTTATGTTGGGAAGCATTCGTTCTAAAACGACGATGGCCATGAAAGACGGCCACGATGACAACGCAAATGAAAGCGGTAGTGCACGAAACGAATTATTTTCATCTGGCGTCGATGACAGTCTAAGACGGACGAAAAACTTGACTGTAGTTCTCTTCTACCGAGTCCTAGAGCCATTATTGCTGTCAGAGCGCGAGCGACTACGCAACAACGACTTCTCGAAGCTGCTAAACAACGAAGTGTTTCTCGCGGCGCTGTTCGCATGTAGCGCTGAGGTGGTGCTCAAAGCGCACTCGCTCATTACAATTTCGTACCCGTTCTTGCTCGAGCATTTGCACGTGAATGCCTTTCACTTTGTTACCACAAGCGAAAGCTTTGTCAAGTACGCGCCAAACCTGCCTTCAGCCTTGAAAAAGCACATGAGCGATGTCAAGAACCGAATTCTGGACTCTCTCGTATGGAAATCCGATTCTGCGCTTTATCAACTTCTTCCTGGAGCTCAACATCATTCGACCTTTGGTCCTAGTACGCCCGTTTCAGCTGCATCCCGGAGCTTGACCGATCATTTGAACGGGCGTTGCAGTGCTTCTACCGTTGGTGCAGTTAATCATGCACCTGTGCTTCGTCTTTTTTACCGGATGGTGCTTTCTCGCGCAGCCTCCAGGATTTACCAACTTGGCATGACATTGGGCTTGGACTCGACAGATCAAAACCAAATCTGGACTGCTGTAAAGGAGTGCATTGTGTCGCACCTGTATCTCTTGAGAGACCGTCACCTGGATTTGATTGTATTGTGCAATATCTATGCTGTGTGCAAAGTATCGCGTGGCCCTAATGTTTCTAAGGCGGCAGCCACCATGTCTTTCAAGTGCTTGCTGGCATGCTACAAACAGCTCAATCGGCAAACGCCCACTGGCGTTAATTTAGCTAGTGCAAGTCCGCTTGTTTCGTCGCGCAGCAGTGAAGGGGTGACGCACGGCATTATACTGGATGACGAGAATTCACGCGGCGACATTATCAAGTTTTATAACCGGTGCTACATAGCGCCCATGAAGGTCTTCATTCTGCAATTTCAGTTCCAGGAGTCGCAATTAGCTGCGGCTGATGCTGTTGTTGCTGAGGCGTCAAGAACACCTCAGGTGCTGACGCCAGGCTTTACATCTAGCAACGGTGCAATGGGCTTAGCGGTGTCTACCTCCGATGCTGAAAGTATTGCCCAAGCAGCGTCAGAAGCCGTTCAGAAGCTTTGTCAAACGCATTGCGAGTCTTCTAGCGCAACGAATGACCGAAGCAGCGTGCTTCCCAGCACACCACATCGTCCAATTTGCCCTCATGTGCGATCAATGCCATTTGTTTCATCGCCAGCTGTTTCAGCACTGCAGATGTTCACGTCAGTTGAAGTACAAACGTTGCCTGTATCAATGTGCCAAACATCCCCAAAGCGTGTCAAGTCTACAAATGTCTTCATGTCTCCATTGCAACAAGTGCGTTTGGATCGGCGCTCTCAATTGACACCACGCTCTCATGCGCTATATGCGATTGGTGAGAGCCCTGCACGGGTATGTTCCTGCTGCTGATGTTTTACTTCTCATGCCCCTTGACTAGTGTTGACAACTCTTGTTTGGTTGTGTGCAGGACCTTGCATTGATTAATCGTGCAGTAAATACAGCACCTGCTAATTTGCGGCGTACTCGTGCCCCGAATCTTGTCATGGAAAGTGACACGGAGCAAGAAGGCACGAGTACGAGTTCAAGTGTCACTCCAGTTTGTAAGAGACAGAAGACAGTGTCGTCATAGCAAGCTTTCTACCTGACGTATATCCTCTGTAGCATATGCGTAATAATATGCAAATAAATTTCTCTCGTTTTTTAATGCTTAACCCTTGTAATCGATGGCAGACCTATGATTCATTTTAGTTTGCAGCAACTCGTTGCGCAAGCGTCTTATTGTCTTCTTTGCCGTCTTCTCCGTGATGGTACCCCGTTTTGTTGCAGCACCGCAGTGCAAACATGTCTGTCTGTTCCTCAAGCAGCTTCAAGAAATCACACCACGCTTAGATGCTGGTAACTTCAGTCTCCGGCTCATCGCTTTCGCTGCTGTCCTGACCATTCATAATCGGATGCGCGATTTCGTCTTCGCTGCCCAGTTCTTCCCCGACGGGGTCGGTATCGCAGGCGTTCAGTCGCCCGCGCATTGCTGCACCTTCTTGTAGCTGTCGCACCAACCATCCTTCGTCTGCCATGGACAGATTGTCAAACGTATCGCGAGGCTTGTCGTACGCAAAGCTAAACTCATCGAAGTGCGACCCATCGTTATCGTTTGCAACCGTAGATGCCTTCCTTCCATTCACAGCCTTAGGGTTCTCGCCGATCGTGTCGGTCACATTCATATTGCGGAAGTGTTCATGCACATTCTGCATCAACTCTTCTGTAGGCGGAATAAAAGGCGGTTCCACTTCTTTTAACTCCAATCGTTCCCAATTAATTGATGCAAAGAACGGGTGTGAACGCACACCATCGATATTAACGCGCTCTGCGGGATCACGAACCAACAGCTTCTTCAGCAAATCAATGGCATCTTCGTCAATTGGTGGATATCTCTCGTACTTCACATCAGCAGTCTGAATCTTCTTGTACATTTGCGAAATGTTTGAGTCGAAGAACGGAGTGCTACCTGTCAGCATTTCGTATAAGAGCACACCATAGCTCCACCAATCTGCTTCCATACCGTACTGCGGCTTCTGTGTGACCAATTGCTCTGGAGCAATGTACGCCGGTGATCCAGCCAGCGTGCCTGCCTGGGAGTAGCTATGGCTCCCTGGTTCACCTTCGAGACGTAGCTGCTTGGAGATACCAAAGTCCACGAGTCGTATATTTCCCGTCTTGTCAAGCATAATATTGTCCGGTTTCAAATCACGGTATATAATACCGTGGGCGTGCAAATACGACAGTGCAATCGCAAGCTCAGCAGCGTAAAAGCGAGCACGCTCCACAGAAAAGCGTCGGCCACTGCTTGTCGAAACGTTCGGATCCATTTTAGACGAGTGCATGTGCAAATACAGGTTTCCTCCCTTGTAGTAATCCATACCAAGATACAACTTTGTCTGCGTCTGAAAAGCAAAACGCAAGCACGTCAAGAACGGATGGCGGACGCCAGACAGTATGCGACGTTCCTTCAGCGCGCTTTCAGCGCCAGACTGCTTGTCGATAATCTTGATGGCAAAGTACTCGTCTGGGTTAAGGTGACGTTGCACAAGCACAACCGTACCAAAGCCACCTTGTCCCAACACGCCAACCACATCAAAGTCTGAAAACGATAGAGCCAGTGAGCGTTTCGTGAGGCAGTACTGGTGAAAGCAAGCCGCATGCTCCGCAATCGTCATGGGATTGGTCGTCACTCGACGAGCTTTTGGCCGAGAAGTGCTGCGTTGACGGAATGAAAGCACCACGCGAGAGATACGGCGCGCTGGCGTAAATGTGATTTGTAGTCCAAATTTGCCTTCCGTCGTTGATCCAGATACCGTATTGATCAGACGATGTCCTAAACAGACAAATGCGTGATGATCATCGTCATCTGCCTTATGAACAGCACTCTCGTTGATATCCATCGCAAGTATGTATTTACTCGCATAGAGCGCAGCAAAGTGCACAAATCCTTCGCGTCCGTGGTAAATGCCCTTGAACACGCACGACGGTTGCGTCGTTTCACACGTTTCTAGATCAAACAAGAGCTCTACATCCTTGCTCAGTTGACGCAAGAATGGTGGCAAGCAATCAATGACTTTCTCAGGCGATGATCCTGTCAATAGATGCACTAGATCAGCCAAGAACTTTTTTGCAAGATGCGTTGTAATTGATGATTCCAACGACACAACGTCGTCAGCTGAGCGCGTTGTAGGCGTTAAAGGCACGTCACTACGTGTTCGTGCTTGATGGGACGATAATGGTGCTTCTTTCGCTGTAGAAGTGCGTAGACTGAGTTGCATCATGTGCATCCACATGGCTTTTTCTACAGCCGATGCTGCAATAAAATGAATCAAATTTCCATTCGTTGCAAGAAAACTAAACCCCAATTCTTCAGGTTTAAGTTTCGAACCGCCAAAACCTGCAGACGGTAAAGAGCTCAGAATTTGTTTAATAATCCAACGACCACGATGTTGCACCTTTGCCAGTGCATGATTCTTCGACTTGTAGACCGAGACAGTACGATTCTGTAGTGTAATATAACGTGGTGTCCAGCTCTTGACTAGCTTACGTTGTTTGTACAAATACCCTTCCCATTCCACTTCTTCAGCCGTAATCGTCTTGAGATCAATTAAATTAGGAGCGGACAGGGCATTGGTAGTTGATCGTAACTTGGTCCGTCCTCTGCTTTTCCCATTTCGTGGTGTTGCCATTCCAAAGCTTGCAGTCACGTTAAAACCACTGCCATTTGACATCCCACGTGATAGCGATGGTCGTCGACTACGTGGTGTACTGGACATTGTACTGCCATTTGTAGATGGTCCACCAATTGAGGTCTTGCGACGACTTGTACTCCGCACTGTTGCTGGAAGACTTGAAGCCGATGGGTTACGCGACATCAAGCGCGCTTCTAACATGTGCGCCATGGGACACACACTATACTTGGATTTTGTATAGAGAGTGCGGACAAGTCCGTTTTATTTTCTTCAGAGAGCACACCCAGAGTGCGGAAAACAAAGAGTGATGGTCCTTTGGGTTTTAGTATCAAAAAGACACGATGATGTAAGAGATAGCAAAGCGTCGTGTTTCTTTTAACAGATGATTACAAGAACGAAATGACCTTGTGTGCTCTCTCACGCTTTTCCTCCCTTTGCTCTTTTTGCTTTCTGGTACTAGCAGCGCTCAACAACGCGCACCACATTCTCTCTTCCAAATCTCACAAGCCCTGTGCATTCCGATATCATTTTTACAAGGGCACACGAAGTATTGGTTAAATTTAGAGTCTTGGGCACGAATTGCAGTAGGTTCGGTGGTGCAATCAGTACGAGCACATCATCCGGGTTGGGCACCAGCCATTTGTCCCTTCTGCTTTACACTTGGCATAAACTCGAGTGATACAATGGGGTTTGCTCACAAAAGAGCCTGTAGCCCATCTGCAGCCGAAGAGACCTTGCCCAAATCGCTGACGTGGTTGCTACCATCAGGCCTCGTCTGACTCATAGAGCTTTCAACTAACCAAGTATGGATAGGCTGATAGCACGGCACGATAGCATTTGTTAAAGCAGACTTGCAAACTCTAGTTTACACTACTACACCTTACCATCACGTAGTAACAAGACTTTTGGCTAATATTGCTGGGAATGATTTGCAGTAATTAGATCAATTTAGAACTCGCTGAGACCAGACTTCGTGTCGGTAAAAAACAGCCCTTTCTTCCTTTGCGCCTGTAACCTTGTTGCTAAAACTCTAAAAATCTCGGTTATAACGTATCAGTGAGCTTTCTTGAAGCAGCTACAGCTGTTGCTACAAATCGATAGCCATATCGCAAATTTTACTTGGCTGCAAGAAAGCAGACTTTTGGTATACTCTTTTAGATAGAATAGTTTGTTATATAATAGTTTGTTATATGTACATGTACATAGTCATATAGTGGACAGTTGCCCGTTACATAAATGTCAAACCGGCTACGACTTTCAATCTTTATGATAAATTACGAATCTATATGGGATCAGATTTGTCATGTCAGTGGAACGAGCTTGCGTGCTGGTAGACTCTTGTATGAAGGTGAATGCTGATAGTATTCACAGCTTCTTTGGATATGACTGACGCTAGCGATTTAGGTAGGACAAGAGCCGGAGAACAGTTTACATTGACAAACGTTTTAACGAGGTGGTCAACTGATGTGAATCACCGTCGAACAGATGATCTAGAAACATTCGTTCCTTAGGATCGGCAGGAAGTCTGCGAAATTCGACCATGACCATTTCTATTAGTATCAAGACATTTAACCACCAAAGTGAGCTCATTGTTTCATATTGCCCAGGTGAATGCAAGAACTACATCATTAGCTTCATTAGGTAAATTTATCCAAGCGCAGAAAAAAGCTACGGCCTCGCCACCAAGGAAGGCTCTAGAAGTCGGAATATGTCGCGCTACATTATCAAGAATCACGGAGACAGTATCATGTAGAAGAAGAAGCCTCACCGAAATCGTTGACATACAGATCCGGTCTTTACCAGCAGAATCAGAAAGCAGATTGTAGCTAAGGGTTCAGCTACTGTACCCATGTTAGAGATATGGATACATTAGTAGCAGTAGCATTTTCTATCAAATAGCTACATTATTAACTAATAGCTTGCAGCAATGGACACACTTTGTCCTGTTCACGGTGCGTTTGCTGCCGTGACGAATAGTACTATTTGCGTCTTTTTGCTAAATTAAGGAGTATAAACCTATATCTACAGTTGAAGTGCGCTTAAAGCAAGAAAGTGTCGTCGACTATGAGCAAATAAGAGCAGGAGTTGACGAATATCTCGGAACAATGTGTACATTCTTTACAAAAGGTTTGTAAGACTCTTCTATCCATATATTTATTGTCAACAAGTCAGTCAATTAACAAGAGATTGTTGATTTGTAATGTAATATTTGTAAACCTTACTAGGCGTTGTAATATTACCTGAAACTCTCCAATTGTCACGATATATTGACAATATTGTCATTACTGAGTTTGATGGTGATGTTGAGAATGAGAAAATTCCACAAGGAAATGCTCAATTGTTTATTCACATATTTAAGCTCAGTGATGTAAGTGAAAGCATCATCATGATAGCATAATCATATATGATCGAGTAAGATGAAAGAAAGACGTTGATGCTGCTGTTTTTATTTCGATTGTAGCAAGTTCCTGCGGAGGAAACTGCAGACGATGATGAGAGCGTGACAACATGTCAACAGACAATTCTTCCTGCCGCAAGTTTTGATGGACTATGGGATTCACTTGTCTTTGACTCTTGTGTGAAGAAAAGTTTGCTGGAGTATGCCATGACGGCAATGTTCTTTTCCGATATTAAGGTGAATCCACATATCATATCGTGGAATCGAGTGGTCTTACTGCATGGACCACCGGGCACTGGGAAGACTAGTTTGTGCAAGTCACTGGCTCAGAAACTCAGCATCCGACTATCATCTAGGTTGGTTGGACTGATCGGAGCAATGTTGGTCTGACGTGCAAGTCTAAGGCCTTTTTGTGTGGAAATGATCGGGTTGTAGATATCCATGCGCGGTTCTTTTAGAAATCAATGCACACAGCTTGTTCAGCAAGGTAAAAAGCGTATAGTCGTGTGAGCATCTTTTTTTATTTCAAGCGAGAACTAATGAGTCACTGGATGTCTGAAGTGGTTTTCTGAGAGCGGAAAACTTGTCATGAAACTTTTTCGGCAAATTCAGGAACTGGTGGAAGACGAGGAATCATTCATTTGCGTGATGATAGGTTGGCTTGCGTGAGCAAAGACAAATTATAAATGCTGTCCTACTGATACAATTGGTGTCCGTAGATGAGGTGGAGTCACTGACAGCAGCTCGGAAATCTGCGGTCAGCGGATCGGAACCGTCCGACGCTATTCGAGTGGTCAACGCATTGTTGACGCAGCTAGATTTGTTAAAGCGTCGCTCAAATGTGTTGGTGCTCACGACATCAAACATTACTGAAGCCATTGATGTCGCCTTTGTTGACAGAGCAGATATCAAGCAGTATGTTAAAAACACACATCCAGATCATGATGTGCAAGATAGTTGACGTACTTTTGGTCGGTTTGTGTCAGGTACATTGGACTTCCATCGTGTCATGCACGCTATGAAATTTTGCGTAGCTGTGTTGAAGAACTTCGACGTGTAAGTATTCTTCAATCGAGCACAAAATCTCTACTCACATATCAAGAGATCATAAGAAGACGATCGTTGAAAAAGCGGGTAGCAGACCAAATGTCAGACCCATTTGGTGCAGAAAACAGCAGTGATGACCTAGAGCTATCAATGCGATTGCTGCAAGCGGCAGAAATGGCCGAAGGGTTCAGCGGCCGTGCATTGCGCAAGCTGCCGTTCCAGACACACGCTTTTTTTGTCCAGGTACTGACGCTTCCGCTTTTGCAAATTTCATGGATGTACTGACTAGCATTATGCTCTCCAGACACGGACTACGCTAGGTGTTGCCGAATTCATTCACTACTTGATGCAGACCATCGATCGCGAGAAGAAGCAAAAGCAGGAGTTAAATTTGGGATAGATCAATTCGGTCGAATTACAAGCTTGATTGATTAATCATGAGCTGCCTATGATAAACATCGTACGCGTTTTGTTTCTCATGGGTATATATTCTGTTTATGCGAACGTATGCAGCTACGCTCTTCTTCTCATGTTTCTCCAATCATACCATTGAGTCTGAAATTCTGTCCGTCATATCTTAATTAATACTTGGGACGTGAGGTGCTTGATCGAAGACGTTGATAGCTGCTCTTGGCAGTGTTCAAATTTCCTTCAATTTGCATTCGTCCAGTATCTGATAAACGACTATTAGTAGCCGACGACGTTGACCTTATCAGCTCGCCATTTCGATATTCCTCCGTAATGGTCTCCACCCGACCATCTGGTCCCGTAGTTGTTGTCGTCTTTTGTTGAATTACATGACCATTTTGATCCGTAAACATAGAGGACGACGAGCTCGTACTTGTAGTAAACATTCCACCACTCGATCCATGTCCTCTCGCAAAATCGTCCTTGAAAAACTGATTCATCATCGACATTCCACTCACTTGTCCAAACCCTCGCATATTCATACCCATTTCCATCCCACCAAAACCCATCGACTGAAATGGGTCGTTTCCAAATCGTTTCGATCCACGACGTTGTCGTCTATCTCCAAAAAATGCTTCAAATGGATCTTCCCCTCCAAAAAAGGACTCAAAAATGTCTCGAGCACGTTGAGCTGAAAATCCTCCAGTGTGACCATGAAATCCATAATGTTCCGTCGTTTGAGGCGCTCCATTCTGTAGTCCTGCTTTCCCGTATTGCTCATAATGTTGGCGTTTCTTGATATCGCTCAGTACTTCATAGGCTTCGCTAATTTTCTTAAATATCTCTTCAGCCCGTGGATTCGAGCGATTCTTGTCCGGATGCCATTGTACTGCCAATTTTCGGTATGCACGCTTCACATCTGAGTCAGATGCCGACTGCGAGAGACACAGAATCTGAAAATAATCATCTGATTCCAAATGTACCGGGACTTTTAGCGAATCAACGTGTTTGCCGTGACTTGCTTGATCTTGATTTTCTTCTTGCTGCTTGTCTTCAGTTGTAAGGTCAACAACATTCGGTCTTTCCATTGATTTCTCTTGTGGTAGTGTCACTTTCGTGCTGTCTAAACGTCGACGCTTCGTGGCTGTTTCGGCTCTGAGCTTCCGGTTCTTCTCGCAAGACATTTTTTACTATACTGAAATGAAGATACTGGTGATGTTCTAGAAAAAAAGACCATCCAATAGGATATATGTTGTATCATAATCAAAGCAAATCATAGTTACGATAGAGGAAGAAATGACCGGTTATTACGTGCTGACCGGTATGTTACTGAAAGCAAAGCGGTATGACCTAGCTTAACCGGTTGCTACCGCAGTTTGATCGGTTTTATTCGAAAATTAAAGTGCATTCTATTTTACAATATGGTCATATGTTGGACTAGTATTGACCCAAAAGTATGAATTTAGATAACACTTGTGAGCATTTGCGAATGTCATCTCATGTGTTTACTATTATTTGTACTACAAGTGTATTATAAACCTTCATTTGACACACGGTCGTTAATATCGCCCTCTTCATATTTCTAATGCTGATGTCTTTGACCGCAATCATCATGCATCCGTCTCCACTAAGTCAAAGACTCTCAATTATTTTGACGACGATCGTTTCTAACTTGTATTCTTTGCTCACAGACGTTTTAAAGGCTAATTATTGTGCAATTTGCTCACTCAAATTGACTGCTTGGCCCCGACAAGTGACACCTGCACATTGTTGATATTCCGTACAAACACCCAACACACCTTTGTAATATTCAACACAAGTCTGCTCAACGGAAAATGATCGGAATGAAATTTATTTGCTTGTGTCTATATCATGTAGTGTTTATCCCTCTTTGTGCAATATGAAGTTGGCGTTACTTTTCTGTCAATTTGGGTACAGTCATATCTTTTTGTCAATTATGACTACGGTCGTATTTTTTGCTACTATCAATATGAAAAGAAAAGTATGACTCTGAGAAAAAAGTAAAACTGTCATGAATAATACTACTAGTTTTATTACTTTATACTATTCAGATTTCATTCCATACAAAAATCAAGACAAACAAAAACCATCCCCCCCTCGTCGATAGCATTTAGTACATTCAAAACATTACCATTACAGTACTACTACTTTTTAATTTCTCAGTATGCGTGATGATATTATACTTGCAACAGACTCATTAACAACAGATGAAAATAATATTCCATTGTCCATCATCCACCATCCACAAACTGATCTTCCTGTATGGCAATTTATTCATAAATTGGCACTTCCACTTCCTAATCTAAAAAATAATGATCGACCCTATACGCACATTTGTATTCTATGTGCTGCGCTTCCACCACTTCGTTCTACCGGTAAGAAGGTATTAACATGGCGTAATGCTTTAATGCGGCAAAGGATGTCAACAAATGCCGTGGCGCATATGCGACGTGTACATCCCAACGAATATGTGACACTGGCGACTCATAAACAACGGAAACGAAAAAATCCAGTTGAGGTCAAAAAGTCAGAAATTGACAATAACAAGGAGGAAAATCAACTGAAGAAAAAGACAAAACCCCGAAAAAAGACAATAACGATCAAGAAAAAGACAATACAAAGTCAAGAAATGGAAGAAAATCACGAAAAAAGACTAAAAACCAAGAACCTCGATCCAAAAAGCCATACAATTCTCTTTGTGGATAATAATAATAATAATAATAATAATAACAATAATAACAGTGAGACGACGAAGAAGAAGAAGAACGTGGATGTTGTTGTGCTCAATTGGCTCATCTCATCGGGTTTACCAGTCTCTATCCTACAAGCTCAAGAATTTCAATCTCTTACAAGACAATTGCTATCAAATGGGTCAATTCTATCAACAATGACTACCGTGGATTTAAATCAATACGTACAAGATGAATTTCATACATTTAGCAAATTATTAAATTTCTATTTGACTACCGAATTCCAAGCAGCAATGGAATTTCCATTTCTATCTCTTTGTTATGAATTACGACCAATCAGCTTCATTCCTGCGTCTTATCAGACAAGTGATATGGGTCCAGATAAGGTGGATAATATGGACTTGAAGAGAACAGCTTTGTTTAGTATTACCATTGGTTTTATTGATTCTCAATGGCAACGAGTGGATTTGGTACTTGCGGTGAAAGAAATTGTACAAGATCAGCATAAAGATGAACAAATTGATCACTTGGTGACTCAGGCAGTGTCAAAGATGTACGACATTCCATCGATTTTAGACTATACGAGGTTTCGTGTGGCTCTTGATGATGATTTGCCGTTACATTTTGATACTACTGGAAGGTACGAATTGCCCATGGACAAGCAAGAAGATTTGCTCACACGTTCACTACGTTGCTGTGTCATGGACGCTCTGGGTGTTGGTCCAAGCAGCACTTTTGGCGGTGAGACGAAGGTTTGTCGTATTTTACGCTTGCTACAAGACTTGGTGACATTCTTTGAGCTGCCTGATGAAGCCCATGATTTGGCTGAAATTGGTGCTGCACATGGTACGCACAAATCCGTTGATATGGCCTCGTCAGTGGGTGAAAATCTGGCATTCTCTACTTCGACTTCATTTGGAGCAATTGCAAATCTTATTAAAACTAGTTGTGCGCGCTTCCCTATGTACTGGTCGTATTTTGAATCCGCCGTGAGATCACCAGCAACTAAGCCTCAGTTGGAGGAGGCGTGGACACAGCTCACCATGGAGGATTGGCAGACTATCATGGAAATCGAGGCAATGTTGAATCACCTGGGGCAGTTTCGTCTTGAAGATCGTGTAGCTTCACGATTGGGTGCGGTGGCATCATCATATGCAATGCTGTTTCGACGTCTCCTGTCCGTCACAATCAATGCCTCCAGCTTTAAATGCTACCTAATTGATGAGTCCACGATTGCGGCATCGCCTCCCAAGAGCACTGCACGTCGTAAATCAAAGCGCGTGGACACATTTACTTCAACGGGCCAACAGTGTGTTATGCGGCTTCGTCAGCTCATTGCACAGAATTTCACGAGTCCTTCGACTCCGTTAGGTGTTGATGATGAAATCAAAGCCATGCTGTTGGATCCACGCATCAGTTCCAAGGCTGCAAATCTTGTGACAGACACTTATGCTTTTCTTCGTGCTCAAGAAGCTTTGCGTCAAGAACATCGTGCTGCCTTTGAGTTGCTTGTAGCTCATCAGGGCAGTGCAAGCCCTAATGCCGACGATGAGCTCGAAGGTGATGACGACGACGATGAAATTAGTGCTCTTTTGATGGTTGATGGACCAAAGAACCAGCCGTCTACTGCCCCGTCCACTACGACTAGTGGAAGACGTTCAAGTGATGCCGTAGCTGTGGATGAAGCTCGCGCTTGGCGAGAGTGGCAGAAAGTGTACGTCGCGTGGGATACTTTTGCGCGCGACGGGGCCGATCTATTTGACAAAGGTCAATACAATTTGCTGAAGCTGTATCATCATGTGGATATATTGAAGTGGTTTCGCGATGTTGGCCAGCAAGCGCACCCAGCAGTGTCGCTATTAGCGCGCATATATTTCGGTCAACAGCGTCCGCCGTTTCAAGCTCTTGGAGCGTCGCTCTTGCGCTTCGCAATGCAGGAAGAGACTACTTGGTTAGCTGGAGCTGCTCAGCGAGCAGAGAAGCGTTGTCTTTTACACCACAATTGGCACCAGTATCAACAGTTGAGTACGAACACGACGGTACTCGCCACAAGCGACAAGAAAGACAAGACGAGTCATCTTTGACAAAAGATGATTTAACATCAGTACGTTACATACTGAACAACGTTGCTGAAGTAATATGGTCTTGATTCACTTCAAGCTTGAGTCACTTCAAGCTTGAGTGCAATATCCGTAGGGAACACCAGACTAAAGACGTATTTTTTATCAAAATTTTACAAAGATTTTCTTTCATTGTGGCTAATTCCTAGCATCGTGTCAGTGAGATGGAGGTGTGTTTATCCCATGCGATGGCATATCTGAATTCAGACCATGCAACATTTACTATTACATCAACATGCGCGTTATAGCAGTTGCATACGTCCATCCATCACTAATTCCACCTCGTCGTAACGCGGTAAAAATCACTGGCATCACTCGATCAATCGGCAGGTCATTTTGCTCTAAGTTTATCCCATTCATTATCAACGAGCTGAACGTACTGCAGATATCCAGATCAAAACTATCACAACGCTCTTGCAACTTCCAGTTTCGTAACAACCTTCGACGAATTGCTATTGATTTTCGTCACGTGCGAGTCGTTATTGCTGTCATTGCTTGAAGGGGGACACTGGTTGTGTCCTACTGGGACTCATTGGGTTCCTCTTCTCGTTCATCAGTGTACTTTTCTCGACTTTCTTTATCATCACCAGTTCGTCATCAATCTGGTCAACAACTTCGGCATTCTCATCGTCAGTTCCAATCGAGCTCAATGACGAGCAGCCTGACACGCCAAAGTCTGTCGCCTGGTGCGGCCGTAGCTGAGTGAGATCGAAATGCGACCCGTTTGAAGACAAAAATGTATCTAGCATCGTGTCTTCCGTCGTACTAAGAGGTTTGGGCTTCGAAGAACGTTCGGTAGTGCTTTCGCTAGCCGACACGGGCGATAATGGGTTCTCACCACTGCCCTCTTCATCCGGTTCCGGTACATCTCGCTGCTCTTCTTCAGGGCCGTCCATATAGTTAAAAGCAAAGTCGTTGAAAAGATCACCATTCGAGCTCTTTACCGACGCAGGAGTGTCAATGGGAACCTCCACCGTATTCATATACGTCTCAAAAATATCTTCAGTACAATACTCCTTGGCGTGCTTCTCCATAAGGGCACGCTGACCCTCAAACAACGCTTCCTTACGATCTACACTGTCCCAGTCAAGCCCTTTAAGCCACGGGTGGGTCTTAATTTGCTCAAAACCACGCTCACCCGAACCCAACCGTTTCTTTTCATTCTTTGTCAGCAACTTCGATACAAAATCCTTTGCATCTTCAGTAAAACGAGGCGAAAACTTCAGATCCACGTTTACAATTCGCTCCTTAATAAGACGATTAGTCTTCGCGTTGAATGGTGTACGGCCGTCGATCATTTCATATACCATTACACCCAACGCCCACCAGTCTACCGCACGCGAGTACGACTTGCCACCAAATACTTCCGGTGCCATCATCTGGTACGTACCAACAAACGTAGACGTGCGACCGTCGCTAGGCATATTTTCTTTAGACATTCCAAAATCCGTGAGTGCCACATGACCGTCGGAGTCCACCAATACATTTTCCAGCTTAAGGTCGCGATAAATAATATTATTCTGGTGCAAGTGACGGATAGCAAGCGCCACCTCGGCAGTGTACAGTCTTGTACGGTCTTCTGTGAACCTTCGTGCTAAGCGCATTTGGTCCAAAAGATTGCCGCCAGGGTAATACTTCGACAACAAATACAACTTCGCCTCCGTTTGGAAAGCATAGCACAAAGTAGCCACATACGGGTGTTTGATGCGATCAAGAATGCGCCGCTCGGCGTTCGTCGCTTCCACTAGGCCACGTTGAATCACAAGCTTCTTGCGAATTGCCTTCATAGCGTAGAACACACCTTCGTCGTAGCCGTGTTTCTTACGCACAAGCTTGACACGGCCACACGCACCACGACCCACGAGCTTGACAATCTCAAAGTCTCCCAAACACACTGGATCATCATCATCCGCAGTGGGACGGATGAAAACACTGCAGCGTTCCTGAGTAGCAGCCGTTGGACTCGTGTGGTTCTTAGCGCTGCGATTTTTACGGCGCGGATCAATCAAACAAGGTAGAGACTGGCACAAGGAGCACACGCGCCAGCTGCCGAAAGCCGGCACAAACTTGTCTTCGCAGCAGCGACTACAGTATTTGACTTCACACCACGAACACGGAATACGTCGGTTCAGCATCGTCAGCTTGCGATGACAGATCCCACACGCACTGATCTTGCTTGCGTTCACTGTAATACCTGCAGCTTCGCCACCTCTGGCCGCAAATGATCCAAACACGGAGCTCTTGACCATCTCCAGTGCATACGCACCACTGCTTCCCAAGACATTAGACGGGACTGTACCCGCCGAGACACAGACACAGCCATGACGTGTGTGTCCTTGCGGGATCTTACAACCCACATCAATCTTGGAATTAAGAATCCACGCCACTGCACGTCGAGCTAACATTCTTCTTGCAAAGTATGAGTCACTATCACTGACGTAATGCGATGGTTCGACAAGTGCGAGCGCCTTGACTCGATCCTGCATGACACCCAATCCATTATCATAATTCAACAGATGAAGCACCATTTGTGCTCCACGTGAGAACGCAATAATAAACACATCACTGGATAATGGTGCAATCAAACGATCCCATGCATTTTCAACATGTGCTCGTGGATGACAACTCTGTGCTGCTGGATTAAAGATCACAATACCATAATTCTCACTCAATGCTTTCTTCAGATAAGACATCATAGAACCACTGTCACTGTCGCTATCAAATTGATTCATACAGATACTTCGACTCCATATTCCTGCTTCTCTGTATGGTACAATGACCAATAATCGTTGCTTGTTTTCATATCCATCTGATACGTAGACCGTGCCTTTCATACATTCTCTACACGTTGTCGATGATGACGATAATGATAATGATAATGATAAAATATCACTCGTCTCTTGATTTTCATCGTCCTTTTCCTTCTTGGTTGTTTTCCCATACAAACATTCCTCTTTCCCTCTAGCTTCCAATGTGTCCTCATGATTTAAGATCGAAGTAGCCATTATTGTATGTGTACAATTCACTTTCTTCCCCTTCTCACGTGTGCTATTACTGCTGCTAGTACTGCTATTACTTCGATAATGACTTGGCATCGTTGTCGTCGTCATCATCACCTCTTCACCCGTTGCGACAATCACTTCACGAAAGCCTAATTCCATTATTAGACGAGATTGAACAGCACGTATTAAGTTATCGACAAACACACAGGAATCTTCTGCACTTGTACCAGTTGTAACACCATAACTACCACGTCTTCCACCTGAAGGAATCAAATGAAGAAGTTGTGGACTTGACATGTTAGCAATCGGTTCTTGAGGGAAAGAAGAAAGCTCGAAAGGAGTCAAACAACCGAGACTTTTATCACTAAATGAACGTTGTTTCTTCTGCTGCAGTTGCTGCTTCTGCTGCTATTGCTGTTGCTGCTATTGTGTGGTGGGATTGACTTGTGGTTTCCTACTCGTGGAGCGCCCTCAGGCACGTCGTCGTCGAGATGATAATGAAGAAGATGAGACGGGCTGAATACTAACTAGTGGCTACTTTTATTAATAGAAGAGGGGGGGTGTTACCGGTATCACACACGTAAAACTGGTTAATTTTTCAACTGCGGAAGACTTTATGTAACAGGCTAGAGCGAGAGGGGAGGATAGGGATAGGGAAAGAGGAAGATGGTATTGTTTCTGTGCAGTTGATAGTAGTAGGAGTAGACGATCTTTATTTATTTAGAATAAGAAAGAAGGTTATGAATAGATTGGTTTTTGGCATGTTGCTGTTAGTTAGGATCAAGTAATGTCATGTGGAATATTGAAGGTTGATATCAAATATCAGAGGGAGACATTAATCTGATCCGTTTGAGACAGAAAAAAGCCGATTTGCTGCGCATCAAATGATCTGATTAGACATTTGTGTTAAGAGATGGTACATTCTTTTGGGCCTAGAGATAACTAATTACTTGTGCCGTATCTTGCTATTGAAGACTGTGAGATGAACGTGCATGTTTATATGCATTCCATAGTGCAAGTCATCTCTCTCTCTCTCTTCCTGTCTAGATGCAATGCAAGCATCCATATGCCTCTGCTGAGACCTTCAACCTTCAATTTTGAGAAAATGATTACTATAAAACCGACATGTTTTGCAAATATGTTGCTGGATAGTACGAGCTACTTGATTTCAGTATCAACGACACTGTGTCTATTGGCTAAATTTTGATGGGATCATCTTTCGAACACGACGAGCAGCGTGGCTCGAAAAAAGACCTTGACGACTGCCTTTCTGGCTCCGACTCAAATAAATCACCAGGCCGACATCCTATGTCTATCAATCAACTGACAACAATCTGAGTATTTATGTAATAATAAATCAAATGGCTAGGATTCTTGTAATTTAGTAAAAGTATAAACAGCCACTTTTGATAGTTGAAGATTGATCGTTGAAACGGTCGGAAATGGATTTATCCTATATTGAGCGTAAAATTAGGCACATATGTTGCTCTTCAACTTCATTTTTAACGTGCGGTACATTATAAAAGGATTAGCTACCATCAAACATGACCACCATCCAATATGACCATTCTTCACGTCCTCGTAACGGGTATTTCGCTACCTGTATGTTGCCATCTACAGCGCTATCCTCACACTTGTGATGCACCATCTTCATCGGACACATCTCGTCTCCTTGCTGTAAAATCTGTACGCATCAACTCAATTGCAGGACTGAGCTATATCGCTTGGAAGTGCACGTCTTTAGTCGTGTCGTGTCCTCCTTCCAATGCCTCTCTGCAGCCAAATACAATCCATTCACAGTGGATTGCACACCCTCACATCTCTGTTGTTTGTCCTGCATCATCTGATGCTAATACGGCATTGGATCGTGGCTCACATGACTCGAAATTTGAGATTGACAACCCTCGTGTTGAGCTCTGGAGCTCCTTGAATGGTTCGATGGGCCGTTTTAGCATCGCAAAGCAATGCATTCGTATAGGTGAACAAGCAATTGAAGCTGCAGCTTTTGCTGTTGTTGTGCGTCAATCTCTTACTCATCGACGGTGTCATTGGTGCTTTGCATTGCTACGTACAAAAGCGCTTCAATGTGGTGACTGTGCATTTACACGGTATTGTTCTCGTGATTGTCTGGTAACGGATGCACCACTGCATGAGTTTCAGTGTAAAGCACTACGTGATTTGCAACACTTTGGATGTGATGGCGGTGGTGTGGGGGATGTAGAGACTCTTCGATTGGCGCTTGCAGTGCTGAGTATGGAGCATTTTGTCCAGAATTCTCAAGCTTTGAGACTGTTATGTACTCACGCTGAAGGCGGTGATGACACGAGTGAAGTGCAGAAGGCAGTAGAGTTTATTACCAAGAAAACAAATCACGGTGTTGATCGAAAGCATGTTTTGACGACGCTCCAGCGCGTTCGCTGCAACGCTCATCCAATATATCTTGATGGCGTCACGTGTGTCGGCTCCGGTGTATTTCCTGAAGCGGCTATGGCGTTGAATCACTCGTGTTTGCCTAATGTGGTGCCTAGTTTCAATTCACGCACTCGGACACTCGCTTTTCACGCTATTGCAGATATTCCACGTGGATATGCTATCGAGTGCGCGTACATTGACTTGTTGCAGGCGAGGAAAAGACGTCAAGAGCTACTTGATCGAGGATTTGGCTTTACTTGTGTTTGCAAGCGTTGCACAAGAGAAGCTGCGTTGCACACGATGCGTCACGATAAAGCAGCAGAAAGTGAAGAAGCAAACGTGGAAGAAGAAACGCAAGTAATGAAGGAACTGATGCAGCTGGTGAACTCTGGTTGCAGTAGCGCACAGCAGCGTCTTGCTTGCTTAACGAAAGAGTACGCAAGCTTGTTCAAGCATAATAGTGAAGCTCAATTTGCACTTTACACTACAGAAATGCAGCTAGCGCGTGATCGGGATGACTGGAATCGTGTAATGGAGACGGCTGAGATACTGTTGAAGATTTGGTCACGATGCGGCCTACCAGATAATTACCACACTACCGAGACGTTGCATGTACAGATTTATTATGCTGCAAAGAATGCTGGAATGATGTCGAAGGCAAAAACGGCGGCGAAGCGAGTGGCAAGCATTCGTCAAATTTGTGGCTATTCACATTCTGAGACTGTCATTGAGTAAGTTGAGACCAGTCACGTCAATGTCATCATGTGGATAATGAGGGTGATTGTGGTAAAAGATTACCGGTCGAAGGAGCACTTGCATGTGAAAGCTTTTTTGGAAGTGAAATTGAGGCGTGCACAACGCACAACGCCATGTTATTGAAGCAGCGCTTTTTTGCTTCTTTGGACTGCTTGATACTAGCGAAGGGTTCAATACGCTCGGGGTTGTTTCACCAGCGAGAGCAATGTATTTTTACGGAGCATCGCGTGCTATAAGTATGTGCGGCCTAGCAATGATGCGAAACGACATATACAAAGTGATTGATTTTGCATGCGATACCACTTCCTTGCATCAATGGAGCCACAAACAAGTACTGTTGTGAGATTTCTACACTGCGAGACGCTGCCACCGCTACGTTCATAGGCACATGTTCTCTCATTTGTACGTCATTGGATTGATCTTATTTACATGGGATAGCGTCCTAATACATCAGCTTGAGGTTGATAGTCGCGTTTCCTGTATTGCTGGTAGCAATTTGGTCTCACACTTCATTACTGATGCTTTACCAAAGCCTTTAATCTTCTGCTTTGGCAGCGCTATTTCGAGTGTTGACTTGTGTCGCTGTTATGCTGCTCATTTGTTGAATCATGACGACGGCAGCACAGCATTGCAGTTCTCTTGCAAGGTTGTAGTGGTAGGTTCATTGGCGGCTTGGGTGCGTAGCTGGAACTTAAAGGTACATACAGCCTTTCATGGTGGTGCTTTTTCCGATAGATAGTGATCATTGCATCATTCTATACTACCTTTTCTTTTTGTAGCATGCTTAACATCTACGTCGCCAAGTCAACATGTCGCCATGTATGCTACAAACATCACGTCAAAGCGGTATCTGGTGACCTGACTGAAGAATTGCCGTTCTGCTTGTCAGGAGCTAGTGTTGACAGAGGCGCGATAGACATCGAGAGGTGTTGAGTAAATAGTTTTGTGGACGGACCATGACATCTTACAATGGAGGTTAGTAGCTTCAATTACAGGTTCCGCGTTGATCGATGGCAATAAAAATCGTCTTCATGAAGTGAAGAACGTGTTGAGTGTTGTAATGCTGGGCCCTGGCGTGCTGTGAAGTGACGACAGATTGGACGGGAGCGAGGCCAGTGAGGAACCGCAAACACTTGCACCGTTAATGAGCTTTCGCAGCGTATACTGCACTTCGATTGCAGGTGGACGCTGCTGTGGCGAGAAGCTGAGGCAACGCCCTACAAGCTCCTGAATTTGCACCGGACAATCAATGGACAAGGCTGGACGGATGCAGCCCGAGCTGACTAACAGCGCCAGCTGACTCTGCTCGTCCATGCCGTCGTCCATGTCCACACCCGATGCAAACGGCAGCTCGCACGTGTCAAGCTCAGTTAACAGCACACCTAGAGCGTACATGTCAGCTTGCTCACTTCTTGGCTCACCTCGTAGAAGCTCAGGTGCTAACCATGCAACAGAAAAATCGCTGCGCGCAAACGAGGCCTCAGCACCTAAAACACGTTGTACACCAAATGCGCACAGCTTTGCATCACACTGTTCCGATAGCAATACTCGCTGAGCCTTGAGCCGTCGATGATGAAGTGTCAAGTTGCCACCTGCTGGTCGAAAGTGCAAATACACAAGCGCATCAACGATGTCCAGTGCGAGTTGCGCCTTGGTTTTTGGCATTGAGACGGAATGGAACCAGCCAAAGTCGTGTGCATTGCGAGGCCGTAGCGTCAGCAGTGCTCGTAAATCCCCGTTTGGCATGAATTCAGTCACTGCTGACGGCTGTGCCTGGTTTGCCACATACGACGGCGACGAAAGCAGATCAAGGTCGTACACACGCTGTTTGGGATCATAAAACCCCACAAAAGCCACAATGCGTGGGTGTAACAATGTAGCACTGAGTGAAATATCTGCCATGAATGCCTGACGATAGGCCTGTTGATCTGCTAGTTCCGGAAGTAGACGTCTCACAACAACCTGACGATTAGCCTGACCCTCAATCCTCAAGGTAGCACGAAAAGCCATTGTGAAGCTGCCTGCATGCAGTAATTCACCATCCACGACACACTCTGGCGGCAATCGACATTGTTCCATCGCCAATGTGTTGCACTCCAATTCATCGTAGGAATCATCACACTGTTGCACTGATGAGTGATGGATATTGTCGATTGGTGACAATGCTGTAGCAATTGTCGTGTCTGCACTGCAAGATCCTCCAGTACCTCTTGCACTAAGATGATCAAAGAATGCCATTGACGATACCGTTGAAATGTGTGGCAATTGATGAAGCCATTTGCCACTTATACGAGCAGATCGACGACTTGCATCCGCTACAATGGCCATGAGGTCAGGCGTTGTTAGCACGTAATTCATAAACTCTGTGCTTTGACTATTTTGAGATCCATCTAAGCGGTTATGAGTCCGTTGACGATACATCCACCAAGTCGCAATAACTACGAGCACAAGGACTAACGCTACAATACCAATAATTAACCCAGTCAAGTCTGAAGACGAACTATTTTCACGAAGTGAAGATCCAGCAGAACTTGACGATGTCATGATTCAATATGAACTACAGACGACCACAACACACGAACAAGTGAGTGAGTGAGTAAGATGAGAACAGAGGGAAGGTCTCTAGTATTTGATGATTGATATTCAGCTTGGAAGGGCAAGGGCGGAAGATAAAACTGACTAGTGTTTGCGATTTCCTCGTCTCTGCCAAGATGTAACATGTCGATTTGATTTGCGAGATGAAGGAATGTCACGGGTGGAAAGACACCAGCTGGTGGAGCATGTTCTTTAGTACTCGTTTGTTCATTGTCGACGTTGATTAAAGGACGTCTTTCAATCAAGAAGACTTGACGGCATATACGTAAATGAGACGTCGATTGTTTACGAGCTTCATTGAGATTGATTGATTGACTGACTCACTGACACTGAAGGAAAGCATCAAGGTCTGTCTAATCTCATGAGATTCATGCTGTACTTTTTCCAGCATGTCTACATGTTACAAGAGATGTTTATTCGTATGTGTACAAATGCTGGTCAAAGCTGGTAGACCTTACTACATTGTGTATCCACTCTCTTGTCTTGTTTGCATAAGTACTGACTGAAACAACAGGTACTACTACAACACACACTGCAAATATGACTATCTTCTACCACACGTGTTGATACATGCGTCTATGGATTAACTCTCGATTGAACAAATTGTGGCCTGTCGATGTCATCTCGGCGAGATGTGCACGAGCTATTACTAATACCCACAACGATCGATTGAGCTCCTGTTTGTCAACAAAGCAGTAGTCCGGGTCTTCGAACTTGACAATAGCAATGCTCAATAACAACAAATTCCATGGACAGCACGCGTAATGTAAGCCAAGAATATCCACCGAGTCCAGCGATGTGGCGCTCGGACCAAGATGGGTAAAATGCTTTACGATGTTATTACAGAGAATTCTCGACATTCCGCATGGTAGGAAAAACATATTTTAACATTGAAACGTGCTCAGAACGTATTGATGACCTCAAGGACCGACGTCAGTCATGCTAGTGTCACAGTTGCTACGATGGAGCCGAGGTTTTGCCGTGTAGACTACATGTTTGTGCGACTCGTATCACGTCGCTTCGTGCTTGGAAAGCTGCAGAACTTCTCTTCCCTCCGGTTGATAGATGTACAGCGAGTACAGGACCGTCAGGCGAGCACGATGGGGAGTTTCTTGTTTGTTTTTGGCATCCATGCTTTATCACCCTAGTGGTATCACCCGTCAGATGATCCAATGTGTACATGCATCATTGACAGATTAACATTGCGTCGGCTCGCATTCGGCTTATCCGAAGAGTAATGGGATGGTCAAACAGCTATTTATGGATAAAGACGATGAAGTGTCATGTCGTTACGTGGTAGATAAAAGGCACCGAGTACATCTGTAATGACTTAATAATCATAAGCAAAAAGAAAAGTATTGATTTTTACAGGATCTAGGCGCTTTTGCGTGCATGACTAGCGAAATGCTTATGAACAAGCAAAAGATGTCGAAGCCGACGGCAACCACTGAATCAAATGCATGATGTACAGAACCGGACATATGCATGTTTTATGAATTGTTGCAGTGCACCTGGCCGAGACAGGTAACTGCATCTTTGGATGAATGACTTGAGATTTGACAGGGGGGTTGTCCGCATTCATTCAAACTTCCTTAAAACAGCTGATCTCACAGACTCAATCTCTGTGGGAAGTGTCTGGGATTAATTGCACTGGTCTCGCAGACTACACCTTTTCGGATTACGTAATAGCTGCATTATTGACGGTTATCTTTAGTGGTAGTGAGTCCCAGATCTGCGAGGGCAATTTGTGTGTTCGTGCCCCGCATATGAAACTATGTATGCAGGCAAGTTTCCTGTCGTGTTGGAAGAACTTGTCCGGAGCCGTCTCAAGCGTTTCATTCGACAAATTACCGTCCAGAAGACACAACAAGAGCCCGTCCATATCAAAATGGAGCACGTGAGGCCAACCATTCACCGCCAGCAGCGCTTGTTTTACGAGGAGAAGGATACGTCTGCATCTCAGGTTCAATTGATCCGTCGCAAACGGCCTCGCACGCCAGAGTTGGACCACGGCACGGTCCCGACGCGAGGGTCTCGAGAGAAGACGCCACGTTTGATGATGCTCCCTGGACTTGCTGAGCTATTGGCTGCACAGAAACAGCGCAATGAGGGCGTTGTTAGCGACGACGTACTGGACGTGATGTCGCGTGTATCGACTGTCGGTCAGGAACAGCAGCAGCAGATGCAACTGAGACATGAGGAAGAGATTGAGCTAGAGGATAAGACGCCGTGGCCGTCGGCGACGCAGTATTACGACATCCTTATGACGCACAAGACGAAACTTAAGATTCCAGTGTATGATCTTGGAGTGGATCCACGCGGCGTTCCACTGCATCCTGAATTTATATATAGCCAACCGGTCTCGTGTATGTACTTCCTGAAATGCTCGCGGTTGCTAGGCAAAGGTTCATTTGGTTTTCCTCGTAAGAGAAAGACAGCCAGTGAAATGATTTGTAGGACGATTTCTACAAATGCAGGCACAAAGTCGGTTGGAAGCAAGAAGGAACTGAGTAAGGAGTTTGAGTGGCGTAAGATGAGCTTTGTCACTGGGTTGCCAAAGAAACAACCCATTGTACGCTACATTACAGCCACATGCTACAGTCGTGCGACTGATATTGCGGTAAAGAAGAAGGTGCTTCGCATGCATGCAGTCATGCTTGCTGACGGCACGGGAACTGGCGAGAATGGCGAGTATGTTCTCGTGCATATTCGTGCGGGAGGCAGCAAGCGTGTTGGTCTCCGTGTCAGTTTAGTTGATTCTGAAATAAAAGCAGCCCCTGCGTCGCCTGGTGCTTGCGGGACCGTGAATGCGAAGCAGCGGGTTGGCTTGTTGTGTATGAGAAGGCCCGTGTCGCCTACCAGCGTCGCAGTGTCTTCGTATTCGAGCGCGACGGCATCTACCTCTCCTCATAACGCAAACTTTTCCGCTATTCAGGGCGAGAGCTCGGACGACATGGCGATGGCTTCGACAGTGTCGCCGATGAAGGTGAGCTTGGCATCAGCTGTGACCCGGCACACGCTTTTCTCGACTACCGAGGATCTAAATATCGACTTGGCACGCTTAGTGCTGCGCAATATGATATTGAAGTCGTGTACGTCGCCAGACGAAATGGCAAAGTACGTTTTGGGTCTGCAGGAAGAACTTACGGCGCTGCAAAGCCAATATCAGTCATCTAAGGGCGCCGAGCAGGGTTATTAGTTAGCTCAATCACGAAAGTCATTAACATCAGTGTCTGTCAGGTATACCAAGGCGTGCACGGTTGATATTCTTTCAAGCATTAGGCTTCGCGAAAAGTGATGAAATGCTCGACTATTAGAGAAGACGTATGGCCCAATTGGTAAAGAATGACTCACATGTCATAGTTGACAGCGTACGGAGCGCCTTACTGCGTCAAGCGTCGATGGACTGCGTATTAAGTCGCTAGTCTCTCGCTTTCATTGTCAACTCAAATGACGCCGAATGTTTCGAGCATTGCCAACGTTGTTGCTGCAACGACGGCATCAATGCAAATTAATGTACATTTGCTGACTTTGCTGCTTATTCAAGCTGGTCTAGGCCGTGGTCACACTCGTTTGTCTCCATCTTGTGCATCGAAAGCTTGCACTGGATTAAGGATTTACTCTGCAATCCCAGAGTATCACACGTGGACAACACATCCATTTATATTGTACCTATTGCTGCTATATCGATCATTATCTCCTACAATCTTCGCCAAGTCGATGTCTTCCAGCAACTGGTCTTTCAACGATTTCTCTTTCAATGGCTAGAATAAGTTCTTGATCAACATGACCTCCTTCTCCAACAACATTTCTTTCCCTTGCATACTTTATGGTCGTTCAAGTGCTGCTCTATCAACACTTACTTGGCCCACAAACTGATCGCTCTGTCTATAACTTATGTCGCACGAGTATTGATTCATTGTTTGGTCTAATACAAAACTCATAATAATGATACTTCCTTATAATATGTCGTCGTAGAAGTTAAAGTACATGCTCTTGGGCAGGTTCTTGTCGTCTGTTGTTGTTGTTGGTATTATACGTCCTAAGTTGATTTGATGTACACAAATAGGATTCACTTTGGCAGATGATTTGAATTCACTTGGATTTGTATTTGATCAAGGTTTTTCTGACCCGTTTTTAAGGTTTTACCTTGTATACGGCGTGGCTTCGGTCTTTGTAATGGGCCCTTCACTTGAAAGAAGGCACTCACATACAGAAAGAGAAAAAAAGAGAGACGTTACGAAGAGAGAAAGAGAGACTGACAGACGACAGTCGATTAATTGGTAGCAAAATAAAGGAAGACGTAGAAAAGTATTGAATTCACTAAAGAAGAGAGGAGAAAAATGAGTCGTGAGGAGCGAAAAATGGCGCAAATTATTGCCAGCATTGAGCGCATGGAACAGGAGACGCGTGCATCGGGGGATGACACGAGCAGAATACAAGAGCCACATGATTGGACAAAACAGGGGGGGACGAGGTAAAAAAGGGAAAAAGGGAAAGTTGATGGGTGTTAAGGTCAAGTCTGGAAAGAAATTGAAGGTGTCAGCTGGCGCTGACAATATCAAGACGACGTTTGAGCGCAAGCTTACACCTAAGAAACGCTGGATACAACTATGGAGTGCTCAATTGGATGATGATAACAGTAAAGAGAAGGATTCTGGTAGTGCGTCGGAGGGTGTCGAGAAGGAGGCAGAGAAGAACGAGGCGACTATTCCGTCGACCGTCGCCACGTCGCCCGTTTCAGACGGTAATCTGAGTGACAGTGTACCCTGCAGAGCTGCAACAGTGACTATAGCTAAGAAAGAAGAGGAACAAAGTATGTCAGAACAGCCAATTGATGTGCCGACGGCGATGCCACTGGTCCCTCTTCCTGTTGAACAAAAAGCTGAGAGAGCAGTTCCTGTCTCGGTTTCAACTAATGCACAGGAACAATTAGTAGAGACACTGAAGGTGTCGACAACAGTGACAGCAATGACGACGATGACCACGGGAGATGACGTGAGTGCAATGGCCTCTTCCACATCATTGGAATTGCGTGTGAAGACTCCGCTCAACAACGAGTCGTCACACTTATCGCCTCCATTGGAGAGAAACAGCCCCACTACAACAGCATCAATCAGCCCGTCTACAAAGGTTAAGGATAGTGACATGCCAAACAGCAACACCGCAGCAGCAGCATCCAAGTTTTCACCTGCTGCAACAGAACAGGGAAATCTTGTTATGAAGGCAAAAGAGGATTTACCTGCAAAAGAGTTTGTTGCTTCTGAGCTTGAGAGGGTGAGTAGCAGCAGTAGCAATAGTGTGAGCAGGGGAGATAACAGCTACAGGAGGGAGATATCAGATCACCATATTGACCGTGATAGAAAATGCAGCTTGGAGCGTACTGAGTCGCCAATGTCGGAGGAGGCAAAGCGGCGCGCAGAGCGGCGAAGGAAGCGAAAGTCGAATTGGGATGTAGGTGATCCCCGTAAAGGAGGAAGTCCTGTCGCAGATCCTCCAATCAGTGCCGCCGCAGCTGCAGCTAATCAACAGTCGTTTGCGAAGTACCCGCCTAATCGTCCATCTTGGCGTCATAGCCAAAGCATGATGGACATAAAGCCACATTTTCCGACTGGCCACCGGTCCTCGAGCTTTTATAACAATGGATCGAGTTCAGGAGGAAGGCGGGGATTTTATCACATGAGTTCGCTACCTCAAGATCGTTCCCGGAGTGCAGGACGCTCGTCATCGCGTTATAGCTACGGAAACAGCAGCAGCGGCGGCAGTAACTACCGGTGATTAACGGTAGTAAATGCATGAACAGGTCCCATTATTTTACTATGGAGATAGGTAAAACCTGATTTATCTATTTTGAAGAACGTGACGTGACTATATTGTGTTAGGTAGGATGCGAAAGTCAGCGAGACTTTTGAGCATATAGTAAATAATTGCATATAATGTACGCGTCATGTAAGCTCATTATGTGTTGAAAAGTCAGTATTGATAACTATGTTAACAAGTATACGGTATACCAAGTATACAGTATATCAAGTATACGGCGGTGGTACTTGAAGTAGCACTAGTATGAAAACCGTCATTCATATACTGGTCCTAATAATAAAATTGCTTGACCGGTACAAGCTGCTATTTGTAGGAATACTTTCTTCAAGTACAAGATGAAGTAACATCTGCTTCGTATTCGACCATCGACCAATACTTGCATTGTGAAATAAAAGAGCCAGGGGTTAATGACGTACATCAATTGGAAAAGACGGTGACTAGATGGCGCAACTAAAGCGCAAATGAAAAGGATAGTCAAACGTCAACACATCGAATGATTACTCTATCGACCATGACAATGTAAACGCGAAGATGGATAGGATTGCAACACACATGACAAAGCATATGATGACGGCCATGGATCGTCTTTGGTGCATTTTGGCATGGCTCAGATACGTTATCAACAATCATGTTTTTGATGCCGATGGATTGCTCAGATGCATCACTTTTTTTTGACGCCAGCATTGCATATCCTATTGCATGCTGATGTAGCACCACACGGACTTGAAAGAGATTGACGCATTCATCTACACATGACAAGAGACAAAACTGGATGGAGCAACGAATGCAAATCAACATCACTGTTTTTTTGTTTTAAATTAGTGCAAACTCAGATAAATCTAGGTCCCTAAAGGAGGCAGACAACGGCACATGCTGCATCGATGATCAAAGCATGTATTCGTGTATGTACATTCCGTGCATTTCCAGGAATTTCGCCGTCGGCCCTGACGTGTAAGCATCTTTGAGGGTTCTGGCTCCGAGCCAACGGAGCTAGCACGCTTCAGATCTTGACTACGGGTGTGCAATGCAATTGGAGAGATCGTTGTATCCAGTGTAAGCTGACGAAGTGGCTTACATCCTTTTATATGTTTTCTCCGTCGGTCTTTCGTCGAAGTTGGGCTGTGTGACGTACTTCGAAGATAATACTTTCGATTCGGTTCATTTATTTTCAAACCCGTGCGAGTACGAGGCGATGAAAGTCCGTCACTAGTCGAATAAGCGCAACGTGTGCTCTGTCCTGACGTTTCTGACTGACTCAAAGTTGTACGTGACGATCCAAAACAACCATCCAATTTTGCCTGCTTGTCATCAATAACATTCAATGATCGAGTAATCGGTCGATGGCTTGTAGTCGATGTAGTAGACATTTTCATCTTTTTCTTGGCTCCCTGACTTGCTACAATAGGTCTTGACGATAGAATCGAAGATGGAGTCGATGATGTTGGAAACGATGAAGCCGTCAACGAAGCCGTGAGCTCTGGATCATTCTGTAAGAAATCAATTGTCTGTCGTAAAGCACGTCGCTCTGCTTCTTGTACTTGTGACTGATGTTTTTGTAATTGACAGTGATAAAAAGCTTGAAACTCTCCAGAGGGTGACTTGTTCTCAGTGCTATTTGACATCAAGTGCTCCTGCTCGACACTGTTATGATTACTAGTATGCAGTGGTGGAGCATCTTCATCAAAGAATTCAACCAGTGGTTCCCTGTCATTTTCAATATGCTCTAGAAATGGACATTTTATCTTAATAGCTTTCCACATCACTTCATCCACTTTATATTGTTTTGTCCGTGCAAAACCCACAACACGACGTCTGCAGAAGCCGCAATTAACACTTGTTAGTTCTAACCCCCGTTCAAAACATTCCATACTAAAGAATATATAATACATGTGTGACAATCATACAACATACACACAAATGGTACACAAAAGAGTTATACAATTAATTGTTTTTATTTCATATCGACATAATTATTATTATTGCGTACCACAAATAACGCTGACAACATGGCAACTGAATAGGACGTCGCAATACATCGAGACATAATGGACACTGAAACCGGATAGGAATAGACATGGAGTTCATGTGAGTAGAAGAATGTCCTAGTTGTGACACTGTAGCAGTCGACGCACGCGACCGAGTAAGCGCCATTGACTCAAGAAATTGCCGCCGTGAGTATATCGTTTGTTCGTCTTGGTTTACTGGTATCAAATAGGTATCAAGAGGTATTAAATTAAGGTACCACACCTTATATAAAATACAAATACCAATTCTTCCATTTAAATTGCCACTAGACCAAATTCATATTTTTGAAAACTGTGGTATGTACCGGTTTATATATCGGTATCTGCAACCCTGACAAGCATATCTATCGGCTGGCTAGGAAGTCATGCATCGTATATTGCGTCTGCGTCACGTCTTAGCGGCTGCTACACCGTTTCATTCACGTGCGTCTTCATGGTCATTGTCTTCTGTATCTCGTGCTGTTTTGGTGTACACAACAAGGTCGTTATCGCTCCAGAATTCGCGTTGTAACGTAGGATCCACGTGTCGTCAAGTGCTCTATCGATCTTTCTCTTTTGTTGAAGCTTCTAGTGATCTTCCAGCAGATAAAATAACATTGAAAGGCACAAAATTGACTGAAGAAGAGCGTGATAGTATTGTAACGCGGCTAAAAGCACGCTGCAACGCGTTATACGACGACAACAAGGCGTTCGTAGCTCCATCCGAAGCCCTGTGTCTCTGGTTGCATGATGTGCAGACGCTGCTGCATCAGTACGAGCTCGTGCAAATCAATGAAGAAGTAGTTTGTGCTTATGAAAGTGGGGTGGCAATTGCTTCGAAGCAGCGGCAGTTTGAACTAGCGACGGCGTTGACTAAACAGATGCAGGACATTGGCTTTCGTCCGACGGAGAGAACGTATCAGTATCTCGTCCGTAATGTAGCATTACAGTTGATTAGTGGAGCTAAAGAAACATCAGTGGATGATTTACGTGAGATACTGAAGGACGTGACGGATGATATGTGGGAGCGTGAGATCATAAGCATCGTGGAGAGAGAAAAACGACCGCTGCAACTCAAGACGGAAAAGGAGTTTGAACTCTTTCATAAACGACTTATTGCTGGCGTTGAAGCACAACTAGACGAGTATGAAGGCGTCATTGGTGTAGACAATAACAAAGAAGTGAAGCGTATGAAGTTGGTGGGACCGTATAATGAAGCTCTCCGTGTGTACGCGGACAATAACGTTACCTTCTCCCGCATGTTGGAGCTAATGGTGGCGCGGAATCTTGTAGTAAATGTAGAAACCTATGAAGCGCTGCTATTGGGAGCACGTTGGAACGAGATTCCAGCCACACTGAGTCAATTGCTGGACTCGAAACTCGTTGATGAACTCACTACGTCAGCTTCTTTTACGGCTAGTGAGCACGTGCGCAATCTTTGGGTTAGCGCTATGAAGGCAATTGTGTACACTAGTACTGAGCGTTTCAACTCGCTGTCGGCTAGCGTGTACAAAAGAGACGTCGATCAATTGAGAAAGGTGTTCATGTTTGTCGACAAGCAGCTTTCGAGTGCTTTTCCCAAGTTCAATTTTGCCACGACAACGCAGTATGATGAGGTTTACACGATACGCACGAAGGCTGCGGCTGCATGCGGACTCACTACCCCTATGAAAAGGATTCTTGACGAGTACGTTCAGTGTGCATCTTCCAGTTCAGATGTTGAGAAGCCTGTGCTATCGAAGAACCCATTCTTGTCAGCATTAGAGATTTTTCCATGGTCATTGGTAGATGTTCTGGTGCTTTCGCGCGAAGATGCTTTGGCCCGTGCGACAAGCCGCGATGTGGCAAGCTCTCCGCGTGTGCTTGAAATGCGACACATGTACGAGCGCGTCATGCGTAAGCTGACCATAGCTACGGAGACTTTCAAGAAGATTCAGCTACAGCTCACCTCAAAAGATGGTAAGCTGGATGAAAAGGAGTTGCGCGAGCTGCTGGCTCAGCAGAATATGGCACGCATGGCTGTAGAACAGGAGTCCCGAAGAGCTACAATTCTCGAAAGACGACTTGAAAATGCACGTGTTCTCAAGGCTAATCAAGTGTTGATAAAGGAACACCTGAAGCGCGCGGACAAGACAGTGGACTATGTGCTAAACAAACTGCTAGATGCGGGTTACGATGTGGAGAACGATTTGGATGTGAGCGTCAAGCTCATGGAACAGTATATGAACTCGGCTCGACGCTTGGATAAGCGTCTCACACAGCGAAAGATGCACGTAAGCCCTCATATGATGTATCGTGTGTTTAAGCAGGTCAAGTCAATTTCAGGCGCCGTGAAATTTGGTGTGTTGGACCCGCAGGATCCGAAGACTCGTGAGCAGTTGACCAAATTCTTTGAGCATGCTGTATGCGCTGCCGTGCGCTTCTGGCGTGAAGAGGAGACAGATGCTCTCGTGCGCCAGCAGCAACGATTGCTAGGCACTCAGCAGCTAACCCAGCGCGAGTACGACCAGCTCATCTTTCAACGTGTGACGAGTCTTGATGTACGCGGCGCTCACTCACTATTGCAGGAAATGCACAATGTGGGCATGAAGCCGTCCCAGGAAGCCATTCATTGCATTGCGCTAGGATTACTGCACCGACGAAATGCGTGGCCACGCGATACACACTTTGCGTCATTTGCTGAAGAAGACGGTGGATTTGACGCAGAATCTCAAGATAAAGCTGATGAGGAGGGTGAAGGCGAGGCCGAGGACCCCACAACAGCAGCAGAGGTAGCGATGGACTCAGAGTTGTCAGATTTACTGAATATGTCAGATCAGGAAGCTATCGAAAAGGAACTTGGATTGAGTGGAGCATTGAAATTAGAAGACGATGACGACAAGCTCAGTGCTGAAAGTGCAGTAACAGCAGCACGGTCTGTGTTGCTTGGCTCGGACGAACCTGTGACTGTGGAGGATCTCATTGGCTTTTTACAAGACTGGTACAATCTTTATGGCGTGACACCTCTTGGCAAGACGGTGGTACCTGTATTTGCTCAATTGCTTGACACCAACAATTTTCCTGAAATGCGCCGGTTGTTGCAGATTTTGGAATCCATGGAAGGGGGTCTAACCCCGGGCACGGAGCTTTGGCTTGAGAGGCGTATCAGTCACCTTGGTGGAAAGACGTTGGACGACTTTCGACTGACAAAGTAAACTAGTATCTAGATTTGCGTAAAGACCATAGCGAGCAGCATCTTGCATCGTGAAGAGTGTGAATGACAGGCAACACTATGTTATGCAGACATGACTGCTTACACAAGCAACAGTGTATCGCGCATACTAATGCAGTTGGTGCTTGTGCTTGTTTTATCAAAGCATTGATGACATATTACACTTCAATCTGATCCAGCGATGCCGACAAGTACGTCCCAAGAGTCTCAACCTATTCTTTCAGCATCACAACAAACAACAAGAACAACACCACCGTTGACATCAAAATTCCTACAATAAACTTCAACATCAGAGTGCATGCATCACCACTTGTTTGTACCTTTGCTTTAAGCAATCCCGCAGGCGCGTTTGTGCTTGAATATGCACATAGCAAGAAATGTTTACCCGCTAGAGTCATTGCCAAGCGACCATGCTGTCTCACAGCATATAGTAACAATAACACACACAATACTATACATTAGTATCATATAGAGACCCTATAGACCTTATCAAAGCAGTCAAGAAGCTATTGAAATGTCAAGAAAGTGTACTTCGAGTTCCACGAGCATCGAGCAAAGATCTCCAGTAGGATTCGCCTCTTTTCCAGCGTGTAAATACTCTCCCCACGTGTGAGAAGCAATAGCGCCCACGACCTTATGATCCACTATATCTCCATCACCTACAGATCCCACTAGTGCCCCTTCTAACGTCATTAACCTGTTCATAATAAGGCAATATCAATCATTGTTAAATAGGACAGAGTAATGGAAAGTAGATGACGCTGTAACTTTTGATACAAACGACAAGAGTAGATGTAATTTGTACGAGAGAGTAAGCAAAAGAATAAAGATCATATAGAGACTATACGTACATACAAGCAGTGATCCCATCACCTACAATCTGTCCTAGAACCTCGGGTAACACCTTTGCACGGATCATTTGGTAATTTAGAATTTTTTTGGAAATTCACATGAAGTTTATTGTTATACTGTCTTACTGCTTGTACCGGTATAATAAAAAACCTCAACAAACTGTAAGATTGTCAATTTTTTCCCGGAATGCTGCCACAAATTTCACAAAACCGCGTTACTTCACAGCAGAAAGTAAAGCAACGATAATGTAGCTCTTCAGTAACTGACAGTTTCTTACCCAGCCCCTGTACCCTTGTAAACAAAGAATTCGAAATATCGGTATCAGCTGAATAGTACCCAAAATCTATAGTAAAAAGAAGTGACCCAAATGCATGAGTATTATTTCTAACTTTCTTTATCAAGTAACTTTCTTTAAAACACAACCTTCCAGATTATTCAATTACTACTATCAAGATGTTAGGATCAACATGTACTAATGGCGGAGGAGGTGGTGGTGGTGGTGGATCAAGTGTTTTATCGTGGAAAGAGCATGTTCTAGATGAGATTCCTGTTGCTGCAGAAGATATAGGAGATGCTATAACGTGTCTTCTTCATACTATTTTATTTACAAGAGCACCTGGACCTGTTCGTCCTAGTGAAGCCTCGTGTCAGGCGTTTCCTAATATTACGTACGCTTTGTGTGCAGTCGGAGACGTCAGTCGTAAAGTTGATAATGCAGTACGGAGTTTTGAAGAGATGGTCGTCGTAGGAAATGGGAGTAATTACTTGATGGGAGTTAGTAATAATCCGATGACCCCATACGGGCAACCGTCACTGACGTCCATGGGTGCAAGTAACAACGACGTTCGTGGTGCTAATAGTGGGTACGTCGTCGTCACTTTTTTGGAACGCAAAGTAAAAAAAGCACTTTTTGGACTCATGTCCAATGAGGAAAAGACAGTATTTGAAAAGTGGATTGTGCCAGTTACAGTGACCTCGTCACCTGCTGCATCACAAGGTGAGAAAATCTGAATTTGATTGTAAAGGACAGAGATGATGGTGGGGTTTTGATAACTTGTTTGTTTGTTTATTATTGGTAATGAATGATATTATGTAGAAGAAAGAGAATTGTGTGCAGGAGAGACGGAAGCAGCACTGCAGAATGCATTGTTGCATGTTCTGACGGCAGTGCAAAGCATTGAGCACATTCCAGTTGCAATGTACGACTTTGAGATCCGGACTTTTAAGAGTTTGGAAGCTGCACAGACTGATAATGGCTATGGAGCAGGATTGGGAAGTACTAGTGTACGTCTCATGCCGTAGCTGACTTGCTTAATCTGTTCAATCGACGTATTTATCACTCAACTCGCCAGCTTCGTTTGCGTGGAGCTTGACATTGGATTACGACGGTGTTTTATGTTGATGGTCAGTGTATATAGACTTGGTTACGATTTCTGTGAAGCTCCTACGCTCTCTCGAGCACATACGACAGAGGATGTTGTTATAATGGACGTCATATACACCAGATTACCAGCAGCACTACGACAGCATTGGCAGAAGTGGCATTCGAGACATGACACTTATCTCTCGATTTTGTGAAAATGCTGTAATCTTTGACGAGCTCATATATTCACAAGGGGTTGATTAGCATTTGCTACAGTATTATACTATTAGTATGACGGAAATGCATCTACTTCTATACATTAGCAAGCTATATAGACGTTGGTCCCTTGCTCAGTATATAAAGTGAACCTTAACCAAACGTTAATATAAGTAACGCTATTCTATTCTATTTTTATGGGCTTTATTTGCTCTGCATTATCTATTGGTTTATACCCAATCACCGAGCTAGAAATTGAATTCAATTATAATATTTGTCATTGTAAGAAATAATGATAAAGGGATTATTTTATAGTGAATTTGATAACGTGGCTGGGCCTGTGATTCTCTTCCAAGCACCAAAGAAGTGGGTAAAGGATCTCTAAACGTTTACTATTGTTATTCTCATGACGCTATATCTTGTAGTGTGCTTAGTACTGAGGTATTTGACAGTGTATCTGGATACATTATTATTGATAAGGCACTATGTGGGAAGATTATTACAGGTGGAGAAATTAAATTATAATTGTGTACAATTAATTGATGTACAAATTATTGTGATCAATAATTATTGTATTGTCTTATTCTAATTGTATATGGTAAGGCAGTTCGAGCACAACAAATGAAGATTGTGGGATATCCCGTCTGTATTGAAGACGATAAATATTATCGTAATGCTCTACTATTTAATATTGGTACGTGTACACTATAAACAACATATAGCTACAATAAATATTGGTGTATCGAACAATTATTGTGCTTATGCATGCAGGTTTTGTATTTGACGATCACGTCGAGACGGCACCGTATCGACCTATTCTGCGAAAGGTTAGTCAGTATTATTTTATTGATGGAAGAATACAATCCGAAGGAGGTTTTGTTATGCTAAGTATTGCAATAAATGTGACATAGTTGGGAGCTTTAGTAGAAGGAATGGAAAAAGAGAGCAGCTTTTTATACGACCCGAACAAGAAAGAGCTGCTTGGAACGATTTTGCCTCAGATTTTACGCGACTTGACTCTGCATGGTGAATGCACTATTCCTGTGGATACAGCCAATATTATTAATCTGAAACTTTTTCCGACTTTGCAAGACCCTGCGTCGGTATTTGAATATCAAGTACCGGTCGCAATTCGAGATCTACAGGCTCTCCTCGAGAACAGTGGTGTGATTCTTAGACCAAGTGTGATTAGTAGGCTATGGTGAACTTTTAGCTGACTTGTTCATGGCTTGCATTCATCAGCAGAATGGGACCTGGCACTGCAGCAGATTGTGCCTTTTATTGACGGCGTCCGGTATGTGAAACGCATCAGTCTGGAGGCTGAAGTGGAGATTGCGATTGTGAAGAAATGTGTTCGACAACTTTTGTACTACGGCTGCGTAACGCTCATTGACATTTTTCTTCATTCAAACATCTACGCTAACACCCCCAAAATTGCCGTGCTTGCAAACGATTCCAAGTTGCAAGCCGAGTGCGCCGTATACATCGCCAAGTCAGGTCATGTACCGCCATCGTTTGCTCGAATATTTGCGTTGTATTGCTCCGTGCAACCCAGCTTGCGCATGAGCGACTTCTGTGTCGTGTATTCCGAGTCACTTGCTTTTATTGACGTGCGACGTTTTATCACCTTTGGCCTCATCCATGGCTTCCTGAGACGCGTGCATCGCTATCCCATCTATATCGATCGCAGTTCCAGTCCTCAGCAACAGCAACAGGTTCAGCAAACGCCACAACAAAATCAGCAGCAACAAGGTGGTCAGCAAAAGAGCCGTCAATTTGGACTATCTTCGAATTCCCCGTCGCTATCTGGAATGACTCCTATCGGTGCAGCACCTTCATCAAACCAGCCAAACGGGACATCAAGCGTATCGAACGGAACCACAACAGGAGGCGGCTCCAACGGAACTGGAGGAAATGCAACTACTCTATCATCTTCAAAACGCGCCTTGGTCGCCAAGGCTAATCAGCTGGAGAAAGACTTGCTCCGAATGATGGACGGCAACCACCATACAGACAAAATTTGCACCAAGTTTTTGTTGCGCTATACCGACGTGGAATCCACCATTCAGATAACTCCAAACTGCTTCGCTGTGCACAAATGACAGTACCCTCAAACATCAACAAGCTGCCAGGAACATAAAAATCTACATCATATTTAATTTCTTCTTCCCTCTGCGCACAACTGATACACACAAAACCGACAAAACTACAGCAGCTTTTTACTCCATCCAAAAGCCTGAGATCTCCATGTTCATTACAAGTGTCAGATAATTAACCATCTCTTCCTTTGTATGATAGAGCGGCAGATCAATCCGATTGAAACATGTGTGGCCCTTGGGCATTAGACCAGTTGGCGGGGCACCACGCTGTACAAACTGAATGGTAAATCGTCGGACTCGACCATCACTACTCGTAAGTGCCTTAAAGCCCTGTACAGGGACGCGCGAAGTGCCAGTAGCAAACTGTAGCAAACGCGCACGTTCCTCACTAGTAAATTCAGCCATACACTCCCAAAACCATTTAAGCACGCGATGCTCGACAGGGGACGGCTTCTCAAGCTTGACCCACCGCACCTCACTGTGAGCATGCCAATCATTCACATCCAGCTCCGGTACACCAGATAGCAAAAGATCAAACTCCTGGTAGTCAAACACTGTAATAAGGAATTGCGGCATGACGTCGTAAAAACCCATAAGTAGTGCACCCAGTTGCTCTGAAATACTCTCAAACATGTAGTGTTTCAGTAGAAGCTCCAAGTACTCCTTCTTATTGTCATCTGTCACATCCCGGTCAGCACCACCAGGTACTAATTCAACTGTCTTTGACTTTCCCTCAGACGTAATTACCTGTACTGTAAAGTCAATTGCAAGTAGATCAGCGTTGTTATTCTGCTTCATCCACATTGCATTCTTGTACAAATCTTCATCCAAAAACTCGAGATCCGAGAACGAAATCGGTACTCCAAGAATGTGCTTGATAAGCGGTAATGCAAGTGACATTTTCATGTTGTATCCTTCAATCAGTGCCTTTGCAAGCAACCGCCCGATAAACTCGTAATACTCCAGATGATTGGGCACCTTCGAAGCCGAGGCCGGGTTAATCCAGTAACCCATGTTCTCACCCTTTGTAGAAATAAACAGACCAAAATCATCGTTAAAGAGAGAATCACTCAAAATCTCGTACCATTCACGAATCAAACCACCAGCATCTAGACCAGGCTCATTCTCAAAGTAAATGCGCAAGCGCTCCCAGAATCGACTAGGCGGACACTTCAGCATCTGTTCCAGCGAATCGCTTACCAAATGTTCTCGTCTCACGACAAACTGAATGTGACCTTCCTCATAGCTTCGCCAGCGCTTCTGCACCTGCTCGAGGAACCAACGGTTCTTGTCCTGAAAAGTAAGCGAGGCGACCTCCTCAAGATCATCTTCGCAGTCCATTCGACGACAGTTCTCCGTAAAAGCAATCACTGTTCCTGCAGGGGTCCACTCGTACCCGCCATCACCGTCCTCATGCCGCACATACCCTGTAGATACATTCGACATGATTGTATCATTCATTTCCATAAATCGACGGTCTTCACTTCCATTTGGTCCAGTAATCTTAGGTATTGAGCCTATATCCATTGTACCCTCCCTGTTCTCATCAATGTGTATCAAGCTACGAGAACTAGCAAGACCGCGAGTAGGAGGTAACTGGTTGACATTAATACCAGGGAATGGGTTCCTGTTGTTATTGCCATTGGGGTTAAACGGTTTCACACTACTATTTGCCGGGTTAAATGGATTTTGCTGTGAGTAAAATGCCATCGTCGGTCGTTCTTCTGCTTCTTCAAGACATTTTAGTGCCGTAGCACGGAGCGGCTGGAATGATGGACGACCCAAGTCATTCGTCGACAGAAATGAGCTGTTTGGGTGATATTCTCCATCCTCTGGGACACCAAAATCTCTCAACGCTAGTGCAATATTCTCATTATCTTCTCTCAAGGACGACGTGGATGAGACGCAACTTGTATTTGACGTACGTACATACGCATCACCTCCTAATATTGCTGTTCCATTGGAAGGTGTACTGAGACCACGATACATGGTCTCATTTCTCTTATCCTTGTTACTATGATTGATGTTTCTCGTCTTGTCTTCATCATAATTCTCACGCGTATATTGTGCATCAATCCGTACCCACCGCATGACTCCATCTTTTCCTCGTTTTCTCTTCCATAAATGTCGTCGTACAGCTGCTTTCTGTCTTGATGTAAGGTCCATTTGTTTTAATCTTCGCACGTGAAAACTCCGTACTCTCGATTGTTGATTCAACATACTTTGACTAAACTCTTGTTTATGTAATCCTGATGCACGTGCGAGATAATTCGATGGCGTGAGTGCCGTGATAATACGTGGTGTACGACACATAACACAACTTGTTTTATCCGGATGATTATCATGAAAACAGATTGAACACGGCCATTCTTCTTCTCCACGTTGTAAGAAACTATCGACAAGATGATGTCGCATCATATTATTATTTTGATTATCTCGTGCTAGAAACCGTTCGATTTTACGTGCATAGCTCCAATAATACCATATTGAACCACATAGAATCATTAATGCCAAGATAAGAAAGATATACACAAGTGCTGCCATCCCGGGTGTTAATTCCTGGCCAAATAACGTCGTCATGGGGTTGTCGAGGGGGTTGATTGTTTCCAAATGCTAGTGACTTTTTCACTTGACTCAACTATGTCGTTCGAGTGATTAAAAAAATACGTTTTGATGGAAAGAGTTGTACTGACTCCTGTAGTTCATAGAGGAGGAGGAGGGGTTGGTATTTATATCCAATGAGAATACAAGATTAAATGTATTTTGAACCACTTGGAATTCAAGTATAATAGACCCCCATGTCTTTTATACTGGAAAGTAGTTACACGGTTGGTTATAGAAGAATGTTCGATTTTATCAATTTTCTTACGTGAAAAAGAAGAAGAAAAAACCGTGGACCGATTTGTTCGCAACATTTATAAAACAATGTAAAAACGGTAGGACTTGAAGTCAATATGAAACAACCCAATCTACGGATGAATAGAAGAAAGACCTTACGGGATGTTCATACATACATATTATGACGAGTCTTGACATTTGAATCGATTATTAGTATCGTGAGAAACAGTCATACGACACACGTTGAAGTAGAGAATACTATTTCTTCACTTATTGATGAGCAATCCGGTCAATCGTTTCACTTGATTGATGATTCACTTGATTTCTCTATGAAATGTCTTTGCCCTGATCTTTTCATGATTCTATAGCATAGGACAGACAGCCCGTCTCTCTTTCATATGTAGCCGCCTCTTTACTGTCGGTACTTTCATCACCAGACTACTTGACTTAGTTTCAGCTGTTTACATCTCTCTACCTCTACCATAACACCAACATACGTCCACACTTCTCCGTCCTGACCTCATGTCAACGCCCCCGCTCTCATAATGTATCAGTCAGTTATCAATGAAAACAGTTCGTCATGGTCAAAAGTGCACCGTTGATGCCGCTTCATTGATTTTCTGGACTTGCTTCGGTATTTCTTGGCCCGTCCTTCTTTGCCATTGTACTTGCAGTGACAGTTTCTTCGTCTGTCTGCTTAAATCCCTCATGCATCTGACACGATCAACGTAGGACATGCGTCCGTAAGATTACGACGAAACTTACGCAGCTCAAACAAGTTCATGGCGCATAGTGCATTCATTTGAAAGCACTATCAAGACTGAAGGTTTCGCCATCACAGACGCCAAAATCACACTGAAGACGCATGTGATAGTCAACGCTGCGCTGTACGCATTTGCTGCACTCACAATGCAACGTCTGATTGACTCTTTCTGCCATCACTCCGTCAACATGTTTGTTGTTTCGCTAATGTTGCTTCAGCTTCATGAATATTACGTGGTTTACATTGATTTGCTAGCTCACAAGACTCATCATTGTGTGGTGCACGCCATAGTGCAAAAAGCATGAGCATCGTACGACGGCTGCAAGCGCGGGTGCAGCACTGGCATTTGCTTGGGCGTTACTACGTCAATAAATGGCACTACAGTGTCTCCAAGTGGGCGGAATGTGTCTTGTATGGCCAGTCTAGAACAGGAAACAGCCCAAAGGTTGCGTCCGTGGCTTTTATGATCACGCGAGCTATGCGTCAACAGCTTATCGACGCTGGTTTTCCATCCTCTGCTATCTCGTCGTTACAGCCGGCAGTAGCGCAAAAGGTGATTGCTGAGAAGGTCACATTTGCAAAGTTTCAGGAGCTTCAGAATCAACATCAGGTAGAAGAGGCAGCAAAGAGGGCGAAGCAAATGCTGCAACAGGAGGAGGAACAGGACCAACAGAAGAGCGTACTAGTGGTGGCAAACAAGCAGCAGGAAGTCAAACAGCACGAGGAAACTGTGATATCTGGAGCTCTTGCTACGCAGCAGAAGAAAGTGGGAAAGGAGAGGGAAGTGAACAAGACTTGAAATGCAATCTTGCACATACTCATCACGTTACTTTGGTCGAGATAGCTTCGATGGCGCGGCAAGTGACTGCAACTTACGGTCCAGACTCACGCGTGATGTACAACACATGTAAATCTTACTCCAGCAGCTGGTTCTTACGTGGCTGGATATCTATCTATCTTCCATGCGGTGACCAATGACTACTTCTGTTTTCATCTCTACCTCTTTCTCTAGCCCCTTTGGCCTCGGTCATATCGTTCTTACTTCACCACTTGATCATTGTCTTTCTCTTTAGAATGACTTCGTCCAACGAAGTGAGCGCAGCAACCATTGCTACTTGTACACCCCACCACAACACGCAAAAGATACCTCCGTAGACAACACGAGAACCTGTTTTACCAGTGAAGAAGATCCATAGTATTGATCCCAAAACGTAGAGCAAAGTCAGCAGCCAGTACCCACGGTAGAAATCGCGTCGTAGATCGTCGTAACTTGACGTCTTGTACCACTTGGAACGGTGCAGTGACGTCAGAACGCCGTATTCCAACGCCTGCGTTGTCATTGTGAGCACTAAAACAATGGCAATCAACGTCATAAATGATACAATTGTCGGTGTGAGGTGCAGCACCAGCGCCGATAGCTGCAACATTAGCCACAAGAGCCACTGTGCCATTGACCACAGCAATGCCATGACAATAAAATATAATTTTTTAATAAAAATAAACAATTTTAATCAAAAGCCATATCGTTACTTTAGTACCTAGTGCGTCACCATATTGTACTTAACTCGTCCCTTCTTAAGTACCAAATCAAGGACTATGTGCAGTCTCATCAGTTTTCGAGAAAAGCGCTTCTTCAAATTCAGACAATCTTTCAAACTGACGCCATTAACAACAACGGGCTCAGCACACGCTCAATGTGTTGATATTGTCAAGACCTACAATGCAAATCACAAGCAAGAGTGCAAAAAAACAAAAGAACTCCCAAGTTTCAATTGCATTAACCTTACGAGATATCTCGTCAATTTTGCAGATCAATCAACCTAAAGACAGCGTATTATCTGACCTAACAAGTTGCAAAGCTGCTTGCTTAACCGCGGAAAGTGCACGGGCGCGAAGCCTTGAAGACGGTCTTGTGGTCCTTCTCAGCAGCACGCGGTAGACGGTGAGACAGCGGGAACGAGATCTTCGAGTTGTGGAACTGCTGCACGGTCAGCTTCTGGGTGTCCTTGGCAGCAACAATTGCAGTGCGCATGATCTGGATCGAACGAGGACGAGCACGATGACGGCCAGCAAGCTCTGCGTACATTTGCTCCACAGCTCTACAAAGAGTCACATCACGGTACTCCTTGTACATGTTGTGAGTGCCACTGCGCGAGTTGTATCGGATCCAGATACCATAGTTGTTAATAACACGACGGTTCTTTTCTGTCAGCTATAACGATCAAACAAAACAAGTAAAAATTAGAGATATGCGGCTATCGAGACGGTCGTCATGACAGACAAGAGCTTGTCCTCGTCCGTTACTAGTGAAAAGGTGTTCAGATTCGGGTCGCTTACAAACGTGATATCCCACATCCAATAAAGCTAAACAACGGATCACACCGCGATCTCACTAAGCGAAAAGCGGTTTGCAAGCTGGAGTGGAGAAAGACCATGATGTGTGGGGACGTCCATATGGTCAACATACTTTCCACTCTCATGGCAAGCAAGCGCTTATAGTAGATCGCTAGGAGGTATTGGACGAGGAGGTAAGACCCATCCTTCCTTTCAATAGTCATGTAAATATCACTATTGAAAGGTGTTCAGGTCAGACTTTCGAGACGCACCTCGTTAATGTCCAGAATCTCGCCCGTAGTCTTTTTCATCTTCTTCATCTGATGCAAAAAGTACCAAAAGCGAGACTGAGCTAGCACCGGATTTGGTGCAAAGAGCTTCATACGGTATGCAGGCGGGTTGGGTTCCTTTTCAGTTGGTGCCTTACGGCCAACGACTTGAAATTGACGGATCTGTCCAGATAAAATATCATGATAAAGATAATTGGGTTAGTAATCATGTGTCATATCAGGACTGTTTGTCAAGGTTCTTCGATGCTACATACCGGCATGATTTATTGTTCGAGGGAGGCTTCCGGAATGAGCCACACAAGTTGTTTACATACATACATACACACTCTTGGTTTTACTGGCGGAGGATAGCCGACAACTTTTGTCCAATAACAGGATAGAAAGAATCGAGTAAAACCCGGGTTTGTAATGAAACCCGCGATGAAGCGCGTTTACCTGTAGAAAGCGATAGCATCGGCGTATTTAATATTCACCTTTCCAAGATGTAAGCTATAATGTTTAGTATTGTGTGGTTATTTCCAAGTCTACTTACTGTCTTTGATTATGTTCCTTTACTCTGCGTATAATCCAGATATAAGTGCATACAAAACTATGCTGTTAAGGAGACTATGCTGTTAAGGAGACTATGCCGTTAAGGAGACTATGCTATTACACTACCTGTCACTGTAATGTATTGACGCTGTAAGCATTATTAATGTAGATGTAGCCATGTTTGCAATCTTCGATCTTGAAGTATATGTAGCTATTTCCATCACAATAACAACACAGATAAATCAACATACTAGTATCTAAACTCAACCTCACAGCAGCTGTAAGACATATAAACTACAAGACAATGACGTCTAAAGCAGGAATTGATTGATTACTCGATGGTGTGTCGCATTTGTAATCACTAAGCGTAGGAAGAGTATGTTTAATCATATGGTATGATTCAGATAATGGTACGTTCAAAGAAGTATTAAGACAGCGTTTTGTAGACAAGTGTTAGGACAGCGTTTGAAGACAGACGTACAGCTTTCAGCTTTTGTAACTCATGCAACTAATGTATAATCACGAAACAGTGAGATCCAGCTGTTATCCGTTGCTGCTTCTATTGATGTATTGATTCTCCTATTGTTTGCAATCACCACTCCACTACAAGAAGTATACATGCTAATGTTCTATTCATGTCGCGCTTCGTTTGTCCTTCGGATCAAGCTACATGAGTCATGAGTGACTTAATGCAGGTGCTGTAATGACCGTCTTCAAGAGAAATTTGCAATCTCTTTGGTGCCACTTGCAGGACTCAGGCATACTGGCTATTTGATCACACTGCTCCATCTAATGGCAATGTTTGCTTTGTAACACATGAGGAAGCTGCAAGAAGCAGAGATTTAAAGTTTGTGTAGTGGTCACCATTGCGGTGGTGTTGGCAGACGAAAAGTTGGTCAAGCGAGCGCAATAGTTCACTTGCTGAGACCAAGTGTAGCGAAGCGTTGGAAGACGTCCAAAGCAGCCTCAATACTTTTGTATGGACGAGTTGTGCTTCGACTGATTCACATTCATAGCAACTTTTGGTTCACTTGCTGTAAAGATGTTGAAGAATTCATGAGCCGTAGCAGCTGGAATCTTGCATGATCATTTTTCCTTACAATCAATCGACACCGTTGAGTACAATGACCTCTAGTACTTTGCTCCTAAAGTGTTTCAACATCTTTGTCATTTCATCACATGTCTTACTATAGAAGGTCTGTATTGTAGAAGTCGTCGACAACAAAAAATTCATGCGGTAGAGAGAGAAAGATAGAGAACGAAAGAAAGGGACTGGAATGTCCCTTCATGATGATGTTCTTTATCGAATCATATGATTCATCCATGTATCTATCCACCCAATCCACCATCTGCTGTCTCTTTCTCTTCTCTCTCTGCCTCAAACAGACTCTTCCAGCAGCGCGGCATCTCAGTAAATGAGTGGTTCAATAGCTACGTAATAATTCCATACGTTAAACGACACACACACAGACATTTTCGAGACATATTACATCTCCCTATGAACATCAACGACGGCAAGACTGACGATGTGATGACGACGACGACGTTGTGTGTAAATGACCAAAGGAAGATCGTTGAAAGCAGTGCTACAACTTTAATTCCATCCAAGACTGTCACTTCTATATCTTCAAATGACTCCATGACTCAAACAGGATTATTGGAAATGTTGCCGCCCAATGGAAAGAAAGTCGTCACTGTGTTACATACAATACATACTCTATGTCAACAAGTACGTGATCGTCCTCGTGTGTGTATTCAAGCACATACAAGATTACATCAAGTGTTTATCCGTATTGCAACTACATTGACAACAAAGAACGAATTGTCTTTACCAGTGACGTTTCAGCTTGACCATTTTCTTCTAGTATTAACTCAATTGAAAACAATTCTTGATCAACACCTCAAACTTCCAAATCTCGTGGCTAAAGTAACAGCAAGTCGTCGGTTCTTATCAGGAGTAGCACGAGTTCATTCAACACTAAATATCTTCTTAATGGACCAGTTATCTCTGAGTGAAACAAGTCTCTTGCTTGAATGGAAGAAACAATTTGCATTCAATCGATTACAGGATGAAAAAGCGCTTCATGATACCTTAATGGCACTACTTTCGACTCCAACGTTTGTAAGCAAAGAATTGCCAAGTGAACGTAGTCAAGCATTAGTATTGCTTGAGTTAGTTGCAGAATTTGCATCGAATGAACCATTACGTGGACATTCTTCACAACTTTTAGAGACGCTCAAGATGACCCATCGACGCATTTCAAACTTGTGTGACTTGCATCTTCGACGAGTACCAAGGTGGTTCTTACCAGGATGTGAAGTGGATTTCTCACCTTTTCATCATACCATTGGGCCCTCGAGAGGATCGTTTGGGTCAACACTTCAACGTGGTGAGGCACATCGATACAGCTACAATAATGAAGGAGCTCTTTCGAATGCTACGGCTACAGTAGCTGTGAAGTGTCTGTGGGCACTACCCGATGTCCATTATCAATTTGTCGAACAGCTTTTTGCACGAAGTGGAGTGTCCAAGTGGACACATGTTCGACATCCAAACGTGGTGACTGTACGAGGAGCTTCCCATGCTGCTACACCACCTTATTTGGTGAGAGATTTTACAACTTATGGTGGACTTACATCTTATCTTGCAGCGCTCGAAACACGAGCTAAGACATTTGCAGGGCCTGAAAGTAGTGGAAAAGTGGAGACATTGACATGGCAATTACTTTATGGAGCAAGTCGTGGTCTGCTACACCTTCATGAACAACATAGCATTGTCCACGGAGGACTACGGTGCAATAATATACTTGTTGATAAGAAAGGTCGGGCTGTGATTGCTGACTTTGGATTGTACACGTTGGCATGCGACGCTCGAGATTCCGGACTTACCGAATACTTTCAATTGGACGTTTTCGACGCAGACGCTGAGGAATTAATACGATGGCAAGCCCCTGAGTGCTTACGAGAACACGTGGCATATCGCGAGTCACTTCGGTCTCTCTCTGAGACCGGATCGGCACTGGTATCAAGCGGTGCCAGTGCATCTGCCACTTCCTTCTCCACGGATGTGTACGCTTTTGGAATGTGCATTTTGGAGGCCTTGACTCGCACAGTGCCCTGGGCAGGGCTTGACATTGCAAAGATTCGCACGCTTAAAGAAAACCTGAGCTTGCTACCCCCTCGACCAAGGTGCATTTCATCTCAGGGATGGACACTGATTGAGAAGATGTGTGCAGCCGATCCGAAGAAGCGTATTACACTTAGCGAGGCATCACAGGAGCTAAAGCGACTTGGATACGGAAACCGGGTATCAAGTCGATCACAAAACTCCATGTAACCTCGAGACATTGAGGGCTGACGCTGCAGCAAAAGTGGATCGTGTTATAAGCGCACTGGGTGAGGTATCACAAGAACTCGTTGATGACAGTCGGTCACGCGGGAGTAGTGTGACGAATTTGAAGGCGCTGGACGTTGCCAAAATTGAGCATATCTCGACATCACTGGAAGAAGTTTCACAAGAACTCAAGAATATATCGGATCGTTGCCGTAATGGAAGCGCTTCAAGTGTGAAGACACTAGACGAGCAAGCGACTCAGAAACTGGCTGGTGTATCTGGCATACGTTTGAATATTGCATCTAAAGAGCTGAATGGACTGGGAATAGGTGAAAAACTGACAAGTGGATCACGAAGTAGCAGCAATCAGGACCTGGGAAGAGTCGCTCGAGACGCATTTGATAAATTAGACCGACTATCCACTCATGGTTCTGGCACTTTAACTGCTGGACCAAGCCAGGACATATCATCATTGGGAAGCGAGCAGAGACAAAATGCAGAAAACGAATTCTTAGTGTTAGCTGCGGCTACATCTGGCTATCCACCGCCCTTTACAGTACACGCAGTGGAACAGGTGACTGCTATCACTGCGGACAAGCCATTATGTAAGCCTGACTCTTTGGTACTGAGTGATGCGTCAACGGTGGAGCAGGCCGGTCGTTCGATAAAGAAGTATGCCTCGCCGCTCAGACAAGGTTATTCGAATTCACGCAAAGTAGGCAGTGCAGTTATTGTGAACAGCTCATTGGAGAAGGAATCTTGCAACAGTTTACACTTGTCTGCACATGATGAAAAGGCAAAGCTACCTCACTCTCGAGACGTAGTGCGTCCAATACACAGCGCGCTTTTCAACGAGCCAAATGACAGTGATACGACTGATGGTAAGCCTGATCGAAGTAATTGCAGATCGACCAGCATAGACGACAGTGCTGAGACAACTTCTGCTTTTGATTGTAATAGCAATTGGCCTACGTACGAACAGCCCGAGCAAGAAATTAATAATGATAGTGCAAATGTCGAGCGCTTTGATGCCTGCGAGGAATATCCTGTATTGTCGAGCAGTGGTGAAGAAGATGGACGCTTGGAAAAGCTGGCTATTGGTGATAGTTCTACAGATGAAGAAACGTTGATGATCGTTCCTGCGGAGTTTCAGACAGCTTGCAGCTTCGACGAGGAGGACTCTGCGTCAGTACTTCAGCCAGTAATTGGTCTTCTTGACAGCCTCTGGACTGAGCGACTTGAGGAAGCTCATTTAATTGAAAATTTGGAAGCTATAAAGGAATGTCTCGAGCTATCAACTGCTTCAATCATCGTGGAGCGGGAGGGATTTCTTGCATTAATGAAGCTTGTTTGGAGAAACCACTCTGAAGTTTGCACGATTCACGCCTTAGAGATATTGCAGTCAATCGCTGGCCTCAACTCTGACTTTGTGGTAACACTAGTAGAATCTAAACTTGTGAAGATCTTGCTGGCTGTTATCAAATACCGATCATCTCCTCGACAAGTTGACTTGGCAGCATCGTTTCTTCTTGAGGTTATTGCTGATAATGACGAAGCAATGAGGCAGCTATGGAAATGTCGCGGTGTCGGTGTGATGGAAGATAGTCGCGTCATTGACCGTCGACTTGTTCAGGAAGTAAAGTCTACGATGGCAAAGTTCAAGCGAAACGAAGGCTTGAAGTGTCTTGAGGAAAGTGAATATCACTTAGCAATTGATAAGTTTACAGTAGCAATTGCTTTGGATTGCAAGCGTGCAGGGTACTACGGTGACCGAAGGTATGTAGCACAATGCGGTAGCTTGTTTTATTTCGACCGGAGGATTTACTATAATGCAATTCTTTTGCTGTGATGCAACAGTTTGGCGTATATGGAAGCATCCATGTACAAAAAGGCAGTGGAAGATGCCTATCGCTGTATGCGCTACAACCCGTACGATGTGACGGGATATTTACGCCATGGCTTGGCTCTGAGGGCCTTAGGAAAGTACAAGGAGGCCATTCACTCGTTGCGTGAAGGTACAGAGGTTGATCCCAAGTTTATGAAAATCCGTGATACACTGGTTGAGACCGAAAAGCTCTACGAGGCACAACAGAAAGGAGGAGATAGTGGCAAAATGCTGCGCCATATGACGGCTGCTGAGTCTGCAAAACTTAAGAAGAAGGATGGTGACGATGCACTTCGAAAGAAGGATTTTACGCTTGCAATCGAATGCTATACGGAAGCTCTCGAGCTTGATCCGAAGAACGACTGGATGTATTTGCACCGAAGCATTGCCCACATTGCTTGTAAGGACTACACCAAGGCGATAGAAGATTCGTCTAGGTGTATCCAGATCAACTACCGACAGGTCGAAGGCTACTACCGACTTGCACTGGCGTTGCATGGAGCTAGCCAGCATGACCAAGCATTAAATACACTCTACCGTGGACAAGAAGTGGATCCACGACACAAGGGTATCGCTCGTTTTATTAACCAACTTGAAGAAGAGGAAGCGAAGGAAGCAGGACTGTTATTACCCGAATGGTTCAAGAATAAAGGGTATCGAGCATTTCAGTTGCGTTCATATGAGGATGCCATCAAGTTTTACACAAAGGCAATTGACGCGTCACAGTCCGACGATGATGAGGTGGTGATGCATTGTTATTTGTATCGATCTCGTGCCCATCAGACGCGAGGTGAATTTTCAGCTGTGATTGCTGATTGCACGTACGTACTGGATCGTCGTCCGACTGATGTTTTTGCTCGCTTGCGACGCGCAGATGCGTACGAACAACAGCGTGATTATCTCATGGCACTGGAAGATATTCGTGAGTTGGCGACTCTCAATCCAGAATACGAAGATGCTCATGCTCGGCTTGAATCGTTACAAGATAAATGTCGACTTTTACCTGGTGCATCTCAACAAAAGCATGTTGAGATTACTTTATAACGTGAGAGATTGATTGCAGGATACTGGTATCGTATGAATGAGTACAAGACCTGTTCTACTTTTAATGAACTTGGTTCTTCTTGTTTTGTGCCAAGTATTCGTGTTTTGATGGTCTATGGTGGAAGAGAGAAGTTTTTACACTTGTCGAAATCGCACCAACACGAGCATTCGTAGGCTTACTTCAGATGAGGACAAGTTTGTAGCACGTATAGAATGTAGTAGTTTTCTAAGTAGTCTGCAGTTGAATGGTATCGAGTTAACTTGCTTGTCATTTTACTATTACTATGAGGATGCGTCATATTACTATATACTTTTAATACTATTGCTGCGATGCAAGAATAATAATATACTTATATTCTGCAGGTAAAACAATCAAGCAGTTGCAGAGCAAAGTACCCAAAATTACCCAAAATTACCCATCGTTTCTCTACGGTAGATTCAAACCGATACCGATTATGAGCAATTTGTATAAATATACGAGACCGCTTCATTGTAATCGCAAACTATTTCAAGATGCCACTCGTTCAGGTGACAAGTAATGTATCTTCTAGCAGTGTGAACACGGTCAAAGTCATGGCTGCAATCTCCAAAGGAATCGCCACTGCACTTGAAAAGTCAGAGCAAGCTGTGATGGTGCATCTGAACCTGGATACGTCAATGTTTTTTCAAGCTACAGACGCCGTACGTTTCTATCGTCTCCCTACTAAAGCTCGGGATGTAACACTGACCTAATGCTCTTATTGCTGATGTAGCCATGTGCTATGATCCATGTTAGAAGCATTGGTAAGGTAGATGCTCAGTATAATGCAAAGGTAGGCAGCTAATATTTTGCGTGTAGAAACAATATCGAGAGGCTCATGGTGATGATAATTGATTGCTACGATCTTTATTGCAGACGGCGTCAATGTTGACAAAGATTGTGAGTCACGAGCTGCAAATTCCTGCTGATCGTATCTTTATGAACATTGATGACGTCCAGCGCTCGAATTGGGCCAAGGGTGGCATGCTTATTCCGGAACCTAAGTAGTGAAGTACATTAGTGTTTGGGCAGTTATGACGGGCGGGAGGGGGGGGGGCCAATGATCACGCAAGAGACAACATATGGGCAAAGCAATCATCAAATCGCTTGACAGATGCAGACGCAGACACCTTTATCATTCATATTGCCGATAGGTTTTTGCATATCTTGTTAATAGCATGGTCAGTGGCAAGGATGTCAACGTGAACCTTACTAAGGACTAGTTTTACTTCCTTAAGTAGCCAATCAATACCGTATCAAAACCAGTTTGACCGACTGTGTTCTTCCAGTACGTAATACCGGTATCAACTACTCACTTGTTTTAAAATCCACACACTTACCTTGTTCTCATTATACCGTATAGAAAATCCTATATCACATTTCCAAATCCTTTTCTCCATCCATTTACCATCACTCTTATCGTCGATAATGGCCGAGGAAGTAGCTCGTTCACGACAATATGCTTATCAACAGAACTCTAATCTTGTATTACAAGCAGATAGTGAATCAAGGCGTCGACTTGATGAACCAACAGGTGAAGTTGAGTCATTAGTTGGTAAAATTACGTACCGAATGGGGGATCGAGCACAGAAAGCAACACCAGAGAGCAGTCGGAAACGTCCTAGTCATACTAGTACGAAACAAGAGCTCGATATGATACAAAAGAAGAAGAAGAAGAAACGACATGGTGAGGTAGAAGACGTGAGGAGTCATGGCCGAGAGGGTGTTGTCTTTACAGCTACGGGTGGTTTAGCAGCTGGGAAGAGTAATATACTGAAAGAGAGTCGAGCTTATGAATCAGCTGCATATCGGCCACGTAATACGACGAGTTTAGAAGCCTATGAGCAGATTCTGAGTGTTGTTGCGGATCAAATTGGAGCACAACCTGGAGAAATTCTGGCTGGAGCGGCTGAAGAAGTATTGGCAATTATTAAGAACGAGACGTACCGAGATGATGAGAAATATGAGGAAGTACGGAAACTACTAAAGAGCATTACGACACACACTTTTAGTCAAGTGGTAGCAGCAGGGAAAAAGATTACGGACTTTTACACGGAAAAGGAAGAGAAGAAGAAAGATGAAGATGGAGAAGAGACGACGTTAGTTGAGAGTGATGAAGAAGTGGACAAGGAAATGGGTGTAGCTGTGGTTTTTGATGATGAAGACGAGGAGGAAGAATCCGATCTGGATGAAGTCAGGGAAGAAGAGGAAGATGAGGAGGAAAATCATGAGCATGAAAAAAAAGACGACTACAGGACGTGAAGCTATGAAGATAAAGGATGAATATGACGACGAAGAGGACGGAGATGTCAAGTACAAGCTTGATGTACATGTGATCGATGCATTCTGGCTTCAGCGAGAGCTGTCGAAATTTTACAAGGATGCAGAGATAAGTGCAAAACTTGCTGAAGATGTGCTGAGTATTTTGAAGCAAGCGGGAAATGACCTTAGTGCTTGTGAAAACAGACTCGTACTGCTGTTGGACTATGACAAGTTTGACTTTATCAAACTCTTGCTTGAAAATAGAGCAAAGGTATTGTACTGTACAAGACTGAAACAGGCTCAGAATGAGGAGGAACGGCATAGTATTGAAGAGGAGATGGTTGGCGACGAGACGCTAGATGACGGCGAAGGAAATGCTATTCTAGACCAGCTGCGCACGACAGCATCGGCTGACTCGTGGATGCAAGATCGCATCGGCGCAATGGAGACTACGTCTCGTGCGGAGGCCAACAAACTGCGCAAATTGCAACAGAAGCCTGACGGTCAGCGCACGCAGGCTCGCGGCGACGAGTCGGATGATGACGTCGATATGGATGACGTGAGTAGGGATGCCGCTGAAGAGAGAAGAGAAGCTACATCGAAGAGAAAGCCACAACGTTACGTGGATGTTGAGTCACTAGCATTCCAGGAAGGTGGCCACTTGATGAGCAACCGTGAATGTCGCTTGCCAGAAGGTACATGGCGTGCGCAGAAGAAGGGATACGAAGAGGTTCACGTTCCTGCTGTTCGCACAAAGATTGCTGTGGCTGAAGAGAAAGCGCGGATCAAGATCTCGACGCTGCCAAAGTGGGCACAGGGCGCGTTTAATGGCATGGAGTCGTTGAACCGTGTGCAGTCAAAAATGTTTCCCGCGGCCTTTAAAACGAGTGAAAATCTGCTGTTGTGTGCGCCGACGGGTGCGGGTAAGACGAACGTTGCAATGCTGACAATTTTAAACGAGGTCATGAAGGCTCGTGATCCCGACACTGGCAAAATTGATCTTGATTCGTTTAAGATTGTTTACGTGGCTCCAATGAAGGCCCTGGTACAAGAAGTTGTGCTTAATCTTTCTGCTAGATTATCTAGTGTCTACAACATCCAAGTGCGTGAGCTATCAGGAGACCAAAATTTGTCTCGAGAGCAATTATTTAACACACAGATCATTGTCACGACACCCGAAAAATGGGACATCATCACGCGAAAGTCTGGAGATGATCGCACGTACACTCAGCTTGTGCGTTTAGTGATCATTGACGAAATCCACTTGCTTCACGACACGCGCGGTCCAGTGTTGGAGGCTCTGGTTGCCCGAACGATTCGCAATGTGGAAGCCACACAGCAAATGGTTCGTCTAGTTGGTCTCTCCGCCACACTACCAAACTACGAGGATGTCGCAGCGTTCCTTCGCGTCGATCCTGCGCAAGGGTTGTTCTACTTCGATTCCAGTTACCGCCCTGTGCCGCTTCAGCAGCAGTATATTGGCATTATGGAAAAGAAAGCAGTCAAACGTTTTGCGTTGATGAATAACATTTGCTATGAGAAGGTAATGGAGCAGGCAGAACTGGACAATCAGGTCCTTATTTTTGTGCATTCGCGAAAGGAGACTGCGTCGACAGCAAAGGCGCTGCGAGACTTGTTTGTCGAGAATGATACACTCACCCGTTTGATAAAACCAAACTCTGCCTCTAGCGAGGTACTGTTACAGGAAGCTGAAAAGATTGAGCGCAATGATGATTTGAAGGACCTTCTTCCTTATGGTTTTGGTATACACCACGCTGGTATGAAGCGACAAGACCGCACACTGGTGGAAAATGCATTTGCTGATGGTCACTTGAAGGTACTGGTCAGTACTTCGACGTTGGCGTGGGGAGTCAACCTGCCGGCCCATACGGTGATTATTAAAGGCACCCAGATCTACAACGCAGAAAAGGGCGACTGGTGTGAACTAAGTCCGCTGGACATATTGCAAATGCTTGGTCGTGCTGGTCGTGTGCAGTTCGACACACAAGGCGAGGGTATCATTATCACTCAGCACTCACAACTGACCTATTACTTATCGTTAATGAACCAGCAGCTTCCAGTGGAGTCACAACTCATGGGGAAGTTGGCTGATAATTTGAATGCTGAGATTGTGGTGGGTAGTGTGCAGAACGTGGCACAAGCTGCGACGTGGCTAGGCTATACGTATTTGTTTATCCGAATGCTCCGTAACCCAACATTATATGGCATTTCCGTTGCTGACCGCAAGGCAGATCCGACACTGCTACAGTACCGCACAGATTTGGCTCACTCCGCTGCGACGCTATTGGTGAAGCATAACCTGATCAAGTACGAGCGACGTTCAGGGTCGTTTCAAGTAACCGCGCTCGGTCGTGTTGCTAGCCATTACTACATTGCTCACGACTCGATCAGTACGTACAACGAGTACCTGAAACCTCACATGTCAGATATTGAAATTCTGCGGCTATTTTCTCTTTCAAATGAGTTCAAATATGTGATCGTTCGCTTAGAGGAAAAGCTGGAGCTGGTGAAGCTGTTGGAACGTGTACCTGTTCCGGTGAAGGAGTCCTTAGTATCTTCAGCTCCTGGTAGTGTTGCGGCTGGAAGCGGCTCTGCAAAAGTGAATGTTTTGCTGCAAGCTTACATTTCGCGCCTGAGGTTGGATGGGTTCGCACTTCTGGCAGACATGGCGCATATTCATCAATCCGCAGCACGTATTTTCCGAGCGCTTTTTGAGATTTGTTTGACTCGAAGCTGGGCTTCGCTGGCTGAGCGGATGCTTAGCTTTTGCAAGATGGTCGACAAGCGCATGTGGCTCTCACATTCACCTCTTCGCCAGTTTGCCCCTGGACTGTCGGAGACAATTTTGAAGAGGATTGAAAAGAAAGACATTACGTGGGAAAAGTACAACGACTTGGAACCTGCTGATCTCGGCCAACTCATTAACAACCCGCACTACGGCAAGCAGCTTTACAAAATGATCCATCAGTTTCCAAAGCTTGAGCTATCGGCTCATGTGCAGCCGATAACTTGCTCTATGCTGAAGGTAGATTTGGTCGTGACGCCCGACTTCGAGTTCACAAGGGAGGTACACGGAAACGCTGAGGGTTTTTGGGTGTTTGTAGAAGATGTGGATGGCGAGACGATTCTTCACCACGAATGGCTGCTGATCAAGCGTCGATTTGCCTTACAAGAGACGTATCTTAGTTTCACGATGCCGTTATTCGAGCCTTTAGCGCCGCTGTACTATATAAAGGTCATCTCGGACAAGTGGATTCACTGCGAAAGCTCACTACCGGTTTCGTTCCACAAGCTTATTTTGCCGCAGAAGAATGCGCCTCCGACTGAATTGCTGGATCTTCAGCCACTCTTCGTCAGCAATACTCTTTTGAAACTTGCGGGCGGCAAGAAGAAGACGACGGAGTCTGTTCTTATGTCTTTATCGGACGCTCGGCGAGTACCGAACCCATGGCGGTTTAAGCGTTTCAACCCTATCCAAACGCAGATTTTGCCTCGTTTGCTGGAGTCAGACAGCAATCTTTTCATTGGGTCACCCCCGGGGAGTGGCAAGGGTGTTTTAGCGGAACTTGCCATCATGAAGACACTGTTTTCATTAAACCAGCCTAATCTTCAGGATGATGAGTTTGGTGAACACTTGATTGTGTATTTAACTCCAAAAGAGTCGAGTTGCCATGAAAAGTACGATGATTGGAATGCCAAGTTTGGCGAGCAGAGTTTTTGGCGACAAAATGTGGTCGAGCTCTGCGGTGATTCCACTGCAGATCTACGATTGCTTGCTAGTGCGAACATCCTAATTGCAACACCGACGCAGTGGGACGTGCTTTCTCGGCGCTGGAAGCAACGCAAGCGCATGCAGAATGTCAGCTTGTTGATACTGGACGAGGCTCATTTCGTGGGCGGCGGCGAATACGGTCCCACAATTGAAGTTGTGATGTCGCGAATGCGATTTATTGCTGCTGACATGGATAAGAAAAAGAAAGCAAACGGTGAGCGTGGCGGACGAATGCGCATCTTGGCTATGAGTAACTCCATAGCAAATGCTCGCGATGTCGGTGAGTGGCTCGGTGCTAGTGCTTCGGAAGGCATTTTCAACTTTCACCCTAATGTTCGCCCACAGCCTTTGGAGATTCGAGTACAGGGCTTTGAGATCAACGATTTCTCGTCCCGAATGCTAGCGATGGCCAAGCCTATGTACAACACTGTCGCAAATCAAGCGGAGAAAAAGCCTGTTGTCGTGTTTGTACCGTCAGCGAAGCAGGCACAGCTGAGCGCGATCGATTTGGTCACGTTTTCTCTGGCCGAAAATGACCCGCAGAAATTTGTAGCGCATTCAGAAAAGGAGAAAGTAGACTTGCCCGTGGAAGATGCTGCGTTGCTACACACAATGGAACAAGGCGTGGGATATTGCACAGATCTGATGGCATCGCGAAATCGCGAGTATGTGTTGAACCGGTTTGCGACTGGCAAACTTTTGGTGTTGGTCGTCCCGCATTCGATGGCATGGGAGCTGCGAAGTGCTCAGATGAATGCGTTCATGGTTGTTATAATGGGCGTTCAGTTTTACGACGGTCGAGAACACCGATATGTAGACTACCAGCTGGCTGACGTATTCCAGATGACCAAGTTTGCGAATCACACTGCTTCTCCTTCTGTGAAATGTGTGCTCTTCTGTCACGCATCCAAGAAAGCATTTTATGCAAAGTTCCTGTACGATCCCCTTCCCGCGGAATCACAACTTGAGCACTTTCTAAGCGACCACATAAATGCTGAGATTGTAACGAAGACTATTGAGAGCAAACAGGATGCGGTAGACTATCTGACGTGGACTTTTATGTATCGTCGGTTCATGAAGAATCCTAACTACTACAACTTACAGGGTGCTACAAACGTGCACCTGTCAGACCACTTATCGGAACTTGTGGAAAGCACTGTAAATGCACTGGAGGAGTCCCGCTGTATTCAGATTGTAGAGGAAGGGGAGGGCGAAGAAAACGAGGGTGAGGAACGTCTTGTGCCGCTTAATCTCGGTATGATCGCAGCGTACTATTACATCAAGTATACGACGATTGAGCTGTTCGCATGCAGCCTGAAGGCGGACTCGAAGATACGCGCACTTTTGACGATTCTGTCATCTGCTACCGAGTTTAGTGATCTACCGAGCCGATATGGCGAAGACAAAAAGCTGGAAGGACTTGCCAAACATCTTAACTTTCCTGTGGCAGCTGGAGGGGATTACGGACAAGCTCATGTGAAAACAAACGTGCTGTTGCAGGTTCACTTCAGCAAGCAACACGACCGACTAAGTCCAGCATTGCGTCAGGATCTGGACTTTATTTTGCGCCACGCCGTGCGTCTTCTGCACGCTATGGTGGACGTGATCAGTTCCAACGGATGGCTCAAGCCCGCTCTAGCGGCCATGGACCTCGCGCAGATGGTTGTGCAGGCGCAATGGAGTAGCGATTCACCATTACTGCAAATTCCATTCTTCACTAGGGATGTACTCAAGATACTGGGAGAAATGGAATTGGAAGAGGAGGTGGAAACACCTGTGGATATCTTGAGTATGGAAGATGACGCTCGCAACAAGCTTTTGCCCCTTGACACACAGAAAATGTCAGCAGTCGCAAAGTTCTGTAACGCTTACCCGGATGTGACAGTGCAGACGATAATCCAGCAAGACGGCAAGAACCTGCCGCAGAGCTCGACCGTTAGCGTTAATGTGCAGCTCGAACGTGAAGGTGCTGATGAAGACGATGAAGAGGACGAGTCAAAGGAGCTAGGCCTTGTGAATGCGTGCTACTACCCTGCGAAGAAGGGTGAGAACTGGTGGGTGGTACTGGGCGATCCGAAGAAGAATACGCTAATGAGCATCAAGCGAGTGCCTTTTGCAAGTGCACGGGTAAATGTGGCGTTGCAGTTTACTGCTCCGGATGAAGTTGGCACGCACGCCTTCCAATTGTACGTGATCTGCGATGGCTACGCAGGCTGTGACCTTGAGAATGAGGTCAAGATCACAGTTGTCGAGGGCGAGGACACAGATGAAGAAGAGGAAGAGGAAGCAGAGGACGAGGAATAGTCACTTCACGAACAGACACACACGTGAAAGCATGGTAAACACCAAGTATTATTCATACATAATATCTGCCGCTTGTGGTTTGTTGTGTTCCGGCTGATTAGATGTCGAAGGATACGTTGATAACAACTCGAAATCCTCTTCTTCTGTCTCACTCGCTGCCTTTTGTCTAGGCAGGTGTATAGCACGAAAGCCACGTGACTTGAGCTTGCGAGCGGCTTCAGCTGAAGCAGCATTAAAGCGCCCTGCAGCCCTGAACACACCTGCACGCAATTGATGCGGACGCGTCGAATGCTGCGTATCATCATCGATGGTACACGCGCTTGTAGCACTGATGAAATTTGTGTTTGATGTCAAGTTGCTGGAGAAGATGCTAGTCTGACGTTGAATTTTAGCCGGAGCGCTCTTGATCTCTTGGGACACTGGACTCTCCGGATAGCTCTCATCACTCATGACAGTAGAGATACTCGAACCTGATCGTAGCAAATGCAGCCCGCTATTAAGTTTATCTTTTGCTTCCTGCAGAGATTTTGTCAACTTTGCCGGACTCATTCTCACGTTCGCGCTTAGCCGATGACTCGGGAAGCTAATGCTCATATGTCTTGCTCGTCGCCACTGACTCGTATCTAGGCGCTCTGTCTCAGACGCGCGGCAGCGATGCATCTCTGGTGCATATCCTTCGTCATCACTAGAAAAGTTGCCATCATCTTTGTCCTCGACGCTTTGGTTCCGTGAACGAGACACTCGTGCACGTAACGTAGCAGGAGACAGCGCTCTTGGTGTCCCTGCCAATCCTACCCCAGTCCACGCTCTTTGTCGTCTCCAATGCGCAATGGATGGCACTCGAGGCAGCAAGCTGGAACGACGTACTGAGACAACAGGACTCTGTTGATTGTCCTTACCACTTGCACAGTCACTGGTGGTATCGTGCGAGTTGTTTGTCTCTGCAACCTCTGCCGGTAGATGTGTCGCAAATGGATTTGCTGATACGTTAGCGACCGGAGATGACAAGACACTATTAGCGTCGGGAGACCAGCAGATCTCCACATTATGGAGAGTCATCTCTTCTTCTTCTTCTATCTCGTTTTCTCCTTCTTCCACCATCATCTGTTGTTGCGTGCTAGCTTTCACGTGCTTACGTGTAACCTCGTGCTCAGGCTCTGGTTCAAAGCATCCTAGCTGACGTACAGGAGACGACGACATTGATTCCTGTCTGCATGGAGAGAGTATCATCGACATGTTGGAAGGTCGAGGTGACAATGTCTCAAAGCACGGCGAAATGAGATTCCACTGCACATGGCGGTCTGCTAAAGCTGTATTGACCTCAAGAGGGAGACGCGTTACCTGCTTGTCGTCTTCATGACTCGATGATCCTTGACTAGCAGCATCCCATGAAAGTCTCTCAACTAAGTCGTCATGTGGGACGTCCATGGACTCGATTGAGAATAACGTGTCAATAATTGTTTCATGCTCATCTTCTACTTCATCTTCATCCAAACTCTTGAACAGTGCATCCTCGTCGTCTTCTTCTTCATCTTGTTCATTAATTGAAATGTCTTCCCATGTTTCCTCCTCGTAACAACCTCTTATATTCTCTTCTCTACCGTCGTCATAAAACGCCATGATGCTAAGGATGGATGATAAGACTAAGCAGTACGAATCTCGACTCAAGTCTCGATGAGAGAGCGACCGAACAGAGAATAAAAATGACCTGTCTTGTCTGGTTTGGCAACCTACCAGCCGGGAAACTGCCTCATTTCTTGTCGCAATACCTGACTGCTTGGCCTTTCCAGATCACACATCTTGCACTACCACCACCTGCTACTGCATGACAGGAGAGCACTTTGTCACATTTTTTTGGTCTTGTTAATGACGTGGAAAGTCACTAGTAAACACGGTTTGGACCCATTCAGCACGTGATGATGATGACCAGGTTGTGAAGATGGCTAGCATGATACAAGTGAACTCATGTCCTAGTCCATTTGTTTCCAGGTTGAAGAGTCATGTAATTGACGAGACGTGCAGAGGGTTAGTAAAAGAAAAACAAACACACCATCCTGGTCGTTGTCAACACGTGTTGGTTATGAGTATATTTCAAGCGTCATTGATGCGTGCAGCTACTTGGTTACGGAGGTTGTCCAAGTGTTTGCTACAAGACGGACATCTTGGTCTTTGTGACGTCAACGGGACAGTGGCATGTTGTGATAATGCCGTCTCGACTAGTGCCGACATTGCACCAAAAAGCGGCTGTATCAACGTTTCGGACGAACAAGATCAGCTTCAAAGCTGTGGGTAGAATGGATGATCCACGTCAAGTTAGCCTTGCTTGGACTAGTGCAAGAGCATGCAAGTGCAAAACCATAAGGTAAGGCTCACTCATCTACATGAAAGCGTACAGGCATTTTTAATGCATGGCAGCCGACAAGTGAGCGACATGCATGTCAAACGTGACATTGCCACCCTAGCGCACCAACTGGTAGATTTCGAACGCCATCTGGTGGTCTGCCTCACAAAATGAATTTGTGCACACATCGACCTAATGAGAAGCTGATTCGAACGAGGAACGCTCACGTGACATCAAGACAAGTGTCAGCATTGATTTCTTGTACATCTTCATGTCTTCACTGCAGACATCACTTTTCATGTGGCACATAGATCCCAATCTTTTTTAAATAGGCTGCTGTTTCTGGTGTGGCTACAGCACATGTACCACGTTAATCGCAATGAACAGTAAAAGATAAAGCTTTAAGTGCACAGGGACGTGAGTGCGTACCAGAAACTGGAATGTCAATGGGTGAGACCATGCCATCCAAATCAAATCGCTTTGCTCGATGTTGTTGCGTTGGTGTTGAGCAGGTAGCATTATCTGAGATGGACAGTGATGCTTGCTCGCATGCCACATCCACAGATGATCCAAACATTTGATCACGCTTAATGATCTGCGCAAAACGTATTGTTCAACATGGAATCGCAACACATTCGACATGTATGAATTATTTTGCTTACCTCAAATTCCAATCGGTCCTTGTCAAGTTTGATGGCTTGTTCTTGCAAAAGCTTGCGTTCCTTCTGAAGGTTTTGCCGGAGTACAGCCAACTCACTCTTTTCCTGCGCCAGGTCTTCCTCTGCATTTACGTCAGGTGAACTCCTACATTCTGCGACGCGACCAACAAGTGCTGTAGCCGTAAAATTAGAATGACATGCTTTACGGCCAACTGAAGCATCAACGGTAGGTGCAGACAGCGATGCTTGAAGGAGCTGATCCTGCTCGTTGATAATGCTCTGTGCGTCGTCCAGTTTCTGACGCAAGCGTTTGATTACTTCTTTGTCGCTACGTGCCTCTGCCGACGGTAATTCGTTACGAATGACATATTCAAGCTGCTTCAACTTTTTGTCTAAAGTCTCCATTGAACGCGATATAAATTGGGGGGATACTTGCCTTCGTAGCCATATTGAACGGTGTTGGAGTAAAATTGTCAATGGGAGCACTAGCCAGCTTCTCAAGTTCCTCAGCATTACCTTCCAAATTTTTTCTATGAGAGAAACAAGTGAAAATTGCAAGTTGCTGTTAGCAAAACACATCATAATACAAGCTCGGCAAGACATGAGAAGACGGCGATCGTACTGGGCAAGAAAAAGCCGAACTGCCTTCTTATACTGTAAAGTAAGCGATTCTAAGTGGTGTTGCAACTTGTCGTAGCTCTTTGCAAGCGTTTCATTGTCCACCACTAGCTCTGCTTTTTTTCTCTCCATATTCTCAATGATCTGCTTGGTCAGTTTGCTTTCTTTCGACTGACTGTTCATCAATATCTGCTTCCGCTCTTGAACACCGTTCAGTGGTTTCGTAATCGCCATTCCCTATACAGAATGCGTTCATTAATAAGACAAAGCAAACCTTCATGATACGACTCAAACGTCCACATACGCGCTTCTCTTTAGCACCACGTGCAACTGCATCCTGCAGACTTTTCTTCAAGCGTGCATATTCGACATCTTTCCTCCGCAATTGAGCCTTGTACGCCGTTTCCACTCCTTGCAGTCTGCATCTCGGCGCAAAAAAAGCTTCAAACATTCGCCACCTCATGCCAAGCAGCACAATAGATGATAATACAAACACTGACTAACCTTGCACAATGTACTTCTAGCGCTTTCTTTTCCATCTGAAGCATTTTCCGTTCTGTCATCAAGACCTGTTCCTTAGCTTTAAACATATTCTCTCGCTGAGCATTGTTCTGTTTAAGAGTTTCTAGATCGGACGTAATCGTGTGCACGATGTGGTTCTTTCTCTCCAAATGTTTCTCCATGTTGTTTAATCTTTCACTTAATTGAGACTGATGTTCCATCTCTCGGTCTCGCACATACAGCAAATAACTAACAAGATCCAGCACATTTCGTAAACTTTTCTCTGCAATCTCGTGCTCCTGTGTCTGTATCTCAGCTCCCACTGCCAGTATTTCCCACACTTTTACTAGATCTAAAGTGCAGACATTATCCACATCATCTCTCTCTCTGACGTTCTCCTGACCCATTGACATTTGTCTTAAAGACCGAGGTAAAAACATGGAAGACATGGCGACAACATGTTGCAATTGAGCATTCAGATATTCTTGCGTATCTGCAAATGTATGAGTACGTGGTAATCGCCAGGGTATGAGCGGGTATTGTGTAATCAATGATGACGTCATCGTGGACACATGACTGTCATTATTCTCAAAGAGAGGGAAAGACCCATGGATTACGAAACCATTCTTCTTCTCCTTCTCTTCTTCACTGGAACGATCTACCACCGAACGAGCGCGTTTCAATGGACGAGAACTAGACGAGACCATACCAATTGTATCACCTCTGTGCCTGTGCTCCTCCTGCGCTTGAGTACGTTGCATCCCGTCCATTACGGTTCACTCGACACTAACGATATTGTATACAGAATGAATGGAAATTGTATACAGACCATCACTCTCGTAAGTTCGACAACCGAACTTAATCATTTATTGGTACATGAATACTGTAGCCATTTCTAAATTTTCTTCGAAACGCGCGCAAGAAGAAAAATGGAAGAGCACGAGATGGCAATGTTTTTGCAACAACACCAGACGCAGCTCGTGGCAGCGCAAGTACCACCGATATTATGGCCGATAGTATACTACAAGATCAAGTAAGATATTGTCTATATCATGAATCGTAAAGTAGAGAATGTTTAACGGAATAACGTACGTCATAGGCACGAGGTGTTTGATGCGGGCACTTATTTTTTCTTGGCTCAAGACGAAGATAAAGACATGCACCTTGTTGTACGCGATGACGTCGAACTAACAGCTGTACAACCTGATACGGAGGAAGCTTTGTTCTTGATTGATCATGCTTGGACATTTACGGCAGAAAAAATGCGTGAACAGCTGATGAGTTTACCATCACTTGTTGCGAGAATGGAGAATTTAATGCAGTTAGGATCAAGTGATACTGTCGAGATGTCCATGGACGAGCGAGTGGATGCAGTTGCTAATCGTGTGTGGCGCTATGCGAATACGTATCAACTTGATAATATCAAGCCGGAAGACGCATCGACGATCTGGTATGTGATGGATGAAGTTGGATCAGCCATTGAGCACGCAAATGAACCAAATGTGCGTATGGCCCCATTTTACTATGGCAACTCGCAGTGTGTCTTCTCGCTCGTGTGGATTGTCCAGCCTATCGAAGGTGGTGACTTTCTGTCTCGGGACTATTTTCCAAAGTTTGCGGCTGACGAGTCAATGCACACGGCACTGCTTGCAGCGCTGTTCTACGAGTTTGGTAAGGCTGATAATTTGTATGTGGACGAGCTACAGGAGATCGTCGCTCGACGCAAACAAGCATACACGCTGGATAGTGCTCGCGCGACATTTCACGCCATCGTTAGCCGCGACTCGGAGACGTTGCCGGACCCGACAACGACTGTCACATCGACGCCGCTTTCTACCAATGTTGCAAGCTCGGAGCCGCTCCGAGTGTTTTCTGGTAAGTTGTGATACACACATTGTTGCACGATTGATTATATTATGAAAAAACTGTACTAACTGTATTTCCTACGGCTGGACAAGATCTGAAGCTGGTGCACGACAACTTGACCAATCCGCGTTTTATGTTTGTGGACAACGAGGATGATGCACAGGTTGTATGGTCCACCCAGCACCTTAAAGACTTTCCAAAGTATACCGCCAACGAAAATGTGTACATCATTAACCAGTTTCCGAATGAAAAAGTTCTTACCTGCAAGGATCTGCTTTACGAAATGTGCAAGCTGTAAGTAATTGTATATCTTGGCTGTGAACATTGATTATTGACGATATGGGTTATGCTTAGGCATAATGGTGGTAAACAACCGGGCTGGCTCGCGGAGACATATAATATGATGAGCGAGTTTCCTGAGCTTATTGCGCAATTCATCCGACGCGACGTTATTGCACATGAGAACGGCGATGACGATGATGAAGCCAATCACTGGATCTGCAAACCCTGGAACATGGCTCGGTCCATCGACACATGTATAGCGCACAATGCGCCGCATCTCGCTCGTCTAACCGAGACTGGTCCGAAGGTCGCGTGCAAGTACATTTATCGTCCGCTGTTGATTGACCAACGCAAGTTTGACTTCCGTTTCCTCGTGATGTTGAGGTCGACGGAACCATTGGAGCTTTACCTCAGTGGTGTCTACTGGCTTCGCATCGCAAACAAGGAGTTTACGATGGACAATTTTGAGGATTTTGAGAAGCACTTTACCGTCATGAATTACTCGGACTTTCCCGTTCGGATCATGGACAATGCCGAGTTTCTAGAGCGATTTGATAACGAATACCCAAGCGAAGACTGGTCCGTGGTGTACGCCAACATCTGCTCCTCTATCAAGCAGCTGTTTGAATTTGCGACGGCGCAGCCTCCCCCGCTTGGCCTAGGTCGTTGCGCAAAGTCGCGTGCGTTGTATGGCGTGGACGTGATGCTATCGTGGGAAGCCGATGAGGAGACTGATGACGAGCATTTGCGTCCGATAATCTTGGAGACAAACTTTCAACCGGACTGTACCCGTGCTTGTAAGTATTACCCGAACTTTTACAACGATGTTATGAACGTGCTGGTGCTAGATTGCCCGGACGACACAGTGCATGGCTGCACTCGTCTTTAGTCTCGGAGCGATGCCTACTTAGTACACTCGTAGATGATGCTGCTATGTAAAGATCGCAGAGTTAACAAGTCATTCCGACGCGATTATTTTGTTAGGTTGTTAAAAATGGCAACATGAGATATACAAGAGATAGGTCAGCCTTGGACTTGTTAGACTAATGCTTGATAAGCTTCTTTTTCAAAATCTCTTCGACTGGGTTGGTTGCTGGCGCGCCCACATCGTTATTGACGTAGTCCATCAAACTGAACAGCAAATCTTCCTCCTCAGACTTTCCGTCGCTCTTTCCACCGTATTCTACCGGAATGTTTTCGACAGGAATACGCTCCGACAGCGCCTCAAATATCTTTTTCTTTCCGCGCACGATGATAACCTTTTCACGAGTCACGTCGTCCACCACTCCCTTCACGGTGTTCCAAATCATGTTGAACCAGGACGGTACGTTGATTACGAAAATGTATGCGCAGCGCTCCGGGTAATGCTTGCCGGAAATTGAAGCTGCTTTGCGAACGTACTCGACAGCCTCACCAGCAAAGTCCGAAATACCGATTCCGTCCACGTCCAACACGGAGATACCCTTGCAATTGTCATCCTGCTCAATCACTTGCCACAGAAATTCCGTGATCATGAGGTAATGATGCATCAGATCATCCAGCGTGAGGCCCGCGTTCTTGAGAGCCTTCAAATTAATCTTGCCTGGTTTCTCGTAGTACACAGGCTCACCGTTCTTGCCACGTTTGTGGTAGTAATGTGGATAGTTATCCTTAATGATCTTAAAATGTGGACTAGGTTCCTGGAGAAGGCGATCTACACCTTCGTCGCGCCGCCATTTAGTTGTCTCATTATATCGCTCCAGCGCTTTGTCCTCATCGCCCTTTTCAGCAAGAACAAAGCGCATTGGGACTGATCTCGTCGTCTCTAATGCAGTAGCGGAGTGCTCATACGTTGACTCAATCGCTGCTGACTTCACTTCGTCTGACTCTTCCGTTTCGCTTCCGTTGGCGCTGGCTGCTCCCGAGACAAAGCGGTACTCAGTCACAATGAGCTTTAACATGCCGCTTGCCGCAGGACTTTCATAGTCTATGTTGTCAACCTCTTGTTCAATAGCTGGAGGATGGAATAGCAATGAGAACGGGTGATCCGCCTTTACCGCCACGTAATAAGCTGGAAGCAACACTAAAGCCAACACAACGAGTTCACGACGCAGACCATCCTCCATCGTATTAAGAGCGTCCCAGAGGTAGTGTGTGATCACTGCATAAAGAAGTGCAAAAATTGGCACAGGCACATGTCGAAGTAAATCCGACACACGGTAGAAAATTACCCTACCACGATTGACTTTCAATCCTGATCGCTGCTTTTCGTTTGGTGCGGTCAGCTTTCCAACTAATTTTCGAGGCACATAACCGGTTAATCGCATTACCAAAAGACCTGGTCCATTTTGCAAAGGAAGATCAAACACCGACTCAGGTTCTTCTCCGTTATGTTCAGGAGGTAGGGCATGTGCCAGCAACTTTTTCTGTAGCAATGTCCCCGGTAGTACAGCTTCTGCTCCATTAGACAGCTTAAAAAAGATCTTTGCCTGCTCAATGCCGCTTGCCTTCATTGCACTCGCGTTTGAAGACTTCGTCGTCTTCTTTGCCGCACTTTCCAGCAGTCCTAGCGGCAATGCAATCTTTTGTCCATAATTGTACGGCGTGATAAGTTTATTGAGCATGGAAATTTGTTCAATCTTGGGCTTGGCTGGCCAAATCAAAAACCTTAACTCGGTGCCTTTGCCATCGCAGCAAATGTATCCTCCGGTAATTTGACTTGTAGGTTTCTTAAAATTGCTGAGTCGTTTATTGTACATTTGCGAATGACGGTTCGATTCCAACACTGTAATTGCCACATTTGAATCACCAAAGCACACAGGATCTGACTCCAACTCTGTACCCTCTGATATGGACAATCTATCGGGCGTTGACATTCCTGACATCGACGTGGATAACGTCATCTTGTCCATATTGCATCCCTTTTCTTTCTTATTATTTTTATAACTACCACCCAGTGTTTCTAACGGAACCTTGGTAAAACACACAAACATCTCGCCTGGGACACCACGTGGTCGAGGACCAACATAGCCCGTAATCCCACCCGTCTTGTTATTCCAAACCATACCGTGTTGATTCACAAGTACTAATGAATCTCCATAATGTACTTGATCGCCTGTAGAACGTTGACCACATGAATGTGTGACTACAAATTCATCTTCAGTAAAAAGCTGCTGAAGCTTTGGTCCAAGTGGAGGGACACAACTAAGGACCCCATGACGACCATTTTTTTCATAATAGCCAATACCTGACTTAGATATAGTAATTGTATCATCGACATAGGCAGAACGTGTTGCAAGTCGTACTTTTTGACCGTAACGCAATACATTCTTCTTATTGTTCCTATTGTTATTGTCCATTATATAAACACTATGCACAGACAGGCTCAGAATATTAAATGAAAAATGTTGATGTTATTACTTGACGAGGCCTAAAAACAAATGTTTTCAAATGAATGATTTGGATTGGTTGAAAGAAAACAATCAATGACAACTTAAATACCTGATTGGATAACGATAAAACAGATGGATAGAAAACAATCAGAACGTCATGATTGCAATAATTTGACCATATCATAAATACTCTTTCTATTAGAAAGAATACTCTGTTGATTCCACATTCTCACATGTCGAGATCAATGCCTCCTTCTGTTGTTCCTGTTTGTCATCCAATATACCAATGTCTTCTACTTGCTCGTCTTCCTCTTCATCATCTTCTAAATTCTCATCTTCGTCGTTCGTGGCTAGAAAACGACCAGTATTATTATCATTGTTGGCATCTTCATCTTCCTGCAACTCCAAATCATCTTCCTCGTCATCCTCTTCACCTTTTTCGATTTCAGTACCAGCTGAAAGTTTCTCCACGTTAGACTGCGCATCCTGGTTTTGAATAAGGGACCTTTCAAATGCCAGCACCTCCTCATCATCTGCTACAGCCTCGGTGCTATTGCTACCTGCTCCTGACCCTGAAGTGTGTTCAATTTTGCTGGACTTTTGTTGACTACTAGCTGACCCAGCACATTCCGCATAGTCATTGAGTGCCTGCTTCTTTAGGGCGTCAAGATGTTTGCGCCTTGTTTCAAGCTCAGCTTTCGAGCGACCTACCAACGCAGCGATGCGTAGTCGGATGATCTCACGTAATGGCAGGAACATCTGCGTCGGATACCACCCACCAAGCAGCGATGGCTCCAACTGTTTTGCGAATAGAGCAGTCCATTCACGCACTTCATTGTCGTCGATTTCCTCAAGCTGAAACAAAACATTCGCGCTTGTCAATGGCACTCCAAATATCTCGAAACTCTTTTCACTGCCTCCTAATGCTGCAGTGTTGGTAGACCTACTTGCATTATCTATTGACTCCTTGTCCTCCTGCTCATCCTCAGAATCCCATTCATTACCTGAGTCTACAGTTGATGACGCGGGACTAGCTCGCGGCAATGAAGCTACCGTGGTAGCAGTAGCAGAAGTTCTCACGGGTGTATTGGGTTCCACTAGGTAAGAGCGCCGTGTTTCACTCCGCGTAAATCGTTCCTTTCGACGACGCTTGCAGATTTGCGCGTTTTCAAGAGCCGAAGTCTGTGTTACTTTGACGATTCGTGGACCCTTGGCATGCCCACCGTCTCCATTTGCATTCCCTACATTAGCAACAGCAAACTTCTTGGTACGTTTTCTAACCGCATGGGTTACTTTGGAGTGTACAAGCTCCCGGTTATTACGCAACTCCACCACCTGGTAACATGACGCCGTCTCTGATACTTCAGGTAATCGTGGATCGTAGCCCATCTTGATCCATGAGCCTCTCCAAGGCCCATCAACAAAGACGTAGCAAAGCTTCCGCAGTAGACGTCTTGCTGCTCGGCGCTCAAACCCATCCAATCCATCAAATAACTTGGAGCGAAGCCATACCGGCTTTTGCGCTAATTTGCCCTCAAGCACCTCCATCACATGAGCATCAACGCCATCATCACTCACTCCCACGCTCCTTCGACGCATGACAGGTCTTTCAGGCTTGGGTCCAGCAGGCGCCGGCGTATCGTCATGAAAGTTCAAACACGTCATAGTTGTCGAAGACTTCTTTGCCACTGCTGTCGGCTGATACCCTGACTTTTGACGAAATTCATACTTCAGTGGCAAGTCCACCTTTGAAAATACTTCTGGGATGAGTTCTAGCTGTGTCTCGTTTTCTACTGCGAGATACGGCCGCAAACAGTCTTGCAATTCTCTTTGTCGCAGAGATGGCCTGGACAAAGGACCATTCTCCACCACAGCACTATTCATTACCGGTGTATCTACTGCATCCGTTGCCTCTGCCACTAATGTTACAGCATCTTTGTTAGGCTTCAACTTCGGATAGAATGACCGAGCAGTGAAGTACTGAAAGTCAGCCATGCCTTCACACACGTATTTCTCCTTCACCAACCCCACAACTTCAGCTGAAAATGTCACGATATCTTCAGAACTTATCTCTGTCTCATTGATCTCATCCTTTTTCTCCTCAACCTCCGTCTCGTTCCGTTTTCGCTTGGACTGTGAGCGCTTTACTTTCAGCAGCACCATCTGCGTCTTTGTCAAATCTGCAAACAACGGCTTGCACGACGGCTCCTCAGGCCGCAGCTTTACTGGCAGGAGTTGGCTCTTGGCTTCGTGCGCTTGTTGTAGACTCTCAAGTCCATTCACGGTCTCTAATACTTTGGTCATATCGGTACCGTATACAGGTAATTCTAATCCCATTAATGGACGCACATTATCACTGTGTAGACTGAGCTCGTGACAAAGTCTACTTAGGCATTTATCTTTACTATTCGTGACAATTGAGTTACTAGAAGACTCTACAATTGTTGTTTTAAGCGTCGTATGAATGTCCTCACAAGGTTGCTTGTCCACCATAGCTTTTAAAAGCGAATAAATAAAAGCCACGATATCGATTGCAATTTAAGAGCGTTTATAAGCGGTTTATAGCGTTACAGTAAACATGAGGATATTTGTATTCCATCTAAATACTTCCAAATCTTGACACACACGATATTATGACTGTCAAATGATCATGCCTTCCCACCACTACGGAACTACATGTACAATACGAAACTACAGTTCTGTCGCCTACATCTTGATAATCAACAAAACAAAGCATCACCCATTTCGCAAACAACACCTTCAACACTTGGTATTTCAATGCTTAAAAACCCTGGAACTCGTCTGCCTCAGTGGCCAGTCCGGAGCAATCGCCACACCGCAGCCGCTTGATAATGTCAGCTGATTGCAGCTTCAGCGAAACCACCGGCGCGCTCGTAAACTCGTCGTCAAAGTATCTTACACAATCGCGCCCGTGGCAAACTGGTACAATTGGTGGCAGTACTCGGCGCTGAAAAAGGTCGTCCCAATCAAGCGATAGCTTGAAAAATGGGTGCTTCATAGCTTGCGCTGCTGTAAGGCGGCGGGAGGGGTTAATGCACAACAAGACCTTCAGCAGCGACATCGCATGACCCGAAAGGTAGGGCGGGTACCACACGCGTCCTTGCTGGATCAACCTATAGAGGCGGTGGATGTCTTCACACTGGAATGGTGGAGAGCCAGTGAGGAGCTCGTAAATCAAGCAGCCATAGGACCACATGTCCGTCTCAATACCGTGACCGTCCTTCTTGACCATCTCAGGCGACAGATATTCGGGGGATCCACAAAATGAGTACGTTCGTTGACCACAAGTCATATCCTGCTTTGCAAAGCCAAAGTCAGCCAGCTTCACGTGTCCTTGAGAATCCAATAAAACATTTTCTGGCTTAAGGTCGCGGTATACGATGCCATTTGCGTGCAGATCACTGAGCGCTGCAAGCACCTCTGCAGCGTAAAATCGAGTAGCTTTCTCGTCAAATTTATGCGAGAGTTGCTGCTGCAGGTGGAAAAAGAGCTCACCACCCTGGCAATACTCGAGCACAAAGTGGAGGTCACGGTCCGTCTGGAAGGTCGCGTAAAGCTTGACAATAAATGGATGGCCGTGTAGCTTCTCAAGGACCTTCTTCTCTGTCAGCGTGTGCACTATTTGTTTGCGCTGTAGCAACTTGCGCTTATCCAGCGTCTTCACAACGTACATACTCTGAGTTCTAAGATGCTTGGCCAGTGCTACTTGACGGGCATACGTGCCGCGACCAATAACTTTCAGCAACTTGAGGTCGTGCGGTTCAATGGTGTCGCCCATGGGTCTCACATTTGAGCAACTGAGTGTCTGCTTGAGGGTCGTATGGTCGTCCGCTGACACCTTATGCAACTCGTCCAGCAAATGAATAGGCGACAGCGGGCGCTTCTTAACAATGTGAGCGACAAATTCCTCAGTTGTCTGGACGGTCAAGTTGGGTCCATGACCCGAGGCTAGTGACGTAGAGAACAGCACCGCGGCCATGGCTACTTATGAGATTGGACCGGCTAGTCTACTAAACTTACAAAACCAAAGTGGACAAATCTTTACTGCTGCTTATGCTCTGCAGCTTAAGCGCGTATGATCGCTGCCTGTCTATTGAGCCCTGTTTTTTCTATGGCAGACGTATCCACTCGTCATGACAACGTCTTTTCCGTAGAATTTGACGGTTTGGCAACAACAACTCGACGTCTGATCGGATTATCTATATCTGTGACAGCTGTCTTAGATGTATACTTGTCCTGTCATAAACACCATGCAGTGTTTACTTTTATTCAGCTTTTAGTTTATCTGAACAAGACCATTAAGGAGAGTGCTCTTTTCATGCTAGACGTAAAATGTCAGATGCGACGACTATGTATCCCATATATGACTTGAATGATCACATTCAAACGTCGCGAGGTTCGTTGAAGTTGACACGCACGCACATATGGGTACCATTATCCGACTGGACAAGATGCTGACGCACACCAGTGGCACTTGAAGTTGTTTCGTTACCGCTGCCACATCCACAAATATTATCCTGACAGTGGGTTCTGTTTAAAATGGACAAACGCCATAGAAAGGCAGCTGATAATTCGACGTAGAGTGATTTTTGTGAATCAGTTAATAATAGACTCTGCATTTGACTTTCTTAATGCAACATAAGCTACCCTGCTGCATTTGCACCATGTCATCACGCCAAGCGAAGCGGCCTCGTGTGGAAAGACACCGTGTTGGTGACAACAATCCATGGAGCGCTCGTACCACATATTGGCACATAACACATGATTGAAGGTATTTACGTACGACGACATGGCGAGAAAGGCGGATATATGCATCACGGTCCTGTTTGAGTTCGTAGATATTGCAAACTACGTAAAGCACACGTTTATGTAAGGTTAACGAAGCTTGCACAGAGCAGAGAAACATTCACAAGCAACGCACCCGCATTTTTGGAGTCTTTATGCTTACGCATGTATTTTGCTTCACTAATTATCTATCTTCTTGCCATAACCGAATCCTCATCGCTTTACATTATCGGCGTCTCTATTACACTATATAGCCAATTACGAAATCTAATCTATTTCGCTGGATATTTGACATTTATAAAACATCCAACCATACTCAAGTTGGCGTGAATTAAATCCAAACCAAACTCGTTGGTTGGTTGAGTAAATAAAAAAATCCACATCATGTCGTCGCGGCCTCTAAGCGCCCGCAAAGGTCTGCGCAATGACTTGGGCTCGAACAATTGTTTCCTTAACGTTATTATTCAAAGCTTATGGCACGTTCGTAGCTGCCGCGTGCTTATTTCTATGGGTGACCATGCAGTGCATCATCGCTGTAATGGGAAACCTACCAATGCCAGCACCTTGAAAAAATTCACCATCACTCCGTGTCTTTTGTGTGAATTAGAGCAGATCTTTATTATGTATCAGTTTGCAGAGCAGCCAGTACTAGATGTGGACCGTGTACGTCTTGCACTAGGTGATAGCTTTGCTCTTGGGGCCATGAACGATGCGACAGAGACCTTGGAAACAATTCTGGACGCTCTACACTACGACACGTTCAACCGGATGCTGCTACTACGTCAAGGGCGATCAAACAGTAACGATGATACTAAAGAAGCTAAAAATACTGAGGAGATGTCAGAGTCTCTACGTCTCGATGCGTTCGCCATCATCTGCGAACCGCAGTGTGTAGCTCACCGATTGTTCCAAATGAATTTGATGGAACTCAAGTTTTGTACCTATTGTGGCCATACAGCTGAGCCGATTATGAACACGGATTTTCTGTATCGAGTTTATGCTCAGGAGCTATTGAACGATGCAAGAATGGGTCCAGAAGGAGAAAAGAAGATGAACATGACACTGGAGGAAGTTTTGAGACTTGAAGCACAGGCACAAGATGTAGCTGGGACGTGTGATGCGTGCGAAGAAGGGGGACAGCGAGCATTGAGTAGGTGGATTCTTACACTACCCATGGTATTTTGCATCAGTATTATCTGGTCCAGTAGCCATGTAGAGAAGACGGACATTAAGGACTGGATGGTACTTTTGTCGTCGCAATGTACGACGGGGGATAATGGAGATGAGTTGCGGCAAGCTCTGGATCTAGGTCGCATCTTTCGATTAGATAACTCGACGGAAGTGTCATCGTTGTACTTGTTCAGAGGTCTTGTTTGCTACTACGGGCGGCACTATGTGGGCTTCTTCGCAAGTCGGAGTGTAGATGAAGCTGGAGTTGAACGTGAACGCTGGTTTTTGTTTGACGATACACGTGTTAAGCTTGTGGGAACATGGGCAGATGTCCGATTGCGTGTCGAGCGCGGAGGCTACCAGCCAACGTTGTTGTTTTATGAACGCAACGAAATTGAGTTTGAAGACCTTGAGAAGATATCTGCGGAAATTCACAAGTGGTGGGAAGCATCAGCTGATGAACCGGACGGTGTCACAATGGACAAAACCATGGATAAAAGCCCTGCAAGTGACGTGGTTAAGAATGACCAGGGGGCTTCACACGAAGTTGAGCTCAGTGGAGGCATTGAGGATGAGCTACTGGCAAAAATGGAGCGAAGTGTTCGCATAACTCAAGAACATCCACTTCCGCCGCTAGTTCCCACCGTTCCTAAAAAAGTATTGCCGACAAGTCCTATCTCGTTTCCTCCCCAAGTACCCAAATCAATGCCTGCGGAGATTGAATTGCATGCGAGAGACGGGTGGCATGAAGAGGATATTTGCCTGCATTTGGCGCACAAGTCTGCTCAGGACACTTTGTTGAGGCTTAATAGTATATTATTGAAAGACAAAGCTCCGGCATCTACTCCGATTGACGGCCGAGCAGTGTTACGCTTGGCGATGTCCCAATCAATGCAGCGCTCCGTCCGCTTACGCGATTACTCCGTTCAACGCCCTGCCGAGAAGCGAATTGATGTAAATCCTGACAAAATTTTTGAGGATGAAGCACCGTCTATGGAAGAGAAAATCTGCGCACAACCTGTTTGTGCTATAGAGTCCGCAGTGTCAACAAGACCAGATGATGTAGAGGCAAAAGCAGATCATGTTCCGCTGAAGGTCTTCGATGTTCGTATCAATGCTTCGGACGGCGGAATTGGCCTACTTTTCGACGAAAGCACAAACGATGGCTGTTCGCTCCCGTTGACAGCTACAGAATGTAAGCGAACATTTATTGTATCGGGTTTTGAGGTTAATGGCGCAGGCGCTAAGCTACCAGCCGAAGCTAGTGGGGCAATTCACAAGGGAGATATTCTCGTGAGCATTAATGGCCACATGTTGGAAAACGAAAAACTTGTAGACGTACTGGAAATGCTTCTAATGTCGCCCAATCCGGTTCAACTCAAATTTTGTCGTTTTCGACCGTGGACATGTACTCGTTGCACGCTTCTAAACCAAACGATGGTCGCATCATGCGCAGCGTGTGGACACGCACCTGTTTTGGTACCCCTAAGAGAGTGACTGAACTTGCGAAGACTCAGTCGGACACGAAACATTGTCATGCAACCTAATGTGTTTGGGACGCGATGTGGCTGGTAACGAATCTGGAATAGCTAGATTCATGTCTGATGTTCGTGGTGGTAAAATCCAAGTGTTGCTCGACAAAGAAGTATATGATCATTCTTTGGTGCGCGTTAATCGGTACTTCGAAGCAACTTCTATGAACCGAGATATTGTTGTCGGCTGTAGCTCCTGTTTTCGGCGTTGAGATCACCTTATCCAATTATTGGTCAGTTAATGAACAATGCGTGTGCCCTAATGATGATCTTACCACTTCGCAAATGTCCAAACTCTTGGTTGGTGATCAAGCGTTTATAGCTTTTCCGTTAGCAGATAAAACATCCATGTATGCTGTGACGACTCGCGATATTTTTCGTTTGTTCGTAATAACTCAATAATGCCATCTTGCCTGAGGAAAGAAGAATACGTAAGCTATGAGCTTTACCAATACCAAAGCTGTTAGCGCCTTTAGTTTTACAAGCTTGATACTTCGCTTGACTTTTGAACGAACAGTTATGGTCAGCTCTTTAACACAACAAAGTAGATGAAGTATGACCCGAAGGGAACCATTTGAAGTCACAGTGATCGGACCATTTAACTCTTGACCTTTTTACTATGCACTTCTACACAATACCCACTGGCACTTGAATATGTCGTCATAAAGATTGTATATGACGAGCTAGTAACGACGGTAGCAAAGAAAAGAGTTCATGTTGAAATATATCAACGTCTTCAAACCACTTGTTATTCGAAGCACTGTCTCATCTTTGCATAATGGAGCAATCAGTAACTGTACGTGTCATTTCCAAGAAGTATTGGTAGCTTCTAATCACAATCATCGCACACGACAGCTTTTCAAAACCCAAGTATATTTGCATATTATATAATCGACAATAACTATGTCTCATTGTTAACACTACTTCCAATTAATCTAATATCACAAAAGCACATCTGTCTGTCCTGTGTGTCATAATGTTAGTTGGATGAGAAAACTGACAAAGAAAAAACGTCGACAGTAAGTAGCTCGACGACACCAAGCCTAACAAAGGACTGGCACATATTCAATAAACCCTATTTACTAAACGTCATCTCTTGTTACTTTATTCAAAACGGTATTTCAAGATTTGGAGGATCATTGAGCACCAAGAAATCTTGAATTTTCATATCATCGGATGTGTTTGTCAAATTCGGTTTATTTCTTTGCCCGTGGATTGATTAATATAGTTAATAAGCGACGAATGCACCACAAAAAAATGGATGTTGTGATAGACTCAAGCATTTTGCGCCCTTTACAACTTTTGTAACTTGGATGGTATAATGGCTATTATTATCTATAATAATTTCATCAAATACTATGGCATGGTTTCGATTAGAGTACCAAAAAAAAGAGTCGGATTTGTCGACGGTATAGACATTGCTCTATCCCGCCAGGTTTTCGCGCTTGTATACCATAACCTACGCTATAGCGCATATCTCTACTAAGTAATAAACATTGGACGGCATACTCGTGTCCATATTGCGGAGCATAGCCTATGGAACAGACTTTACCTGCTAAACTACCTTACGTCATTTTTCACAGGGTTGATTGGGCATCCATTTCTCTACACTCTCACAAGCCAAATCGCGCCATTACAAGATGAAGCAACAGGTTGCCGAATTGTCGACAACGCTATCCGGCGACGTCAAGACGACAGGAGCGCTTCTTTTTAAGCCAGAGCCGCAACTTGATACATCTGTTCATATAAATGATGTAAATAATAAAAGCAAGAAAAAGAAGAATCGACGCAAGAGTTTAGAGAAGAAGGACGTGGATAATCTAAAGGAAGAGCTCAAGATAAAGGAAGAAGAAGAGAAAGAGAGAGAGAAGATAAAGGAAGAAGAAAAGGAAAGAAACGATGCCATGGAAGATGTTGTTACTGTATCTACGGAGACTTCTATAACGAAGAAGAATGTAGTGATAGTAGAAGATACTCAAGAAAACGTGACTACAAGCGATGAATCAAGACCTCTGTCTGTAGAGACGACATCATCGCTTGGGACACGCAAACTGTCGGGATCGTGGGGCTCGCTGCTATCAAGGTTGAAACCCGGACGTAAGAAGTCGCTATCAAATGGGACTGAATCAGCAACGAAGATGGGGATGGTGAAGTCCTCATTAGTGGAGCCAAACGATGATAAACGACTGGAAATGCCAGAGGAAAAGATTGTGGATGAGTTGTTAATGAACTTGAAGATAAGTTGTGGGGATGGAGAGCAGAGTGTTCGTGCTGAGAAGGACAAGTACGACGTCATGAAAGAGCAGAAGAAGAAGGTAATGGATGCGACGCAATCTCCATCGCCGAGCCCTACGTCAAGAGATGGAGTACTGAGTGAAGAAGAAGTGGAAAAGAGCGAAGTGGTTAATGGTGTGATGCACCTGTCTTCGACTGAGAGAGTGGATTCAAATGGCCAAGAGCTAGATAGGAACAAAAGTGCTGACTTGACAGCTGACGTGACGTCCGAAGGTTTTATGGAAAATACGGGTGAGGATGACGGAACAGTGGTTCCTGCAGTAATGGACAAAAACATACCTTTAGTGAGTGTTGTTGAAGTAGCAAAGCATGACACATTAGCTACTTTGGAGGTAAATGAATGTAACAACGAACAGGTGGGTACAGCTGAGGTCGAAAGCGAGAATGTAGCAATGTCAGCAGAGGTTACTACAGCTGAGTCAATAGAAAGAAATCAATGCAGTGCCGATGTTGTGACGATTGAGCCTGTTCCACTGAAGCTTGACTTTAATTTCGATCTTAATACTGAAGATATGATGCAAAGTCAAGCTGAAGTGGTTACAAAAAGTGTTGATTTGGACGAAGATGCTGTTGAGAACATCGTAGTTGAGGCAGATACGACAGTTACGGCAGTCGCGTCCAGTGACAATAGCCAAAGCAAGACGGTTGCTGTCGAACCGCTAGTGGCTGTTGGGGTTAATGGGGCAGTGCCCAGCAACACTGCGCAAAACGATGCAGTTTTGTCAGTGACTGACGACACTGTTGCCAAGACTTTGATGGTTGAGCCCGACAAACTTGTTGAATCGAACGAGAGCTTGCAAAGCAAGGCTATATCGACTTACAAAACGGAGTTGCTGCCTGTTAAAGTTGCACAGCCGACATCTGAGCAGCTTGATAAAGATACTGCGCCATCAAAACCAGAAAAGGTGTCACCTGTGAAGAGCCTTGCTAGCCGCTTTGAAGGCAAGCAGGTGCAATCATTGGACAGCTTGAAGTTCCGTACCTTACGGGGATTTTTTCCCGAGGAGTGCAGTATCCGTGTAGAAGCGGAGAAGAAAAAATATGAAGCACAGGCAGAACAACAGAAGCTAAAGGCAAAAGCAGAAGAAGAAGCCAAGGCGAAGTACAAGGTTGGAACAGGTTTTAAATCTCCTGAAAAAAATGCTTTGCGTGATACATCTTCATTAGAAGTCAAGAAATCCGCTGTGACTGTTCAAGACTCCGAAGTTATCGGTGGAATGTGTACTGATTCGGTTGGCTTTGCCACACCCGACACTGTCGCAAGCAGAAAGAAGTTCAGTCATGATGAGGGGTATGCTGTTACCGATTCTCCGAGCAAGTTGAGCGATGATGCAAAGGAGTCGTTGACGCCTGTGAAAAGCATTGCTAGTCGTTTTGAAGGCAAGCACGAGCAATCTCTCGATGATTTAAAATTTCGCACTGTTCGCGGGTTCTTTTCTGAGGAGCGTAGTGTTCACGTTGAATCGGAGAAACAAAAGTTTGAGGCTCAAGCGCAGCACGATACGCCACTTGACAATCTTAAGTTTCGCACCGTTCGCGGTTTTTTTGCCGATGAAGGGATGCGCAGTATTGATGTTGGTGCTGAAAAGGCAAAATTTGAGGCTCTCCGAATGGAACAGGAAGAAGAGACAAAGGTCGGTGAGCACGCTACGTCTAAAAACACCGCGCATGCGTTTACAACTTTAAAGCGCGAAAGCTCCGTAGACGCGTCTAGTTTTAATGCGTTAGGCAAGACACCTTTGTCAACTCTTGACGAAGATTGCAACGAAATGACAAGAGGTGCTATGCTGAGTTTCATTGAAACAGAAAGCGCTGCAGTAATTGAGTCAGCAGTCGATAGCGCTGTCTGTGTCGCACTCGGAGGTTTGAGTCTGGATGGCGAAATAGGGGTTACTGTGGACAAATTTCCTAAGGCGAGTGATATCTTGCCTTTTACCGGTAGTGACGCGGCGAGCACCGCGGCCATCATAGAGGACAAGTTTGCTGTCGCTGGTGACCAGGGTCAAGCTTCAGAAATTGTGGATGCTGCGAAGGCCGAATCGGTTTTTGTAGGCAATGATACCGACGAGGCGAGTTTGGAGTCGAACGAAGGCACAAAGTTTAGCCAAGAAGCTGGTAAGGTGGTATCCCCCGCTAATACCCAAGTTGTTAGGCTTGATCTCGGGGACGGTGGTCGGAACAGAGAAGTTGATATTACCGAGGGTTCACACGCATACAAAAATTCTAGTCTTGACTTCGAACAGAATGTGAAGCGTGGAGAATACATTGAGTCCAAGATTGAAGTGGGGCTAGACAAGCCTAGTTATGGTGAGGATGTTGTAAAGAGGCCGGTCGATTCCATTGGCGGTGCCATTGAAAAAGATGATGCCGGCGACCAGCTGAATATGTTGAGCCAACGCCAAAACAGCCAAGTAGCTGAAAATGAAGCTGCAAATAGCGAGTTGGTAGAGTTGGATCTTGGAAGTAAAGCCGTTGAGAGTGTTGAGGTTGTCTCCACTGTTTCTGCTACTGGAGAAGTTACTGAAAGAGACGCGGTGAGTGAAAACGAGAGCATGCAACAACTTGCAAGCACTAACGAAGCAAGTATTGGATCTCAAAACCAAGTATTTGAAAGCGCTTTTAGCGTTGAGAACCGACTTGAAAAGTTATACCTTGGAGAGTCTACTGGTGATGCATTGAAAGAGCAGCTGAACCATGTGACGAGCATGAATTGTCGACCAATGCTTACTACGGAACGATCATTTGTAATGGAAGACGACCACACTGTTGAGACAGTAGAGACGGTTGTCGTAGGCGAACGATCAATGACCAACGGTGAGGAAGACCTCGAATTACTGTCACCGACGAAGGTCCGCCCAGCACACAAGTTATTTTCTGGTATTACGTCGTCGAAGTCAACTAAAGCTTTGTCAAAAAAGATCTTAGCGAAGGCATCCGCTGCTAAGGCAGCTCCTGCGGAACGTGCACCTGTCACTTCCTTAGCTGCGTCTTACGCGACCAAAAGGGCGGCAAAAACTAATGGATTGCACAAGCCCTTACCGCAAGAGAAAAAAGCGGTGTATACACGCAAGGGCAATGTCAGCGAACTGGGATGCATTAAGTTTTCACCGGCAGCTCCAACCATTCCGGCCCCGACAGAGCAAGCGTCCATCATAGCGCATAACACTTCGTCACAGTTGAGGAATGTTTCGGACGATGCTGGTGACATAAGCCACTCGCGTCCAGCTTTGACGGCTGACGTGTCAAAGTCTAAGGGTGCAATGGGTTCAACTTGTTGTAAAAAGTCTTCTCCACCTTTACCGACAGGACCTGTGACGCCGAAACGCGCATCGATCGTGGCACCAACTGCTCTTGTTAAGGCGAAGAAGGCTGCTGAGCCTCTAGAAGATACCGGCGTTACAGTACCTTCGGTTCCGGCCCGTAGCAAAAAGTATTTGAACGTCAAGAGCAAGGTGCTGACTCAAATTCAGTCTGGTTCAATGCAACCAGTTACTCACAAAACCATTACAAAGGAGGATTTTATTGCAGCTGAGCGCCGAAAGAGCCTAGGATCAGGAGGGGTACGAAGCTTACTGCGTGCATCTGATCGGCGGGCATCATTGGCTGCTCGAGCAACTATTGTCGGACCACCTGAACCGTTTGTGCGTTCAGCATTTTCACGCCAGAAACTACGCTCGACACTCCCTCGTTATTTGGACTACGAGAATACACCAGGTTATGTGGAACGGGCACGGCAGCAGTACGAGCGACGCAAGCGACTAGAGAAGGAGAACGCTGCAAAGTCTGAGAAACGTCAACGTGAGCTGCGTACGTTTTTTGCCGACAAACAGCATAAATCGCTGGTGTCAAGCGCTGAAGAAGTACGGGGAGCTTACGAATTTGAAAAAGTCGCGAGAGAGAGTAAATTTGCTGGAAAAAGAACGTTGAGGACAGAAAGGCAACGAAGTCGGCCTACGCGTAGATTCCGTCAGTCTCTTTCAGCGACCTCGAGTGCAGGCACTTCGTCGTCAAATGGTGTTCCGTCCCTTACATCAAAGAAGTCGTCCGTGTCTTCTATAGCTGAAAAAGCCGTTACAGCTTTTGCACCGGGAGCAGCTGTAACGGATAGTGAAAAGATGACCGAATGTGCGTTGTTGCCAGATGAGACTGTTGAGTTGACGCAGGAAGAGATTCGAACTTAGATTATCTTGAGGCACAGAAGCTCGTAGCTGGTAGCGAAATGTGGCGACCAAAATGTAGTTACTTGATTTCTCCAGAGTTTTCATGAACATTAATAGTGGTCTGAGCCGGTTTATACATATCGATCTAAGCTCGGCTTTCATCCGTAACAGTTTTTCCTGATACGCTCTTCCTGTCGTTTCATTTAATTTAACATTGCCACCTTCGCAATCTGACGTGTTGCTTCAAACGCTATACTCCTAGTCTGGAAATGCCCTCTCTTCTTACCTGGGCAGTAAATAACCTTTGCTGTACGCATCATCACTATCACGACGTAGGTTGGAAGGCTACATTTTCCAAGGTGTCTTTCCATAAAACGTAAACCATCATCCCAACGAAAACGTGTGTGAGTCATTCAGGACAAATCGAAATCTCTTAGGTCATATCCAACATTAGCTCAAATAACCGAGTCATTTTCTTTCAAATAGGTAAAAAATCACTTAAAGCTATTATCCAAAACTTTCACATCGTCAGCACCAATATGCCCATAGAAGAAACTTTTCTGCATTTTCTCTGACGAAATGCTACACCTGCTGTGTTACCGCTTGCATCCTGGTAAATAATAGCCTCCCAATCATGTCAATTCTTCTATTATTGATCATTATGTGAAAAAGCGTTGTAAGCTCGCATTCGCGCGCTAACGACGATTCTCCTCTTGGTGACAGTATGGCAAAAGTTGAAGCTATACCCATGCCCCCCTCAGCTTTACATGAAGAACAACACAGTGAACCGTTCATACTGTACTTGCTGGTCATTCACCATTTTTAGGCCATTAAAATGTATGATAACCTCGCATATTGTGTGTAAAAACCACTCGCTTCCTCCCAAGCGATTCTTTTGGACCCATGTTGATATATTCTTTGCTTATCATTATGACCGTATTAGCCCCATCACATTAGCCCGCGTTGCGATCATGACGACAACGAGCACGCCATCAATGTGGTAAATTTTGAGCATTTTATTTTTCTGGTGCGCCTTTGCAATCAAAGAATCAGCATCTCGAGCAAGCTTGGTGATACACTAAACTGACTTCCTTGCCGACCAACATGCTGTAGTACAAAATGTTGTTAGACGGTTGTGGGTGATGATCCTGGTGCGCGCTTGTAGCACTGCGGCGAAGGCTCATCGGTTGTTTTAGGACTAAGAGATGTGTTGACAACGTTAGACGCACCACTTCGGCTGTTATTCGGCAGTGAGTCATTGACGATCGGACCTCGTGACGGAGACAGCGGCGGTGTTTCTCTTCCGTTTTGTCGGCCGTCAATGGACGTCTCCGAGACCGGCGGTATTATAAGCTCGTCAGAACCACTATCAACAACGTACAGCTTTTTCCCTAGCTTTTGCTGCGTCACAAATTCGTTTTGAATGATGAAGAGTATGCGGTAGAGCACAGATGCGAGCAGAACGGATCCCAGCAGTAGCGTATAGAAGATTGTGGGCAGTACCAAACTCTTATGGAGCTCACCACCTTTTAGCTCGTTGTAAGCCACGGTAGAGATCGCGTTTTGTTGTGGGACAGATGTGGCAGTAGCTGCAGCTTCCGCTGCTTGAACATGCTGTCGCTCGAGTTCCGTCTCCAGTAAATGAATGGTCTCTAGACGACTTTCAGCGATTCGCGTCATATTCTCTACCTGAAGACACAAGTTCTTATCAGTCGTAGCACACACATAATGTTGTATCAGTTTCAAGTGCTCACCTGCAATCGCAGCACTATTAAGTCGTCCTTAAGTCTCTCACGCTGCTGAGTAAGTGCCTCAATCTCCGGGCTCATCATCTGGTGGAGCGCGAAGGTGCCCACAACCCCCACCATTAGTAGAGCCATGATTACAGCCAGTCCATTGGCTGCTCTACTCATATGCAGCCCCAGCGACGCGCGGGTGAGACAACGGCGGACACGAGGGAAGCGACGGTGCAGCGCGCGTGAGCAGCCGCCGGTGTTGGTGGAGGCCGATGGAACCCCGCCAGAGCTGGAAGTCGCGCTGGAATCTGAAAGAAACGGACATTCATCATCTGGGATACTGATGCTAGTGCTTAGCGAAGAGGTGGCAGTCGGAGCGCTGGCAGCAGAAAAGGAAGACATTGTCCACCGCTTTCTCGAGTAAAAAAAATAAACAAAGGCCGACAATACGAAAGTTAAAGTTATAGGGGAATGAGATTACGCGTGTTAGCTACTGAATAGTTGATCCAGCCCATACTGATCATTACTACCTATGTAACTTCTGGCCTCTTACAGATATTGATTATTTTGAGGACACTTGGCCACCTAGTGGCGACGGTTGCGAAGATTGCTGCGGTCGCGGTCGCGACCCCGGCCACGACCACGACTACGGCTCGGGCTGCGACGGCGTCTCCAAGGCATACTGCGTTGACGAAAACGAGACTTCGAATAGGAGCGCGAGCGATAGCGCGATACATCCGACGAGTAAGACCGAGATCTATCCGAGGAAACTGAGTGCGAGCGCATACGTCGATCACGCGAGCTGCGAGAAGCTTTAGAAAAGGCACTGCTCGTGCTTCTCTTGCGACAACGTCGGTCGTTAGGTGACACATTACGCAGCTTGCGAGACTGCAGCTTCGAGTCCACAATAACCGAATGGGAGCGGCGAGAGCAATGCAAAAGCTTGGTCTTCTCTTCCTTTTTCAATCGACCCGGCAAGGCGGCAAAAATCCTCATCTGCGCTTCGTCCACCTCTTGCTCAATGGATGCCTTGTGCTTCACCTCTCGTTTTGTAAAGGCAGGGCTGGCTTCTTTAGTACTTTTCTCCCTCTTTGGTGGCAAAATACTCCTTTTCTCCTCCTTCATGTCCGATTTGTCACGTATTTCATCGCTGGTCATCGCACCGACAGACAAAGATTGTGTTGGTAAGTTCGGAACCTTGTGTTTGCCCTTTAGGACAGCAGATCGCACCGGTGATCCACTTGCGGACAGCTTCTTGCCTTTCGTAGCGGTGGTCTTGTTCCCACGAGACAGCTCGTTACTGCAGCCTACATCAGAGCTCGAGTCCAAACTGCTAGCGGAACGGGACCGTACAATACGCTCGGCCTTTCTCGTCGACGCAAAGTCCTTCTCGCGACACTTTTCTTTCCGCAACTTCTGGCTATGCAAGCGAGAGCGGGAACGACCAGAGCTGCTGTCGCACGAAGACGACACAGAGCGGCGCTTCCAATCAGAAAGCGCCGACGATCGACGTAAGCGTCGTTTCTTCACAGTAGAGTGCGATTGAGACTTTCGCGACTTTGCGTCATCACAGTCTCGACTGCGACAATCTTGCAAAGGTCTCGACCTTGACCTGGACATCAACGGCTCGCGCCTCGCCATCGTTTCTGCTTCTCTCTTCTTTTGACTTAGCTGTAATTCTTCCTCCTTTTCCTTCCCCTCCTGCTTTCTTTTCTCCTTCCTCTCTAGACGACGTCGCTCCTGCATCTCTGGATCAAAGCTCTCACCCTCCATATAGTCCGAAGCGATGCTAAACGCGTCCTTGATCCTTTCAATTTCCTTATCTTTGCGCTTCTGACGAGCGTGTGAGCTTTCCGCGTCCTTTGCCTTCTCTTCGTCTCGAATTCCCTCGCCATGTAGCCGCGTCAAAAGCCGCTCTCGTTCTCGCTTCACTTTATCCTGAATAACTTTAGGGTCACAACCACGTTCCTCCATATTCAAAGAAAGCTCTAGCAGCTCAAGCTCTACTCGACGCTTCTGCTCGTGCCGTAGAATATCTGCACTATGAGGAGGCCGGCTCTTGCCACCTTCATGCATGCCAAAACTCTCTAAGGACCCATTGCGCTTGTTATGTACCAGCGTCTGTCGCGTGCGTGATGCATTTATGTAACTGAGGTTACGTTGCACGTAGCCATTCGTGCCCGACCCGCGCACCGTGCGCAGCCCAATTCCGTTGTACATGGCGCCCTATGACGAGTCGTTTTTATATTTTGCTCCCTTTTAAGAACAATATAGTCGTACTTAATATAGATATATGTGTGGACTTTTGGTGTCAAACGAGATATGCGAGAAGTAAGGTCTCATCTGCAACGTTATTTCCAAGGATTGAATCCCTATCCAGCTAAGATACCAATGTTCTAACAAGTTGTGTATGGAGGTAGGTTGGCTTAGAATGTCATATGCTACCTCACTAGAATTCCTACACTACAGGAAAAAGGCGCTAGCTGGCCTTTTACCTTTACCAATTGCCATTTCAGTCGCAATTGTGAGCAATCGAAAACTCGTTGTAAGAGGGTTACACGAAGGTGTGTATTTTACATACATGAAGTTCGTACGTGGTCACAATACATGGTTAAGTATAGTGACTATGCATGTTTGCATAATAACAATAGGTTATAGAGCCAGTAAATAGTGACTAGCAATAAGTATCGAGTAGGTGCTTCTATATTTAGTGCTAGAAGATAAGCATATATATAAATCAGTTTCAAACCTGCTTTGTAAGCCTTCTAAGGAATCAGTATCTTTGATACTAGTCTCTCTGAGACTCAGTTGTTCACAACCGATAGGCACAAGCTTACGAACTAGCCTAGGAGGGTTAAACACCCTAAGACATAGAAGCTTTCTGAGCTTGTCTTTCTCTGCACATAGTGCATACGTAGCTTTGTTACAGTAGTCTGACTACTTCTTCTGCACATAGTGCATCTGCAAATAGTGCATAAGTAGCGTAGCTACAGTAGCTCGACTACACCTGGTAGCACTCGTAGTCAATCCCGCACCTGAGTTTGCAAATACTTGTTTGTGTGAGAACGGACATCGATGAGATGTCAGCGGTTGGCCTGTCACAGGCACAACAGGAAGGGTTGCAGAAGCTGCTCTCTATACATGGCCCTAAGAGCGTGGAATACCTCATCGCCCAAGGCGAAGAAGCGGTTAACAAGCGTATTCATACGCTTGATGAATATAATAACACTTTAGTCGAGCATGTAAAGGCACAGATGCCTTCTTCTCCGCCTACGCCCATGGCAACTATGGCGCAGAAGTGGTCCACAGACCAAGACCCCGTACATATGAAAGCTGACATGCTCGACGGCAACGAAGGTGATAGCCTTATGCTGTGGCTCCGACAGGTTGAGTCGGCTATGCGTATATTAACATCACCTATGCACAAAAGCCGTACAGTGTTGGCTTTGCCACGGGCAAGTTGGGTGGATTGGCGCATTCACATGGGTGCATCACTGCAAGATGCATTTTCCACATGGGCTGATCTGAAAGTTCAGATGACCCGGCAGTATGCACCGCCAAACCAAGCACACCGTAACCGGTCGAGGTTTTGGCGTGTCGCCAAGGCAAGCGTGAGCTTGCGGCATAGTTGCAAGAGTTGAGAACTCTCATTGCTCCCATGGTCATAGGCCCTATGCCTGAGGCAGTGACCATCACGGTCTTCATGGAGGGCCTCCGAGTTGGCGTTGCCAGAACGGAAGTCTTCCGGGTAAACCCGTCCTCATTCGAGGAAGCTGTTGGAGTGGCATGGAATGCCGAGACCAACTTCAAGGCCGCTAGACCTGCCACTTATAACTACTCGTCTGATGGGTCTGTACTCATGGACTGTAGTTAAGTGAGGATGAAGAAGCAGAGCTTCAAGCTGCGGAGCAGCAAATTGTGCGCAGATGTTATGTCTGCAAGAGCACAGTCCATTTGATGGCAAAATGCCCTGCAAGAAAGGCATATTTGGCATCGAAGGGCCGGCGCCACATGGGTAAACCTTCTGATTGCCTCGGGGAAACGGCAGAGCCCAGTAGGCTGGGGGCGCCCTACTGAGGAAGAACTGAGTTCTGTTGAACCTCTAGGAGGTAGAAGTAAACAGGGCTCAGTCCCAAAGAAATCCGAACTCTTAAAAACGGAGCGAGAATGCAAGCCAGGCTTGCTAGTCGTCGAAGGGACGGTCAAGGGCTATGATAAGCCATGGATCATTTTGATCGATGCGGGGGCATCGGACAATTATGTGCGCCGTGCCACCGTGGAAGGTAGTCAGCAGTATGCTGAAGCGCTTGTATCGCGTGAGTGTGAGTGTGACACAGTCACTGTTTGCTTAGCGACGGATACGCGTGTTACGGTACCCAAAGTTCCGATGGACTTAAATGTAAGGTTCTTGGACTTTAACAGCATGGAACGCTGTTTGAGCTTAGACTTGGATGCGAGGTATAACCTCATCCTAGGCATGGCATGGCTAAAATGTCATGAGCCATGGATTGATTGGAGGTCGAAGACCTTAGGCGCAACTCGCAATGCTCCTGGTGGGGCTCTGGACAGTCATGAACTCACCTCTGCTAGGAAGCAAAGGCGCTTTTGGCGCGGATATTGGACCGAGTCGGTCAATATGTTGGATGTCAGAATATCCGACTTTGAAGACACTGTAAGTGTCGAGGACAATAGTCCTGGGCAAGGCCCAATGACTGGTTGAGAACCCACTAGATGGCACATATGACATGTGTCATGAGAATGATGTTACATCATTAAACACCGTGAGTGTTGTTGGTGGCTGCAAATAAAGATGTCAGGACACGATTCCAAGTGACATGAGTGACGAGGAACTGACCCTGGAGGGCCGGGTGAAGTCACAAATGAATGTTATCTATGAAGACAACGAGGTGCATGCATATAACGACAAGATACTGACCCTGGAGGGTCGAGTGACGTCATCAATGGATGTTGTCTTTGAGGACAACGAGGTGCAAGCACCTAGTGACGAGCAACTGGCCCATGAGGGTCGGGTGAAGTCAAAAATGATGGTTGTCTTTGAGGACAACGAGGTGCGAGCACCTCATGACGAGGCATTGACCCAAGAGAGTGGGGTGCAGTCAGTAAACGAAGTGGTCTTTGACCTTGAGGTATGTACACCTGTGGACGCTGATGCGTCGGATGCTGATAGCATCATGAGTAGCGATGATAATATCGTGCCTGACGGTGATAGCGAACAGCTATATACATACATCAATGGTTTGACTGGGGATGTTGAAGATCCGGTGGCTCTTTCAACTTTACCCGCAGTAAGTGCTCTGTTAGAGCTGGACGAGTTGTCCTTTGCCAGGTTTGGCAGTGCCTTACAGGCCGGTGACATCGCCGAAGTGGTCATTATACGACCTGAGGAGGAGTTGAACTCCTCATCGCTCTTGGATAAAGCAGTTCTTGAGGATAACAAGAAGGCGCTGAATGCGCGTAGTGGATCACAGATCTTGAAGGACCCTTCGGATCCTTATTTTCCTTGGTTGAAGGAATATGGAGGTGTTGTCTACAGAGAACCTCCTACGAGGTTACCTACGGATAGAGGTGTACGTCATGAGATTGACTTAGTTCCAGGAACCAAATATTGCGTGACGCAACAGTGGCTGCTGCCACGAGAGCAATGTGAATTCATTGACTCGTTCTTTCGTGCGAAGCACGCGGCTGTAATGGTGCGTGAGAGTAAGTCTCCTCACTCTACGCCCACGTTTTGTGTGAAAAAGACTAATGGGAAGTGGCGAATAGTGCATGCTTACAATAAGCTGAATGCAGCCACTATCCCGGCTCAAACGCTGATTCATCGCAAGGATATTTTTCAAACAATATGGTGGGATGTACAATGTACAGTGCCCTCGGCATAGTCGATGGATATTACCAACTACTCATGTGAGCTAGTGATATCCCCCCTCACAGCGAGCCAAAAAGACCTCTACAAGTAGTTGGGTTTGGCCAATTACTTGCAAATGTATACTCACAACTATGCGGAAGTGGCTAGGCCATTGTTAAACCTCCTTAACAAGGATGTGGAATGGTGTTGGAACACCGAGCACCACGAGGCTTTTGAAGCCATTAAGGGGAGTCTCCTTCAGGCGCCAATTCTGGCTTTGCCTGATCCTGATCGCCCGTGTGTGATGCTTCGGACTTTGCCATTGGCAGTGCACTCTTGCAAGTTGACGCTGGGGGTTAAGAACGCGTCATCGCGTTTGAACCTCTCTAGCTGAAAGCTGCAGAGAAGAACTATTCAGTTCATGATAAGGAGATACTCGCGATGAGATATTCCTTGTTAAGTTCAGGTTACACCTGTTGGGCTCAACGCCGTTTGTGATCTATACAGATCATGCTTCGTTACGGACAGCGACACAATTGCCTCATCTCTCGCAGAGAATGGTTTTTTGGCTCTCCTTTTTCGCGGAGTATAACTTCGAGGTGAAGCATAAGCCGGGAAAATCGAATGTTTTGGCTGACGCGTTATCGCGTAGACCTGACTATGAGCTTGCTCATCTCACTGTTGTGTGTTCTTCAGTCACGGAACGTATTTGTGTGGCGTATGCACGCGATGAGGAATGTGTTGCCGTTCTGCAGGCGCTAGGTAGCGCAGAGTGTGAAAGCTCTAAGGTGAAGCTGTCACCGCGTAATCGTGCGAGAGCACATCGTTATGCACTGAATGATGGTCTGTTCGCAGTGTTTGTACTGAAACACCCAAGCAATGGAGCACGATGCTCTTACTCAGTGAGTTTGCGTTAAACAACGCGGTGCATGCATCGACAGTCTTCACTCTGTTCTATGTGAATGGTTTGGTCAACCCTCGCGTTCCTTTAACGCTACCCCCTGTCGCTTCAGGGCTTAGTGGGGGGAGATAGCCGATACTTGGCTGATATCAGCTCTGTTGCGATTCGCAAGAAGGTGGAAGCGTTTCTTTCAACGGGTTTTGCGTATAAGGTCGCGTCAAAGAAGCCATGGCTGAAAGCCAGGATGTTCAAAAGGAACAAGCAGATACCAAAGGCAGAAAGAACGAACACGAGTTCAAGTGGGAGATTTGGTTATATTAAACGCTAGGAATTTACCTACTCGCGCAGTGGTTGCGGTATACAAAACCAAAATACGTCCACGCTTTATTGGACCTCTAAGGTTTATAGCAAGAAAGGCTTAGCCTATACGCTGAACTTTCCGAAGAAGATGCG